TCTCACCGACATTCTCGGTCGAAATAGGGGAGAGTAGAAATGAGCAGGAGCATGCGCAGCCGGTAATGCTACATATATACAGTGATATAATACAAATATACGGTAATACCCCGCTTAACGCGGGGTTACGTTCCAAAAATATTGAGCGTAAAGCGAAACAACAGCGCAAAGCCGGGGTTATTTTTGCATAATTTACATAATGCATTTTACTCTTCATATACAATGTAACAATGTATTGCAATGTAATAATGTAATTGCAAAGCGTTATATCGAAACAGCGATAATCAGGGCAGCGTTAAGCGAAGTATTTCTGTAAATGTCGTAAAATATGATTGTTATATACGACCATAATTACATTCTATATTATGGGGAGGATAATGGTCTGGGGAAAATTACCCCATCATTTATAAATTGCCTCCCTATTTACACACATTAACACATATACACGCATATACACATTCGACGTCGGTTCAAATCCCATCGCGGCCGCCTGGGTTAATATAAAAAATAGTCAGTGTGTTGGGGTGGATAGTGGTTTGCGCATAATCACTTATAAATTTGCCCCTCGCTTATAAAACCTATTTGTTGCGGGAGGATAGTGGACAATCACTTATAAATTTGCCCCCAATTATTTATATACACATACACACTTGCGCATAAAGTAATTTAAAAATAGTCAGTGTTGGGGTGGATAGTGGACAATCACTTATAAATTTTTGCCTTCCCTTGCTTATAAAATCTATTTGTTGGGGAGGATAGTGATTCGGAACGAAATTGTCCGATCATTTATAAATTTGCCCCCAATTTTCAAATACACATTTACATTACACACAAATTAATTTAAAAATAGTCAGTGTTGGGGGTGGATAGTGGCGCATAATCACTTATAAATTTGCCTCCCCCTCGCTTATAAAACCTATTTGTTGGGGAGGATAGTGGCATGGACCATAATTGTCCAATCACTTATAAATTTGCCCCAATTATTCATATACATGCACACATTTACACTTATAAAGTAATTTAAAAATAGTCAGTGCTGGGGTGGATAGTGGACAATCATCTTATAATTGGCCTCCCCTTCTTATAAAACCTGTTGTTGGGGAGGATAGTGGCATGGACCATGCAAGTGCTCAATCACTTATAAATTTGCCCCCAATTATTCATATACATTTTACATTACATATAAATTAATTTAAAAAATAGTCAGTGTTGGGGGTGGATAGTGGACAATCACTTATAAATTGGCCTCCCCCTCGCTTATAAAACCTATTTGTTGGGGAGGATAGTGGTATGGACCATAATTGTCCAATCACTTATAAATTTGCCCCCCAATTATTTATTAAACAAATTAATCTCGAGTATCAAAATATGACTTTATTGATCGAACGACAAAAACGAATTAATAATTACAACTATCATTTAAATCACACAACACTTTATGTGTTGACTTTTTGGCCACATTACAAGTGAACACTATATCTGATCCTTTTAGCGAACTTAAATGAGCAAATTGTTTCAAAAGTAATGGTGATTCTGGTAGAAAAAAAACAGAGAAAACAAATCAATTCAAGTCAAGTAAATTCAATTAATTTTAACTTACCATTTCCGTTAATAATTAACGTGTGGAATATTAACAAAATGATGATTTGAATACACCATTTTAAAATGATACGACCACTAAACCGACAAAACATTTTGAAAAATGCTTTATGATTATTATGATGAACAGAAAGAGACAGCATTATGTGAAAACACTCAAACAATGGTAAATTTAGATAAAAAAATTAATGATTTAAAACTGAATCAATAGCGCCGCGTTTTGGCCGAAAACATGATCAAAAACAAACAAACAAACGGAAAAACAAACAACTACCTTGCACTTGAAGCAATGTCCATTGAATATCGATTCCAAACTGATTGCCTACGATACAAGAATAATTTCCCGAATCAGCAGCTTTCAATTTTGAAATGGTTAAAAATGATAGAAAATTATCTGTTTTAATCTGATATGATAATTCCGGATTTCTATGTCTAAGTAATTCTTGTTCATTTTTAAACCATTTGAACGATAGTGGTGTTGAACCACTGATAACCGAACATGGAATATTCAATACTGATCCTTCAGATTGATTCAATTCTGTTGAAAACAATTTAGAAATTCGAGGTGCATCTGAAGGAAAAACAAGGGATTTACATTAGAAACGTAAAATTAGAAAAAAAAATTCTCCAACCTTTTGAAGCATAAATAACCGTGAATGAAATACAGAAAAACAGCAACAATTTAAACATTGTGAATGTTTTAAACATTCACAACACAACACAACAACAACAAAATGATAATCAATTCAAGCAGAAAAAAAAATGAAGATGACCAGAAAAATTAATTTTGGTAAAACAAATTATGCATTGGGGGCCACCTATTGGTCAAACAAATCACGATTATAATAAATAGCAATCAAACCTTGTATGACAAGTTTTGTTGTAATCGAATCAGTACCATGAACATTCCTGGCATTACATGTATAGGTTCCGGTATCATCATTTGAATTAAGACGTTTGAATACAATCGATGACATTGTATCATAAATAACAATTTTATATTCAGTCGAAGATAATTTCTTATGATCATCTTTGTACCATTCAAAAAATATTGATGTCGATCCTGATGAAATGGAACATGGTAATATGTATGATGAATTAATGGAAAGATTAATTTCAGATGCAGGAAATTTATTCAAAATTGGTTTGGCTAAAATTATTATCGAAAATAATTATTCAGAAACATTGAAAACAAAAATTCAAATGAATTACCAGCATCAATTGAATGAAAGTAAAAAGTTGAAAAAATCACCGTTAATAAAATTATTATTATGTCAGAAACAATGTGTGTTCATACTCTTAAACTTAAGTATACATTTCATGGGTAAAATTATTTTATGCAAAACAAAAAAAAAATTATAACCCACAAAATGGTAAAATTAGCGCCATATATTGGCCAATAAAAAACATTGAATAAATTGTTCAAACCTGTAACCGTTAGTTAAATCCAAAGTTTATCGAATCCGAATTTATTGGTAACAACACAGGAATAATTTCCCACATCATTGGAATCGATATTTCTCAATGTAAAAAAAGAGAAAATATCTTTGTTTTCAATTGTCGATCGTCCAGTATTGGATAATTCAACACCATTTTTGAACCATTGAAACCGTAATGGTTTACTGCCTTTGGCAACATTACAAGTCAACACAATATCTAAACCTCTGGTTTGTTCATTTATCGAATAAAGTTTAGCAAGAACCGGAGATTCTAAAAGTGAAAAAAATGAATTAATTGAAGGGAAAAATAATTGACAAACAGACTTACCATCGCTGTGAACAAATGAAATCAAAATGATCAAAGCAAAAAACTTGAAAATCAAATTCAGCATTTTCACAAGCAAATTTCGTGTAATCAAACATTGAATGTGAATAACACAATCGAAAAAAGTATTTTGGACAGAAAATTCAAAATCAAGTTTTCAATAAGATAATTAGCGCCGCGTTTTGGTGAAAATTATGATGAAAAATTTAGAATTTAATCTAAACCTCAAATTCGATACCACAATTAAATTAAAAGCAAACCTTGTCTTGTTTTTTTGTAATCGAATCACGATTATCTCCTTGATGCCATCGTAATGAAATAGAATTTGACGTGGTTTCCTTTTGCAATTAGAAGTTGTGCAGGTGGTATATCTCCATCAAGTGTACGTTTCAGCACTACTTGTGATTGTGGTCCACTTCCGGCCAAAATTTAAGTTTTAACAAAGATTTCATATTTTGTTCCATGTGATAGGTCACGTAGGAAATATTCATAAACCTCGTTTTCAATTTGATTAACTTCTGCACAGAGACACAGAGACGAAAGTCTGCGGTGTACACTGCAAGGTGAAATTTATCATAACATGAGACATATTGGTTAACATTTGTCAGTACCAAATAATCATCATAACTCGATATGGTTGAGAATTTCATGATCATTTCATCAAAAATGAACAAGACGAAACTTGAGAAAAAACGAGCATTTTTGCACAAAGACAGCGAGTACAAAAAGTCAACACATAAAGTGTTGTGTGATTTAAATGATAGTTGTAATTATTAATTCGTTTTTGTCGTTCGATCAATAAAGTCATATTTTGATACTCGAGATTAATTTGTTTAATAAATAATTGGGGGGCAAATTTATAAGTGATCGGACAATTGCACTCCGAATCACTATCCTCCCCAACAAATAGATTTTATAAGCAAGGGGGAGGCCAATTTATAAGTGATTGTCCACTATCCACCCCCAACACTGACTATTTTTTAAATTAATTTATATGTAATGTGTAAATGTGTATATAAATAATTGGGGGGCAAATTTATAAGTGATCGGACAATTATGGCTCGAATCACTATCCTCCCCAACAAATAGATTTTATAAGCAAGGGGAGGCAAATTTATAAGTGATTGTCCACTATCCACCCCAACACTGACTATTTTTAAATTAATTTATTATATGTAATGTGTAAATGTGTATATAAATAATTGGGGGGCAAATTTATAAGTGATCGGACAATTATGGTCCATACCACTATCCTCCCCAACAAATAGGTTTTATAAGCGAGGGGGAGGCAAATTTATAAGTGATTATGCGCAAACCACTATCCACCCCCAACACTGACTATTTTTTAAATTACTTTAAGCGCAAGTGTAAATGTGTATATAAATAATTGGGGGGCAAATTTATAAGTGATTGGACAATTATGGTCCATACCACTATCCTCCCCAACAAATAGGTTTTATAAGCGAGGGGGAGGCAAATTTATAAGTGATTATGCGCAAACCACTATCCACCCCCAACACTGACTATTTTTTATATTAACCCAGGCGGCCGCGATGGGATTTGAACCGACGTCGAATGTGTATATGCGTGTATATGTGTTAATGTGTGTAAATGGGGGAGGCAAATTTATAAATGATGGGGTAATTTTCCCCCAGACCATTATCCTCCCCCATAATATAGAACGTAATTATGGTCGTATATAACAATCATATTTTACGACATTACAGAAATACTTCGCTTAACGCTGCCCCGATTAGCGCTGTTTCGATATAACGCTGTGCAATTACATTACATTGCAATACATTGTTACATTGTATATGAAGAGTAAAATGCATTATGTAAATTATGCAAAAATAACCCCGCTTTGCGCTGTTGTTTCGCTTTACGCTCAATATTTTGGAACGTAACCCCGCGTTAAGCGGGTATTACTGTATATTTGTATTATATCACTGTATATATGTAGCATTACTGGCTGCGCATGCTCCTGCCTATTTCTACTTTCCCCTATTTCGACCGAGAATGTCGGTGAGAGAGAACGAGCACGTTTTTCAGCCGAAAATTCCGAGTCAGGAACACTAACACACACAACTCGACAACAAATAAAAATTCGATTTTCACAAACGATCCCACGACATATTTATTATTAAATATTGTTCGTTTTGCATTCAATTGATTCTCACTACAACAATGGTTCATCATTATTATCAATTTGTAGAAACCATAAAGGTGATAGTCCAATTGTATCAGTAAAAAAGATGAATAGGTTTGTTAAATATTTATGTTTCAAATTAAATTGGTTATAATTTTTTTTCTGTTAGCTGTTCGCTATTTTTAGGCATTGGTAATCTTTTGGTTTGGTTTCCATTATTACGTTATTTTGCCTATTTTCAATCATACAACATTCTCTTATTGTAACATTGAAGAAATCTTTTCTAAACGTTTTGCGGTTCTGTCTCTGTGCATTTTTAGTTTATTGGTTAGTGTAATTGTTCATCATTAGTTTATAAAAAAAAATTGTTTAAAAATTTTATCATTTTACAGAGGATTTTGTTTTTGTGGTTCGGTCGTTTTGGGTCCTCATCATCTCAAATTTCGTACGCTAAGCTAACATTCTAATGTTTGTTTTCAATTATGAACGGTGATGATATGTTTGCTACATTTTTTTCCACTGATGTGAAAAAATCAAGTCTTATATGGTGGTTTAGTCGCATTTATCTTTTCATTTCATTGTCCATAATACTCGATGCATACGAATCGGTTCGTATAAAGAAATCAATGACTTATCACAGTCAAATTCAACTCTAAAAAAATTTATAGAAGAATATCCAATGGAGAATTTTGATTCTGGATTCCATAATAACTCATTTGTTGACCAAATTCAAAACTATTTTCGAATCTGTTTTCGCTCATCGTCGAATGCTTCTTGACATATAAGAATTTAAATTTTACGACTAAAATAGTTATGATTTTATAACTCAACTTTTAATTAATATATTTAAATGAATAAAATATAAAATAGTGATTTAATTTACGAAAAATTATTTGATTCAATTATTATCATTTTTTGTCACATGTACAATATTCCATTGTTGTTGTTGGTGGTGTTGAAAATTATGATGCTGTAATTGTGGTGACATTATCATCATTGTGAATTCAATTTTTTCCAAACATCTTCCATTTTAGTTCGTTGATTAAAATTCATTGATTTATCACCGATAGAAACAAAACAAGCTGTAACTAATCGTACAAATGTCACAAATACTGGACGTTGACTAAATTGAAAAACATTAAAATCGATTCAGGAATCAACTATATAAGATTCAATATAATCGAATGCATCTTCCAATGAAAAATTTAACAATGTTTGCGATTCATCACGTGATAATGAAGGTGTTGTTGTTGTTGTTGTTGTCCGGTTAAATTCCACAAACGAACGTAATGGATTCGGTGTTGCATTTCTCATTATTGTACAATTTATTGTAGGTGGTGTTCGATTGATGTCCAATGAGATACTTTCGGTATTTGTGGTTCCATTTGGTTAATTGATAATGATATTATTATTGAATCGTTACTCGAATGAAAAAAAATATTGAAATTAAATAAAGGACAAGTTGTGGTGAATTGAAATGATATGAAAATCAAACTTACGTTTTTTATACTTCATTCATATATCATACCGAGAGAAAGAGAGAGGAGAGAGAGAAAAAAAAACAACCGACCACAGACAGAGTATTAGTTTCAAGTTCAAATCATTCTTTCTCATATTCATCATTGCATCAATTTTTAAAATTATTATGATAGGTTTATACATGAAAAGTACTTGTATGGTGTGTATGAAAAAAACTAACCCAAAATGGTTAGTGCTAACCTTTGTGGGTTAGCATTGCAGGTTAGTACTAACCATTTTGGGTTAGTACTAACCCTACTTTTTTTTCTGTGATCATCATTGTTTGAATCAATTCATATTCATATTTGATGAAGAATGAGATTGAAAATTTTTATCAGACAAACATCTTGATGTTTTAAACCAATCATAATACATTCTATCTTCATTGAATTTTACATCATTTGTAATGATGATTTCTTCAGTTTTTGGATTATGTAATCCATAATTTGTAACTGAATTCGTATAACCAATAAACATTAATTTCTTTTTTTGATGTTTTGTCAAATTTCGAACGTTTTGATCTAGGTGATCTAAGTTGATGATGGTATGCTTCACACCCAAAGGTTTTTAAATGATTATAACATTTTTTTTACCATACAATTTTTAATATGGTGATTTACTATCATCTTTTATCCATGTATTGAATACATAAATAGATGTACACATAGCTTTAGCCCACAATTTATGAGAAGCAGATCCAAAGATTCGTGAATCTTTATTCGATCGAATTGTTGTATAATCTGAAATCACAATTTCATACTATTAGAATGGAGTATAAATTTAATATGAAAATCAAATAAAAACTTGATTTAGTTATAAACATAAACAAATTTCGCATGTTTAAAATTTTTTTTTCAATCCTAACCATTCATATATTACGTAACATTGAGTGCTCCAATTTACAGTAAAAGCTCCTTATTCGCGCTTCCTTCATTCGCGGTTTCACTATTCGCGGACTAAAAAAATGCGACCCAATTCCTATATTCGCGGCTAAAAATTTCTTTATTCGCGGATTTAATAAGTAAAATAAAAAATTGTGAGCGAGAAAACATTTCAAATCTAGTTTTAGACAATGCACCAGGTCATCCTCGCGAACTTGAAACTGCTCTGACTGCGGAAAATGACGAAGAATCTGTGCAAGTTCAATTTTTGACTGCAAACATAGCCGAAATCGATGAATTTGAAGCTTTGCGATTTCTTTATGAACATTGATCCGTCTATGGAACGAAGTCTTATTTTTAAGAGGCAAATTGATAATGCGACTGCTGCGTATCAGTCTGAATTGAAGGAGCTTTTAAAAACTGCCAAGCAAGAGAAAATTACAAAATTTTTCAAACCATTGCCTAAGCCTTAAGATAATTAATAAAAATGTTCAAAAACTTCAATTAAATTGATTTTTTATACACTTGTTTTTTTTATTTTGTCACCTAAGAACGTATCCCCTATAATCCCATATAAATTTCCATTCCTTATTCACGGTTTCTGTATTCGCGGCATATTTATGGAACATATACCCCGCGAATAAGGAGCTTTTACTGTATACAATTTTTAACAGCTTGTATAATATATTCTTGCAATTGAAAGTTTGTGTAAATTCATGACAATAGATGACACTAGAATAGATTGACTATTTCAACATTTTACGAAATGATTTTAAATTGAATGGCGTTGTTTGTGTGTTTACATTGGAAAGGTGTTGATGTATATATAAAAATTAAAAATCTTATCAATCTTTATATAAATATAAATAAATATATTGAAATGGTGATCGGATCATCATTCTCAATAGCTTTCATCTTTTGCCTTTGTTTACCGTTTTTTGTGCATAGTCAGAATAGTAATAAATTATCTATATATTCATTTAATTGATCAAAAAAATGTTTTCCTCTTATCAACCCAATAACAACAACAAACAAAACGAACAACAAGACGACAAAGAATCGACCATCAGCAATGCCGATTTACATGATGATCAAAAAACTGAACAAAAAATTCAACCATTAAAACTTGATGCTCAAGAATTCTACGATATCCATGAAGATGATCTTGTTGATTTTGAAACTTCTGAAGAATTCCTTCTACATTTTTCTCGTATCGGACAAGTGCAATTAGTGAAAAAATTATTAAGTCTTCGTAATGCTCATGAGATTGCTCTGAATATTGATTGTAAAGGTACAGTTAAAGCCAATTTTGGCTGGTCACCATTACATTTGGCCACATATTTCGGTCATTATGAAGTGGTAGAAATTCTATTGAAAAATGGTGCCGATGTTAACATACAAAATGAAGAAGGTGATACACCTTTGCATAAAGCAGCCTATACTGGCCGTGAAAATATTGTCATATTATTGCTTGCACATCAGGCAAACGTTTTCATTTCTAATGGTGATTCTCTTCGAGCATTCGAATTAGCTAAAACCGATTCAATACAGAAATTATTATCGGCAGCCGAAAAATTTGACATAAAACGTCGTGAAGAACGTTACCTTAGTGCAGCACGATCTGGACAAATTTCCGTCATAAAAGAATTGCTTGAAGATACAAACAATGGTATCAATATTAATTGTACTGATTCATCGGGCAATACTGCCCTACATTGTGCTGCTTATCGTGGACAGACCGAAGTAGTCATTTTTCTACTCAAAAATGGTATCGACACTGCGATCAAAAATAAACGCGGACAATTGGCTTCTAATGTGGCAGCGACAATTTCGCTAAAACAATTAATACAGGAAGCACATTTGTCAGTGATGACACCAAGAGTGGTTGCATCATTGAAAAATAAATCTGTTGCTCGTTTCGAAGGATGCCTTTTACGTAAAGCACGATTTTTTGGTTGGCGACCAGTATGGGTCATTCTCGAAAGGGGTGTGTTTTCGTATTTTCAAAATCGAGCTGATGCAGCTACCGGAGTCAGAAGAAAAGGTTATAAATATCTAGATAACGCCATTACCGAAGTCGTACATGATAATGTTGGCAATAATAATAGCAATAGTCCATCCATTTCGAGCTCAATATCCAGTAATCTTGATCATAAACATCAACAACAATCACCATCTCCACAGCCATTGTGTTTCATTATCATATTCGGTGATCGATCTCGAGCAATGTTAGGACTGCCGAAAAATCAGTCCGAACTTAATTTGCAAAAATGGATTAACGCCATCAATGATCATATTTATTTCAGCACGAATTTTATCAAACAAGTATGTTTTTTATATTTTATTTTTTTTGACTCAAATATTATTTTTTCTGAATAAATAACCACAGGGCACTCATATGGGCGATGATTCGGATGATGAAGAGGAGGCTGCCAAACAATTATTATCACCAATGGCCATACAGGATATGATAGTGACAGCGAATGCACATCAAAAAATTCTTGAACGACATATCAATGCATTACAGCAATTATTGAATGATGAGACCCTATTCTTTTCTCGTATGTTTTGAATGTATTTTTTATTATTATTTTTATATTTAAATGATAAATATTGATGACAAAATATTGATTTTTTTCCTATTCATTTTCGAAAATATAGCTGAAAGAAATCGTGATGACCAATTTTCCAATGATAGTTTTCATTCAGTGCAATCAATAGATTCAATTTCTCGTTCTACAATACCTTCAATTAAATTTCATTTAAATTTGATTTTGGAATCATCAAAAAATGCCAACTCATCATTGACACAATGTTTAGTATTGATATCTCATCAGAATCAGGTTCGTAATTTATTATTTTTTTCTATCTAAAATTAATAAATTTTATGTTTACAAAATACTGATGTAGTCACGACAAACATTGATACAACAAGAACAGGAAAAGGTTCGTGCATTGGAAGAAGCTTTACAATTATTAGCCCATGAACATCATGATCTAGAACGATCAGTTACACGTTCCATTCTTAATTCTACTGCCAGACAGCAACATTCTATCTCAACATCAATGCCGACCGATGTTGCTCAAAATAATTCGATTATAGCTGATCAATCTATACATAATTCTAATCTAATATCATTGAATCAGAGTCTTGTACGATCATTTGCATGTCTATCGCAAACATCAATGGCGACCGATATGGATGAATTTTATGATGCTTTCGATGATGCGTTTGATGATGAAGATGATCATCATCAACATTCCAATTCAAATCCACAACATCCAGATCAAATTGTTCATTGTGATTCGTCATCAACTAATAACAATAACAAAAATAGTGATGATCGAATAATCATAATGGATAGTATTGATAATAAAAATGAACCATTAAATCAATTGAAAACATTGACAACATTTCATACTGCAAATGATAATAGTGAACAACTGAATGATCTTACAATCAACGATTCGATATCGACATTATCACCCGATGATGATGATGGTGACGCAGACAAAACTATTGCTTCGGATGATTTACCATTAAATTCAATGAGGTGGGCATAATTTTTTTTTACTATGAAAATCAAATTGTTCACGGAAAATTTAACGAATTATATTTTAGTGAATTCATAGTTACAAAAAAAATGTTTTTCCTCCTTTTTTTACGACAATGTTATCGTGCGTCTGCAACCATGATAAACATAAATGATGAAAAAAGTGGGTTGTAATACATTTTTTCTAGTTAGTCGAACACGAGGAAAAATTATCAAATACTTGCTGGCTGGCTGGTTTTTTCATCTGTTTATACTATTTGAAATTCTAGAGCCTATTATTATCACCGTTATCACGGTTATTAGTATTTTTTTTTATTCGGTAAATTTATGATGAGACAAATTCAATTCTTTGTCATGTTTTGTTATTGCTGTTCGATTCTGTATTGAATGCCAATAAGTAATGATATTGGAATACAATGCTAATAATATATGCATGCATGCAGCAACCGATGATTTTATTTTCATTCAAAATTCAATTCGTGTCCGTGTTTGTGAATTTATAGAATCTAGCTTGTGAAAGAAAAGGAATAAAAAATAATTGCAATACATTCACATGGAGAGATTTTGTGATGGAAATTCAAACGTTGGAACGAAATCATACATTTTTGCTTTCCTGTTTCTCTCTGCTTTTTTTCGTTCGGGCGTTCTAGAAATTGAAATCTAATTTACTTATTTATTACAAAGATGGTTAGGAGGGATTCACAGGCTGTCTCAATCGAGCAAAGAATTGTACAATTGCAAATAAAAAAAAACGAGAATATGAAAAAAAATTCAATTTCAAATTTACCATTCAATCAGCCCCATCAACCATCCATTCATTTATTCATGTAGTAAATCGAATAATAATCTATGCCAGTGTTCTCCAAACATTTTTGTTTGCTTGTGTGGACCAATCGATAGGTACTGTAACATTTTTTAACGGACAGTTTCTTCCATTTTCTATTGATGCTTAAACTAATCCCAAGTTAGATGGCTGGACCGAAAAAGATAACTAGAGACAATTGGACTTTTTTTTAATTTGCCATTTACTCCTTTTTTTCTTATTCGTTTTTATAGTGTTATATATGATAATGGAAACAATCAATTGGTCTTGACGTTGTTTTGTTCGATAATAATTGCCAACACAAACTATGGAGTGTATTAAAAAAAAAAGACAATCCGAAAAATTTCGTTATTTTTTTATTATTATTATTTTTGTTTCTAATTTAAAAATCACATGAATGTAATGTTTTCTTTTTTTTGTTCTTTTTTATCCTTATCCAAAATTGAATGAATGAATGAATGAATGATGACAGAAAAAACAATCGAATCGAATTTCAATTTTGTTTGTTTCAATATTGATTAAACCATATGTGTGTATGCTTTACTATGTCAAATGTATATATAAATTGATTGAATTTGATTCTCAATGTCAAAGGAAAAGAAGAAAATTGTGTTTGTTATTCAAATTTTCAATTGGAATGAAATTTGTTTTAGAATATTTGTCAGATAATATAATTGCCGGTAAACAAACATTAAATAATAATAATAATTTATTATCACATAGTTAAATATTAATGTTGACATTTTCACAATTGTTTTTTCGAAAATTGGCATTTTTTATTTTGAATTCGTTTGGTTTTGCTCATATGATTTGTTCCATACATGTCATGTTTGTCAATGCACATTCTATGCTCTTCATTAACATTATAATATCAGATAAATAAACTATCTCTAGGAGTTCCAGTTCACTGGACCTCAATCTATTTTTTTTTATTCAAATCCTATGATTTGTAACCCTGGAGATTTTTTTTCTACTTTATTATCCCGATTCATTCCATCTAATGATGATAATAATAACAATAATAAAAGTCTGGTATGGAATCTCTACCCTATGATCTGATTCTTAAAGATCATTTCTATCGAATTCTATGATTCTCATTTGGTTTTCCAATAATCTTCGGATATGGTTCAGTTGTCATAATTTTATTCTGTTTTTATTTTCTTGTTTGTTCTTTTCATCATCTTAAATGATTGCAAAAACTAATGGTATAAGTCTATTTTATTTTATGCTTAACGTTTGATTTTACTGTCCGGCACCGTATATATACGACAGATTTTTGTAATTCTTATTTTTTTTTTTTTTGTTGATCATAACACATTTATTCCATGAATGTGTGTCTTGTCGTGTTTGTATGTGAATGGTGGTGAATGTTAATGAGCCAAATAAACGTGAACCATTTTATTGTTATATATGTAGAAAAGCCCAAAAAAAAGAAGAAGATTCGATTTTTTATGGTTGAAAGAATATTCTATTTCGATCATAGCATCAGAATAATGATGATAAGCAATGTATTAATAGTTGTTTGCCTTTATATATATTCGAAACAGAAATTTGGACAGAGGATTTAATGCTTTCCATTCACTATAGTGACGTATTGACTGTGTGTGACTATGTTTATGTATAAACGGAAATGTTTTTTTTATTTCAAGTAATATAATGAATATAAGAGTCTTATCATCATTATAATAATAATGATAATGACTGTAGTGAGATGATCAGAATGTTGTTGCTTTCATCACTTTTTTTACGAGATTTTTATTTATACGGATGGCTGTTTATGTTTGTTTGTTTGTTTTTTTTTATTATTATCATATAAAACTGAAAAGAAAAATTTTTGGTGGTTCTTACTTGTTTTTCATAATCTATTCTTCTGGTTAATTTTGTTTCATTTTGTTGTTTTGTTTTTTCTTATTTCTGTGTTTATTTATTTATTTTTTTTTTTGAGAATTATTTTCATTGTTTCTTTTTATTTCCGTCTGTAGATCCATTTGTCAAATTGTTGATGTATGTTCCATATTCAATGTTGTCGTCGTTGATGTTTTTTTTTCTATTTTCATGTTGAATGATTCACTGTAATTCATCATTCAATCTTGTTTTGTTGCTTATTTTTTTACTTTTTTTTTTACAACGACCAAAGAAAACGAAGAAAACATTTGTTTTTCAGTTTTCTTGTTGTTTATTTGACCGAATTTTTCTTCTGTTTGCTTCCGGAATTTGTTGTTTGAAAATTTATGCTCAATTTTTTTTTGTTGCCATAGAATGGTTCCTGTGATTAACATTTGTTTTTTATGTATTAGTTAATGATGATCATTATTATGATTACTGAAATTTTGTATATCTACCATGATGTTTTTTCTTTGTTTCGGGTATCAAATCTGATTGATTTTTTTTCCTTCACTCTTTTATGGAAAATTTTTTTTGCCTTTTTTTACCAGAGAGACCTTTTTTTAGTCTTGTCTGATTAGCAGATCTATTTATTTGTTTTTTTTTGTGTTTTGTTTTCGTTTTCATTGTTATCGCAACAAACATATAAATAACAAAGAAAATAAATAAAGAAAACGGATCCAATTTAGAAGCCACATTAAACTATAGTTTTTTTGTCCTCTTTTTCTTTATTTATTTGTTTGATGGAAAAAAATTAGGCACCCACAAATATAAACATATAACCCGATAAAATTAGTGCGAAAAAAATCGAATTCATTTTGATGTCTGTATTTGTATATATATATATATATATGTGTGTGTGTATGCTTGTATGGGCATGAAGGATTCATTTTTTTCCAACTATAACTATGGCGCCATTATTTGGCCAACTTGATTCTATGGTTTTTTATTCATTTCGTATCTAATATTTAACGCGCACGCGGCAATAGGTCATCACCAAAGAAAGAGAGAGAGAGAGAGAGAGAGCTAAATGTTGTCCGCTGTTGTTTTGGAACTTCAATTTCGATTCAATGTTTTTATTCTCCTCATTGAACATAGCCACATGTGTTGGTTATATATTGTAATCTTGTACGTCGTTCCAAAAGGCCACTACCAACTAGCAACTGTTTTGGATATAGAATATTCTTTATGGGCCTATGCTTACTTGTTTATATATGTGTGTGTGTTTGTGACAATACCACACGTTGCCAACACAAACATTCATTTATCCATTTTCCTACAAAGCAGTTGCATTTGGTTTTCTTGTCATTTTTTTCTGTTGTTCTTCTTCGTTACTTTGTTGTTGTGTTTCAGGAACTACACGCGATGAAATGAAAAAAAAAATCCTTGGACTAGAATATATCTATGTTTCAGTCTGCCAAATTGAATCGAATCACGCGGCTCCATAAACGCTATAAAATACACATTCTAGATCAGTAGTGTGTCTGTATGACAACAGAATTCATCTACACAGCGATACAGCAGCAGCAAAATAAAAAGTATAGAACGCAAAGGGAAAAAAGAGCAGTAACTGAATTTGGTTCCAGTTTTTTTCACATTTATTTATATTCTATGTATGTGTGTTATTATTTTGCGCTGGATTTTAGCGTCTGTGTCGGTATTATTCAATGCAAAACATAGTTATATTGAGAATATTATTGTTGTCATCATCAGATTTTTGTTTTCATTCATTCAATATTTGGTCATTCATGATATTCATCATTCGTCGAACATTTTTAACCATCGTTTTTTTTCTGACAAAACAAAATACTTTCAGCAAGTTTATTATCTAAATATCATTGTCATATAGTATATTATTTTGATCAAGGATAAAATAGCCATCAATTGAAAACCTACAATTTCTTCAATCTGATCAATTTGAATCATCATTTTTAGTGGATTTATTTTTTTCCTCGTTTCATCTTCATTCGATCACGACGACCTCACCAAAGTCTATTGCCGAGCCATTTTTTCTTTTATTATTTTTTTTTGCTGTCGTATATAAATATATTCGAGCTTCAACGTTTAAGTTTACTTTTGATTCTCTCTTCATTTGGTTTTTTTTTATTTCATTGGATCATTCCCGTGTGTATAGTTTTGTCAGAAATTGAAGTCATCATTTTATTTTATATGTGTGTATGTGACATTTATGATCGATTTCTTGGATAGCCATATATTTACGACCTGTCTTTAGAAAAAGGCGTATAAACTCTTTTATCGATTTTGACCAAAATTATCATCAGTCCAATACTTTGAAAATGATGAATTTTTTTTTTGCTTTGTAATTTTTGATCTTTGAACTTGACATTTTACATGAAGATTTTTTTCCTAGATCTCTTGTGGTAATATCGATTATTTAATGTTTGTCGATGGACTTGTAAATTTATCCCTTGTTTATATATTTGAATTGATGATACAAAGAAAGATATATAATTATCATCAAATAAGCTAAAAATAATCGATGAAGAAACAATTTGACATCAACAACAACAACAACAGCATTGACGAATGTAAAGATTTCATTTTCATGTGGATGATCCTGTTGTTGTGAAGAATGTGTTCACAATTCGGCCATTTACAATTCGTATAAAAAAACAAAATGATTGATTGAATTGAAACTATAAAACTTTGAACTTTTTTTTTATCGTTTGTTTCAATATTTTTTGTTGCTTCACTAAGTGTGTGATAAATTATATCGAACGAAACGACTTACATCTGAAATACATATTGTATTCACCAAATGTGCCATTCTTTAAAACATAATTTTTCATATATTCGGGAAGCAAAAAAAAAATAAATTATCGGAGAAAAACGCTAATTAATATACATCAGCGTTTGTGTGTGTTTTTATAGATTGTTGCTCGGATTTTTTTTTTAGAATCCAAATCCATCGTTATTCTTTCTCCATTCAAGTAAATAATATCATATCATAATCAATTCATTGACGACGACTAAAAACGAACCAAAACCATCCCGGGCACGATTATAGTACCCGGCCATCCATAAAAAATCATTCAAAACGACGCATACGTTGATACATTTGACCGCCACCCTATTAACACCATCATTGATCATCATATTTATTCTATTCATCGTACTAGTGTTGATTGCGATCGAAACGACAAATTCGATTGCAGCGAAAAAAGCTGCAGCTGCCGCCGCAAGGCGACGGCGACAAAATCGTCACAATAGTTATAGTAGTAGTGACGGACCAGATCCGGTCTGATTATTATCATTATTATTATTCATTCTTCTAATAATAGCGTCAGACCACAAATATAAAATATCAGACAGTTACTCAAGTAATCACAGCAACACGCTTACGATTGATTACGAATAATATCGATTCTATTTTCAACAAGTCTGACACTCAATCTAAATCGTAAAAGAAGAAGAACTTTAAGTCTTAAATGTTATTGAACGAACCATATCACATTGTACATGACAATAATATCAAATTATTATCGAACAAAAAAAGAAAAAGAGATGAAATATATATATTAATACATTAAAAAAAATCAAATTTCTTCATAATTTTTTTGTGTTTTACAATTGGAAACATTATCAACAATTGTCGTTGTTAACGAATCCAATCTTCTTCTGATTCAATCAATCAAAATCATTATCATCATTTCATGTTCTGATGACTATCAAATCTATAACAACAAAATTATGGAGAAATCTAGCCTTATTTTACACACCCTTAATAATAATAATAATAATAATAATACACCCAAAATGGATAGCAACAATGTTGAACAACACAGTGATTTATTGTTCTCAATGGAAAATTGTAACAAAAATCACCATGATAATGGTCATCATCATCAAGATGGTGACCATGTTGGTGCTTTAGCTAAATTTAACCACAATAGGTTTGTCATTTATCGTCTAATGTTATGAATTTTTTCTTCAATTCACTTTCAAAAATATTGATTAATTTTTCTAAATTATTATTATTATTTTTAATAACTATATTTTTGCTGATTTGTTTTTTTTTTTTCGAAATAGCCAACATAGAGATCGTTTACCAGCACCGATGGTGCCTAGAGATGAAATTGGCCTTTGGAGTATTCTAAAGCATTGTATTGGAAAAGAATTGTCGAAAATAACATTCCCAGTGATATTCAATGAGCCTCTTAGTTTCTTACAACGTATGACAGAATTATTCCATTATACACATTATCTTAACATAGCCGATCAATGTGATGATATTGTCGAACGTATGGAGGTATGTTATGTTTTTGTTGTTGTTGTTGTTGTTGTTGCTCTAATGAATTGAATTGAATTGAATGATGCGATCTTAATCTTCAAAAAGAATAATTAATTATTATTATTCTGTCTTATTATGTTTTTTTAATTTGCTTTTTTCTTCTCATCATTTTCATTATATATTGTCATTCAATTAATTATCTTATTTATTTATTTGTATATATACATCTTTAGAACATCTGTGCATATATCGTTTCAGCTTATTCATCAAATTGGCTTCGACTAAATAAGCCTTTCAATCCATTATTGGGTGAAACGTTTGAATATGAAATAAAAACATCACAAACAAAAATTGTTTGTGAACAAGTTTCACATCATCCTCCAATCAGTGCCTGGCATGCTGAATCACCACATTTTATTCTTCGTGGAACTAGTGCACCAAAATTACGATTCTGGGGCAAATCGATTGAAGTGAAACCCGAAGGAACGGCAACACTGGAACTCAAATCCTGTGGTGAAATTTACACCTGGAAATCGGTCAATTGTTGTGTACATAATATTATTGTCGGAAAAATTTGGTTCGAACAGGTGCGTTTGATAGAATTCATGTTTATATTTATGATGATGATGAATCAAATTGTGGAACGGCAATGATTTTAGATTTCATCGTAAATTGATTTTTTTTGTTAATGTAATCCACATGAACAAATTCTTGTACGATTTTAATAATTCAATTCCAAAATCTTTGGGAATACTTTTTTTTTCTTTTCTTTTATTATATAATAGTATGGTACAGTAGAAGTTGCGAATCACATGAATCAATTCAAATTGCTCATCAATTTCAAACCGGCCGGTTGGTTTGGTTATGATCTAAATCGTTTGGATGGCTATATACAGAATGTAAAAAAAGAGAAGCTACGTTTTGTATATGGAAAATGGAATGATTATCTTAAATCTGCCAGCATTGAAGATTATGACGAATATCTGAAAGCTAATAATAATAAATTTCGTGCACCCGATAAGCCGATTGATATCGGTGCGAGTGATGGTAGCGGTCAAAATGATCATCATTCATTTAATCGTAGTAAAATGATGTCAAAATTGAATTCATTGACCAAACAGTTGACAGGATCGTTAGATCTTGGTGTAGCGATCGGTGGCAGTAGCAATGATCAACAGCAACAACAAACGGATGATAATAATCTTCCACCAGAAGCTATCGAAGGTGATATGCCTAAAAGTGATTCATCACATTCATTAGATATAAATAATTCTCGAATATTATGGAAAGCTGAACCAAGACCTGAACATTCGTCGCAATATTACAATTTCAATTGGTTTACATTCGGTCTAAATGAATTGCCTGGAGATAATAATGAACGGCAAGAATTATTAAAACGATTACCGCCCACTGATTCTCGTTTAAGACCTGATATAAGAAAATTAGAAGAAGGAGATCTTGGTAATGTATTTTTCTTGAATCAATATTATAGATAAAAATATATATAGATTTGGACATAAATTTTTACACAAAATTTGGTTGTTTTTGTTACTCCATTGCTTGGAGCCAACAAAAACAAAAAAAAGAAATATAAATGGATTCATCATCAACAACATTAATGATAAACTAAATGATGGCTAAACAATGATACATTCATGTAGCTAATAGATTCCACATGATACAAATGTAAAAAAAAATTTTGCTGTCGAAAATGATATTCGAAAAAAAGAAGAATGAAAGAATTCTGAAAACTATACTTTCTATCATCAACATTATCATTAATAATAATAATATTTCTTTTTTTTGTTCGTCAAAAATTAAATCATGACATAACAGATGCAGCAGCTGCAGAAAAGAATCGATTGGAGGAAAAACAACGTGAAGCACGGCGATTACGGAAAAAGGGCAAAATGAAAGAATTTCAGCCTTTGTAAGTTTTTTTTGTTGTTGTTGTTGTTTGATTGCTATTTGTTCTTTTTTTTTCTTTACTATTCGTTTGTATATTTGTTTTTTGTTCTGTGTGTGTATTTTTCTGGTTGGTGAAATTCGAGATTTGAAAACATAACTACTGCTGCTGCTGTAGAGAGAATTGAAACAACATTTCACTCACGCAATTGTTCAGAATTTTTTTTTCGTTAATTTCTTTTTTACGTTTTGTTTTTGATAACTTTACTTTTCGAAATTTTTTTTGTTTCCACTTTTTTCATTTCATTTTGTTTGTTTATTCATGTTACTACCGTATTCAATTATACTAATTGCTTTTTTTCTCCATTTACAACTACTCAACTCAACTGAAAAATAATCAAAAAATAAAAATAACTGCCCATATAACTGACGAACTGTTGACAATCGAACAAACCAAACTTTATTTCATCGTTGGCATGTTATTCTATCATGATAATGATGGTACCCGTATTCAAACTTGATAATTGTTATGAAAATTATGTCAATGTCATAAAGGTGGTTTCGGCCTGAATTTAACCAATATACTGGACAAGAGGATTGGGTGTTTAAACAGGAATATTGGACCAAACGTGATTGGTCTAGATGTCCCGATATATTCTAAATATACAAAAAATGATTCTGATTTCGTTTTGTTTTTTTTATCAAATAGAAAAAGGCTATAAAGGTATGTTCATGAAAAAGAGTATTTTATTCTATCTGTTTGAAATGAAGCCTTTTTGCTAAATTAAATACTGTTTTATAGGGAAAGCAATTTGAATATGTTTCATTCATTCAATTCATTAATCATGCTAAATGAATAAAAGGTTCACCAAAGAAAAAACAACAAAAAATATGGTTAGGGCGAATATATATTACATTAATCATTATCATGAATAGTAATTGAAAATTTGATTCTTGATCTCAAATAAAAAAAAAAAAAAAAAATTATATGAATGTAGGTTTTCGAGCGTCACACCCTTTGATTTTATTTTAATTTTTCCACTACTCTATCTTTATATTTATTTTTTGGTTCACTTATTGATTAAATCTCTTGGATACATTTTTTTTATCAAAATACTATAGAATTTCTAATTTAAAAAATAACTAATAATTATATATTATTCTTTTTTATACCTAACAGCGTCTTTGTTCCAGCTCCTGGCCATATCTATATAATAATTAAGAAGGAATTTGTTTTACCATCTGTCCGCACTACCACATTATCAGAAAATGTGATGGCATTCAAAAATAAAAATTCCTTGAATTGTTGAAAAATATTATCAATCGGAACAAGAAGATTGCAGCCACAAAAAATTCAAATTCATCTTGACAAATGCTCAACTATTTTTCATTCAGTCTTAAACATTCTTATTATTATTCAATATAATAAATGAAATAAATTTTTATTATATACCATATAAATCAACAAAATAAATAGAAAAAGAAGAGGTGTTTTGAGATGATGATGATGATGATGATAGTGTGATTACAACACATGACATATAAACACATTTCGGATATGTGCAAGTGTACGAGTGTGGAAAATGTATCAAGTTGTAATGCAAAAAAGAAATACCCGATGAACATGAAGAATCTCAATTCAAATCTATTGGAATTTGGGCTTTTCGCTTGGCTGAATTCAAGTATATGTGATGTTGTTGTTGTTGTTGTTGAACACTTCAACCAAATATACGACCTGCGAAAAAAACTTTTTCTTACAAGCCGTTTCAAAATAATATACAAGACAAGAAACTGACGTCCGATCGAAAAGAATAAAAAAAGACCGTATAAATCGAATCATTCTATCAATCAATAAAATCGATACATACAACGAAATCGAGCAGCTTTTCTATAACATCCTATTGTATATACATGAATCTAGAAGTTGATGATGATAACATAGCCACTTCTGTTTCATGAAAAAAAAAAAGAAATTCGACTTTTACCATGTAAATGTGAAGGATAAGAAATAATCGAATTCTACTCAAGTGGCAAGATCGAAAAATAAAATTATTCATGTCGAATTGCAGAGAAAAAAAAACTTTTCCAAATGATGATGTAGTATTTGATCGTGGCATTGATGGCCCACTTACGATTCTTCATGATGATGATTTTTTATGATAACTGGGTGTGAACATATAGAAATTGTGGAAGAATCGTTGACCAATTATCATCATGATGTTGATTTGGTCTTGATCATCATTTATTATTGAATTTTCTTATTCTTGACTATATTCGATTGATCGGTTTGTCTATTATGGTTGTGGATGAAAAAAGAATAACAATTAGAAAATCGATTCAAGCTTTTTCTGGATTTTTCCGATTATACATTCTACAAAGCAAAACATCAGCCTATTGAGAATAATAAAAACAAAATTCTGATATTATTTTCAATGTTTTCATTTTTTTTTTGGTCATTATAAATCATTAAAATATCAGAGTTGGTCCAAATGTTTTTCGCCACTAACATTTATGTTGTTAGAAATGATGATGAGTTTGCACTTTATTTTACATAATGTTGTTCTTCGGCTTATCAATATTGTTATCATTATCATCATCATTATTGACACCATTTTCGATTTCTATTGACATTCATTTTACATTGGAATTTACATCATTATTATCATTTCTAAATCAATGATTGTTCATCGAGTATTGTTATACGATGACAACAAATACAACGACGTTTTGAATTTTTTTTTTTATTATTATAAATTTCAATCATAAATCAGGATTTGCGCAAATGTCGATCATATTTCGTTTTTTTTTCTTGATCTTGTCTTCTATCTGTAATAATTGTACACACACAAACAAACGATCAGAAGATTATTCATTCATATATTATTGTTGTTATTATTCTTATTCTATTGCTATCGTTACTTGTAATCCGTTTTTTTCTGTTGTTTCTGTTATTGTTGTTGCTGTCGTTGTTGTTGTTGTTGTCATATAAAATTGAATACGAAATTAATTCTTGATGATGATGACAACGATGACGATGATGATGAAAATAAAATTAAAGTTTTCAACAGAAAAAAACGAAATTATAAATGAAAAAAATAAAATAAAATAAAATGCCAAATTCAAAAAAAAACAAAATCATCATGACCATTATTTGATACACACATCAATTCCAGTTCTTATTTTTCGTTTTTGTTCTTTGTTTCCGTTTTCGTTGTTGTTGTTGTCGTTGTTGTCAACGACGACAATGTTGGAATAATAATAATGGTGAAATACACAAAGAAAACGAATTGTTCAACAACAATCGATTCAATTCGATTAGATTCATTCATCTTAATTTTCTTTTCGTTTTTTTTTCGGGGCACTTTCGACATTTGTGTTTGATCAGAGTACGTTATATATTTTTTTTCACTTTTCTCTCCAATAATTAAAATTTTTTTTTACTGAATGTCGCTTGTTTTTTCGTCAGCATATAATGAATTGTCTTTTTGTATTGTAAAATGAAAATACACGAGGGCCATATTGTTTTGTTTTGTTTTTTGTTTTGTTCATGGACAACACGACGATGTTGTCAAAAACACATTCTTCACATACACACCGATACTCGATATATGAGATGACAATACTACAAATCAAAAAATGGAACAGCAGTTTTTTTCATTGTTGTTCTTTTTTTTTGTTTTTCGATATGAAAAAAAAATTCTGGACGGAATTTTTTTTGTTGTTCACAATAGAATTCATGATGACAAATAATAATAAATACCACTCCACATCACCAACAAAAACAAAATGGTTGAATTCAAATTATTTTTGTTTTTGTCCCAACAATTTGGAATGAACAAGTCGATTGATCATTGGGAATGACCTTTGTACAGAATTTTTTTTTTGGACCAACAGATTCACATATGGATTTTATCATCATCATCATCATTATAATCAATGATTCTTTTATTTCTAAATGAAACGAAAAACTTTCAAACAAATAAATAGTGTTGAATAATGTGTTGGTCGATGTTTGTATCCTAGCAATAATCAATCAATTTTCGACATTTTTTTCTTGTCGAATTTTAAATCCATCATTATTAGTTTATAATAAAATATCACTTTACAGAATCCATCAGTATACATTTATTATGTAACAATTGATTGATTTGGGCAAACATGTCAAATTTTTTTTTGTTGGCTACACTTGGCTGACTTGATCTTCATTTTTTCCATGCGTGTATATTCTGTAATTGCCATAAAAAGGATCTTTTACTTTCATGTTAATCCATTGACAACACTTTGGAATAATGTGTTGCTGTGGATTCAGATTTTAATTTAAATGTTGAGTAATATATGATGTTTTTGGAGACAGTTAGAATAGGAAAAAAATGACAAATTTGTTTGACATACAAAAATTGTAAAAGTTTTCTTAACAATCTTTAATGTCTTTTTTTTGTATGATATAGAATCGACCACGAATTACCAAGTTTTTCTTATTATTCAATCAATCACAAAAAAATTATTTACTTTAAATAAATGGATGGATGGAAAAAAGTTGAAATCTGTTTAGAAATCATTCTATTTGACCAATTTCATTTCGATTCTATTCTATAATCAGTATAAGAAGTTTGTTATCAATAATGTTTGTATATATATGTTTATTTGTCATTTGTTTTTATATATTCCCATTTTTATAAGTATCTCTAATGAGCTTTTTTTGTTGTTGATGTTGGAATTCATTTTTTCCCTCATCCACTTTCGTTACGACCTTCAACAGATTTATTATCGTTTGCTTTTCCATGAATTTTTTTTTTCGTTTTTGGCCTAGGAAATTTGATAATAATAGCTTAACGTTAACCGTACAAACACACATTGCAATTAGATTACTTGACGATCGACAAACTAATAAGGACCTGTGTAGTTTTCGAAAATTTCCTGAACTTGATGTTTTTATTACTATATATATTTTTGTATAAGAGGCCAATCATTTTCATCATCAAGAATTGAATTTCATTTTCAATCACATTTTTTTGGGATTTTCATTTTTCTTTCCTTCATAGTTCTGATTATATATAATCTACAATACAGTAATGCAAAAGAGAGGAAAAAATTTTTACAAACTTTGATTCTACATTCCCAAAATTCGTTTATTCATTTTTTTCATTTCAAATTCTGTTCTGGATTTACAGAAGTCTATTCCGAGCAAAAGAAGAAATTCATAAAAAAAAAAAAATAACGGCAATTACCGTCATTATAGACCGAAATACACAATTTATTTAGCTTTTATAATCATAATAATAATAAAATCCATATACGAATATGTAATAACTGAATGTGGTCCAAAAATGAAATCATTTTTTATTCTTTCGCTGAATTCCCATCATCATTCCAAGATCTATATATATGGATAGAGAGAAAAAATGTGATTATTATGTACATTACAGTTTTCATTATAAGGTTTGATAATTATCATTTTCATCAACGTCATCATCATCATTTGGGTGACGATAATCGTTTTTTTTTCTATTTGCTTCTCTTTTTTTCCAACCAGAATGGAAAAATAACCGAATAATCGTTTGTTTTTTTTTGGAACATTTATTTGTTCATGTACCGTATATGATGATAATTATCATTTGCAATGATCATTTGCTACCACCACTGCTACTGATGTTATAAGCTATTTTCATAATTTTTATTTTCATCAACTTTTGTATATGTTTGCTTGCCGGCTGAATCTATATATATTTATTATTTATTATGTTGGTTGTTTTTTTTGCTGCATGAACATTCGACGGATGTGAATAAATATGATTTTATTTTTTAAATTTTTCTCATAACGATTGATTGAATCAAACGGAAATTTCAATCTACTTTTTTTGTATCGACCTTATTTCTATAAAGTCATTCACAATGATAATGATGATGTTGATGAGAATCGGATTGGGCGAACCCAAAAAGCCAATCGATCTTTCTATTGCCTTATCTATCTATAGTTTTATTATTATTGTTATTATCATTATTTTTTCATCAAAGCTTCTGTTGTTTTGTTGTGTTTAGATCAAATCGACCAAATCGAATACAAGATCTTTCCTTTTTCTTTTCATTTTTGTGGTTTCGTTGCTAGGCCACATTTTTTTTGAATCTTTTGTATGTGCGTGTATAGGTTTTGTCCATTTTTTCCGGGAGATTTCAACACATAAGGGAATAAAAAAAAGAATGAATAATGATAATCATATATATGGTCGAAATATCTCGATCCTCCTTTTGCTTCTAGAAAATGTCTTTGATCCGCCTTTGATTCTGGTTTGGTGGTTTTATTTAGTTCGATTTTCACTGATGGCTGTTGAAATTTTTATTTCCTATTGAACGTTTTTTTTCGTTTTAAGATAATTTTCTTTATATTCCAATATCCATATACATTTCTTTATCTTTTATTCTTCCTATACACGGAATGTGTGGATGCTGATAATATGGGGTGAAAAATGATTTATCGTTTTGTATAAATCACATCTATCAATATATGTGGAATGTTCTTGATTCCATATTTTTTGGTTCATTTTCAAATCCAGTTTCCCTAAGTCTTTCTAACATCAATGGAAGGAATAGTGTAACTATAGTACACAAAAAAAAATTTTTTTTTTAAATTTACGACCTACCGGTGATTTACATTTATTTCTGTCGATTTCGTTGTTGATGGTTAGAATTCATTGGAAAGAATCGAAAAAAAATTATAATTCCTTGTTTGCATACACACAAAGTCATTGAGTGACTGTTATTGAGGTCATTCTTTTCTTCCATTGTTAAACGATATACATTTTTCTGTGAGAATATCGTTGACTGAGATACCATCACATTCTGGTATTGTTTTTGTTTTTATTTTAAAAATATCGTTGATCGTTATTTCAATGCAAAATTTATTTTCAGTTTTTTTTTCATCTCATTCGATATAGTTTAAAATTGTCCACATTGACTATGAATTTTTTTTTCTTGTTGTTGTTGTACATTTTATTGAAAAAAACTAGCCTTTATAATAATGTCATGATGTGCCCTATAGGGAAATCCATTAAATACCCGTATTATAATGATAGCAATGTTAAAAAAAATCGATAGATCGTTTGCCAAAAAAAAAAAAATTCTTTCTCTTGTTGGTTTTCAGGATATTCGATTTTTAAGCTTGATTCTCATGTATATATGATTAAAAAAAACAAGATTCATGATGCTCGTTTTAACCGAATCAATTTTTTTCGTCATTCATCTTTTTCTTTCCTTTTCACTACTCTTTCTCATCATCATCATTGTTGCTCTGGTTTTGGCTTCATACGAAATCAATAATAATACGATTCTTTCATTCATTCAACATTAGATAGGCATTTAACTTCAAGGAGAAATTTACTAGTGAAAGAGAAACGAAATTCTTTTTTTTTCGCACTGAATCCATAATATGGATTTGTTTAAGGTTTTGTTCATCTGTTCTATTTGACTTCAATGGCAAAATATGATGTGCGTATGTTTAGGAAGGGTGAAAAATTTCAACATTAAAAAAAATTGAAAAAGATAGGATTTTTTTTATAATGCAATTTTTAATCACACCCATCTAAAAATTGCCTGTTTTCGACACATGCACACGATTTTCGATTCACGTCTAATATTTTCCATTTTGAATTTTTTTTTCCACTGTCTCTCTTTCTCGTTCATGTTTGATGTCATAATACTTTTTTTTCATTGAATTTTTTTTTCTTTCTATCATTTCTCTTTATTAGGTTGGATTTACAAAAGAGATTAATCTCACCCGTGTGTGTGTGTGTGTGTGTGTCACTCGTATGTTGAATGAAATGAATCTATAGATATTCTTGTTTGAATTTCAAAAGTCTACACAGAATATTCTAGATCTTTGTTTGTTCTTGTCTTGTCTTGTCTTTTCTTAAGCTCTTTTGAAGAAACTGAAGTCCCTTGACGAATTATGGTGTTCTTTGTTGAAATTTTTTTTTGTTTTGTTTTCGTTCTTAATCTTGAACCAGCCATGACGAGAAAATAAGCCTGAAAAATGGTTTTGAAAAAATTTCAATATATGCCAAGAGAAAAATTGTCTGAAATTTTAAATGAAATTTTTTTCTCCATTGCAAGTGTTACTGTCGATTCTTTTGTCCTTGAATCGGTCGTTTGTCGAAATAATATCCTATCGATCCGATTAATTCACATTAAAGTAGATTCAATAGCTCCATATTCGTGGCTTAACATGATGATGATGGTGGTGGTGGTGGTGGTGGTGATGGGAATGAGGGTCATCATCATTATCAAAACTGATGATACCGACATGTTATTTTATAACAATGCCAGTCTAAGCTCGAAATAAACGAAATATTTTATTACATAATGATGACTCCAGAAACATTTTACAAAAAGTTCAATGCAAAAACGAACTGAACAGAAATTATGGTCGCTCTAACGACGATTCTATTTTATAAAATAAGCTTAAAGTTATTTTTCTATATGAAAAAGAATGAAATAAAGTTTATTGCCATTTCTAGTGGTTGATGATTTCAAATCTAGGTTTTTTTCATTTAAATTGTTTTTCTTATTACTATTCTTTTCAGGCATTGTTTTCTCGTTCTACGTTCGGAGATTTTTGATAAATGTAGAAAGAGCAAGTAATAAAGAATTTGTACTTAAAAAAAAATCCAAGAAATTGATCATGATGGCCAATTTGTTCGGTAGGGTTCAACATTTTTATTGAAAACAAAAAGAATTTTAAAGAAAAATATGAAAAAAGTTTCAATTCTCAAATAATCTCTTTACTACAGCAGGATTTGTAACTTTTTTTCTCATTAATTCAAAAATATTTTCCTAAATTTCTCTCTCTCTCGCTCTCTGGTTTATAATTGATAGATGCGGTTTGATGAAAATCCTTCTTAGAATTTCAATGTCTAAACTGTTGTATCTTTTATAAAAGTTTTATTCATTTTGATCTCCAAAGATCTGTAGATTGTAGATAATATTTCATTTTTTTTCATGAAAAATCTAATTATTGATAATGGCAACAACTATTTATCTGAAATCAGTGGCATTGATATGATATTAAAAAAAATTGGCAACAAATCATTTCATTCTCTGGGGCTGCAAACCAAACCAAAAAAAAAAGTTTCTGACAACAAACAGCGACAGGACAAACTTTTTTCCTACAAACACGCGCCTTTTAACGACAATGATCAAACACAAACATCTCTTGTTATCGTTCATTTTTGTTGTCAATTTATTATTATAATAAAAATGTTTCAAATTTTCTTTCTATTTTCATGAAACATCTGCTACAACGAGAAAAAAAAATATTATTTTTTTTCTATTATAAAAACCAACATTATTATTGGATTCAGAAATTTTGTCATAACGATTTTTAGTGACAATGTGTATGTTGTGTTTGTATTTTCATTCGTAAATAATTTATATATTTGTTCAACATTAGAAAATGAATTTGATAATATATAAAACAAAAAATTCAAAAAAATAAAAAAAATATCGCCATCTATTGTTAATGTTTGTAAATGATTCCTTGTGAACATTTTCGAAATAATTTACCAATTTTATTTGCCAATTCAAGATTACCGGTGGCCAGAATATTACCACCATTTGGATCAAATTTATCACCATGAATATTGAAAACATAACCACCGGCTTCTTTGATTATAATATAACCGGCAACCATATCCCAGATTTTTATTTTAATCATAAACGATGCATCAATACTTCCATCGGCAACCATACACAATGCCATACAACAGGAACCAACACAACGAAACGCTTTGCTTGGCCATATGATTGTATTAAACAGATCTGATGAAAAATTGACTGGAAATTCAGCTGGTGTATAACCGATTGGAATTCCCGTTTGAATCATAGCTTCGGATAATTTCTCGACATTTGATGATACACGAATCGGATAGCCATTACAAAATGCTCCACCGTTTTTGATGGCATGATAAAGTCGTTCTTGTCCAGTACAATAGGTAACTCCCAAAACAATTTCTTGATCAATTGCCAAAGAAATTGAAACACAAGACCAAGGAAATAAATGCGTAAAATTTGTTGTACCATCAATAGGATCGACAATCCAAGTTGGTCTATTGGATTCTAAACAATTCATTTGATTGCCATCTGATTCTTCACCAAGAAAATCATGATCAGGAAAACGATGACGTAATTGAGTGAAAATAAAATTTTCAATTCCAGCATCAGCATCGGTAACCAAATCTTTCATCGATCCAAAATGAATGCCTTTTTCCATCACATCGAATCCATTTGTTTGCCATTGAATTAATTTTTGACCAGCTTGTCTGGCTAAATTAATAGCAAAATCTAAATATTCTTTCAATAAGGATGATGATGATGACATTTCACAATAAAAGCAAACTGAACGAAAAAAAAACGCAAATAAAACTCATATTTCATTGACTTACAATTTTTTATTAAATTATATCTGAAATTAAAATATTTTCTATCATCACATGATATCGAACAACAAAAAAAATTGCGATAAAAATCTACAGCTATTATCGCTACGTTATCGTTGATGATTGTGATTCAATTTTTTTTTATGAATGTAAATCAAATCATTATGAATACCTTTATCATCATTAATACCGTATTTCCTTTTATTGTCGCCTATATAGATAGTTTATTTTAATAGTAATAGATAAATCAACTAGTAGTCCTTGCATTTTGAAATTCATAAACTCATTTCCATCTAGTTACTTTAACTGAATTTCTGGGTTTCAAATTCAAACAATTCAAATGATTTTCAGCGACTAACGCATTTACATAGGAAATCTATAATTCCCCTTAAAAGATGGTAACTATTTTACCGTTAATTAATACCTGATTAGATTAGAATTAGTTCAAACAAATGAACCTTGTTTTCAACTGGTGGTTCTTTCAATATTCGTAATTTGATTGTTTCGGATTTTGAATTTGATTTGGATCATCAACGTTTGGTGGCGCAACATAAAACATCCTTATACCGATAGGATGGACAGACGGACAGCCACACAGAAACAAGCATATATATGTGGCCGTGTACCCCGGTTGTAATAGCTCTCCCGGTTATTCTGTCTGTAATTAGAATGAATGTCCAGCCCCATTGAGTTTCGATCGCAAAGAAATCTCAAATCAAGCCCCTTTATCTCCGCATGGTGGCGTTAGCAGCTTTGGGGTGGTTAAATTCATGGTGGCTGGCTTGTTGGCTGTCTTTATATGCAGTTGCCATTCGCGGTGTGATCGTTGTCCTCCACTGGCTCACCACATTCGCTCCGTGTGTGTGTGTGTGTGTGTGTACGAGTGCATTGTGAGCAGTAATTCTCCCACGTTAACGAGTGCATTGTGAGCAGTAATTCTCCCACGTTAACCAGTGGCGGCCATATTGGTGTTTTGTTTATCTAATATTTGGCTCCTCAATAATTGTTCCTTTCGTTTGATGTCCAACATTCACCTGTCCATCTTTACTATCGGATAAGCGTTCCAGAAACTCAGCATCCTTTTAAGTGATGAGTGATAGCGACAACAATAGTGTTGGTGATGATGATCAACAGTACACGGTCATTGATCAATCTTCATATGGCCAAGACAATGATGATCGCGATGGCGATTCCAGACATCACCGAAGAAGTAAGTGTCACTAGATTCCATTGTTCTGATTCTAATTACATGATTCTTTTAAAACAGGCCGACGACGAGAATCTTCGAAAATGAAAAAACATGAACCTATTGATTTGGGTGATGATTCTGATGATGATGACGATAGCTCTATTGCTGGAAATACAGCAGCCGGTCGTTATGAAGAGGACGAAGATTACCACGAACCTGGATCATCTTCAACGAAAAAGAAACGTACGAGTAGTAGTTCAACTCGCACTATGGCCTCCAACAGTAGCACTGGTCATAGTGACAATCGTAAAAAATCAAAAAAATCCAAATCATCCTCATCATCATCTTCATCGTCATCAAAACATCAGCTACAAGATTCAGATAATGAACAATCGATGGCTGCCGAAGATGGTGGCTCAACAACAGCGACTAGCCATGATGATCAACATTCGAACGGGCAAAGATTGCCTCCGTTAAAAATAAAATTATTGCCACCACGAGAAAAATCTAAACGATCCTCGAAGCGAAATAACAGAGATAACGAGGATTCAATTCACTCAGCCAATGATGATGATGATTTTCAAATGGATAGTCACCATTCTACTGGTATCACAAGAAAAAGTTCTAAAAGTTCTGCTCCTGATCTTGAATCATCGACAACATCTAATATACCAACACGCCGTTCAGAACGAATATTTGTTTCTAATGCCAAGAAAGTGGATACCGTTCAAGAATCAACGGGTGATGCAACCGAAGGTGTTGATAGTGGCGCAGGTGATGAATTAGAACCAGATTTCAAAATCGTTCATAAAGATGTCTGCAATTCTTGTAGACAAAGTGGCGAGCTAATTCTTTGCGATTATTGTCCACGAGCATATCATAAAGTTTGTCTCGACGACGATCTAGGTGCAAACGATGAGCTGCCTGATGACTGGTGTTGTCCTCACTGCCAAACTCACGGCAAACCAACTCCTAAAGAATTAAAGCAGCAAGTAGCCGCTATTGTTGCCAAAAAAAAGAAAAAACAAATGTCAGCTGCCGCAAAAAATCAGCAATCAACTTCTCAACAATCATCGACATATCCAAAAGCAACCGGATCCAGTTCCAAAGGAAAAGAAATTGAAAATCGTGACTATTGTGAAATTTGTAATCAATGTGGTGAGCTATTGCTATGTGATACATGTCCACGGGCCTATCATCTCGTTTGTATGGACGAAGATATGAAAAACATACCGGAAGGTCAATGGTCATGTCCATATTGTCAGGAACATGGTGTAGATGCTAGTAATGCCGAGCTTGATGCTTCCACTATCGAAAAGAGTGAAAAGGTTGAAAAGATTGTTTGTAAATCATGTCGGCAAAGTGGTGGTGACATTGTATTCTGTGCTTCTTGTAACACTCGTATCCATATTCAATGTTTGAATCCACCGCTCGACGAAATGCCCGAAGTTTGGCATTGTCTTGCTTGTTCAGTCGAACCATTAAAAGGAAAAGTTCAACGAGTCATCACTTGGCGTTGGAAAAAAATGAATACTGCTAAAGAAGATGAAGTTAATGGCGACCAGAAGACACAAATGTCGGCCGAAGATACAACGAAAAATTTGCTCAAAAATCTTAAAAATCGCAAACCTCGTGAGCGAGAATTTTTTGTCAAATGGAAAGACATGTCCTATTGGCATTGTTCATGGATCGATGAAGCCCAGCTTCAGGTATTTCATTCAAACATGTATCGTTTCTATGCACAGAAAAACGATATGACCAATCCTCCCATGTTCGATGAAGCTGGAATGCTAACGACAAATCTTGCTGAACCGAAATCAATAGACGATCTTGGTAGATCTTCGGCTGAAGAGCAACAACAGAATAAATTGTGCGAAGATAATCCAGCTGCACTTGCTGCTTCTATAGCAAGTAAACATCGTCGCCGTAAACGATGTAGTAATCTACCATCAGAAATAGAAGAGACATACGTTCGATATGGTGTGCGCCCAGAATGGTTACTCATACATCGAATCGTTAATCATCGAAAGAACAGAGGCAAAATTTACTACGTCATCAAATGGCGCGATCTTTCTTACGAAGAAGTTACCGCCGAACCTGAACCAGAAAATTGTGATTTTGAGATACCAGATTATCAGAAAAAAATTGACGAATATTGGAATCTTCGTCGATTGATCGAAGAAGAAACTTCTGTCGATGAAGAGAAGCTACGTAAATCTAAAGATCGCGATGGTGGTGAGAAACACCGAAAAAGAGATAAGCATCATGGCAGTAGTAAAAAATCAAAACTGTTTGGTGCACATCCAAAAACCGATCCTAAAAAGAAATGGGAACAACAACCAGAGTACATTCCTGAGCCGCTTAAATTACATGATTATCAGATGGAAGGCATCAGCTGGCTTAGATATTCATGGTCATCTGGTATTGACACTATATTGGCCGATGAAATGGGTCTAGGTAAAACCATTCAGACCGTTAGCTTCTTATACTCGTTGTACAAAGAGGGCCATTCCCGTGGCCCATTTCTTATCGCTGCTCCATTGTCTACGATAATTAATTGGGAGCGAGAACTCGAAGATTGGGCTCCCGATTTCTATGTGGTAAATTATACTGGTAACAAAGACTCACGTATCATCATACGAGAAAACGAATTAAGTTTCGATGCCGATGTCATACGTTCAGCAACTAAAGCCACTCGTATTCGTAAGCATGTACCTGTCAAATTCCATGTACTGCTCACCTCGTACGAATTGATTAATCTGGATTCTGCTTTACTGGGCTCGATCGATTGGAAAGTGTTGGTTGTTGATGAAGCTCATCGATTAAAGAGTAACCAATCGTTATTCTTTCGTACGCTCAATCAATACAGCGTTGGACATAAGCTTTTGCTTACTGGTACCCCGTTGCAGAATAATCTCGAAGAATTATTTAACCTGTTGAATTTTCTTAGCCCTGATCGATTTAAGTGAGTTTGACAATTTAATATTTAATAATAATGTGATTAATGGACAATTTATTCTTTTCAGTGATATGGATGGCTTTCTCAACGAATTTGCTGACATAGCCAAAGAAGAACAGGTAAAAAAATTACATGAACTACTTGGACCACATTTATTGCGACGATTGAAAGCCGATGTGCTCACCGGTATGCCTTCTAAATCGGAATTTATCGTTCGCGTTGATTTGGCTCCCTTACAAAAGTGAGTGCATATTAATTACTCTCATTTACTACAATCTAATCAATTTTTAACAATTCATTTAGAAAATACTACAAATACATATTAACCAGAAATTTCGATGCATTGAATTCAAAATTTGGTGGTAAACAAGTGTCTCTGCTTAACATTGTTATGGATCTAAAAAAATGTTGCAACCATCCTTATTTGTTTCCTGTCGCGGCTGAAGTAAGTAATGAATATTGTTACTTTTCCTAGTGGCTAATGTTTATTTATTTTAGGAAGCACCGAAAACAAAATTAGGATATTTTGAAGGCAGTGCGTTGGTCAAAGCAAGTGGCAAACTGATTGTTATGCAAAAAATGCTTCGTAAACTAAAAGAGGATGGCCATCGAGTCCTTATATTCTCGCAAATGACTCAAATGTTGGACGTACTTGAAGATTTTCTTGAAGCCGAAGGCTACAAATACGAACGTATCGATGGTGGTGTGACTGGTTCCGTTCGACAGGAAGCCATCGATCGTTTCAACGCTCCAGGTGCTAAGCAATTTGTGTTCCTGTTGTCTACACGTGCCGGTGGCCTCGGTATTAATCTTGCAACTGCAGATACGGTCGTCATCTATGATTCTGATTGGAATCCTCATAACGATATCCAGGCGTTGAGCCGTGCTCATCGTATTGGCCAAACGAACAAAGTAATGATTTATCGATTTGTGACAAGAAATTCGGTCGAAGAACGGATCACACAGGTGGCCAAAAAGAAGATGATGCTTACACATTTGGTTGTACGTCCCGGTCTTGGATCGAACAAATCCAATGCTACCATGTCCAAACAAGAATTGGATGATATACTCAAGTTCGGCACTGAAGAATTGTTTAAAGAAGAAGAGACAAAAGAATCTGAAATGATCCATTACGATGACAAAGCAATCGATGGTCTACTCGATCGGACGCAAGAAGGTATCGAACAAAAAGAAATGTGGGCCAACGAATATCTATCGTCTTTCAAGGTGGCAAACTACGTAACCAAAGAAGCCGAAGAAGTGGAAGAAGAACTAGAAGAAGTGGCTTCATCAAAACAATCCAAAGATGAAGCACAAAATGATCCTCATTACTGGGAAAAGCTATTAGGAGCCCATTATCTTCAGTATCAAGAAAACATTTCGCGTTCATTGGGCAAAGGCAAACGAGTTCGAAAACAAGTCAATTACTTGGATTCTGCTTCCGGACAAAATGATTTCCAGAATCAAGAATCCAGCGAAAGTTCGGACTTTTCAGTTCCTTCTGGTCAGTATTCTTTATTCACACATTTTTTCGATAGATTAATCTTCGTTTTAATTCCATACACTAGCAGATGCAAGTGAGAATGATGAAGATTTTGATGAACGAACAGAAGGTCGAAATCAAAAATTTACTCGATCAAACAAGAATGCACCGGCTAAAGAGAAGATGCCCCCACTATTATCATCGATTGGTCAAAACACTGAAGTATGTTTTGCGCTCTTTTTTCCACCCTTTATTCATTATTACTTTTAAATTTTCTCTAGGTACTCGGTTTCACGCCCAAACATAGAAAAATATTTCTTGATTTGGTCATGCGATTTGGTTTACCCAATCTGGATTACAATCTCACCGATTCACAATTTTTTATCCGTGATTTGAAAAATAAACCCGAAAAGCATTTAAGGGCCTATACATCTCTTTTTATTAACCATCTTTGCGAACCGGGTGACGATCCTACCGCATTGACATTCGAAGATGGTGTGCCCAAAGAAGGCCTGAACGTTAGCCAAGTATTATCACGTATCGGTATTATTTCATTGATTAAACGTAAAGTATACGAATATGAAACAAAAAATGGCTGCATATCGCTGCCAAATCGGCAATCCAAAACAAAGCCCAAACAAGAATCATCACAAACCACAGGCATGGACAGCAATGAACAGAATGCTGATGGCCAGAACCAAGCGAATGGTCAGTCAGCTGACAATCCAACTGATAACGACACGAAATCAGATTTTGATAATAAAATGAATGTAGACGAAACTGCAGTCAAAACTGAGCCAATACCTGATCAAAGCGAAAATAATGCAGTCGAATCAAGGGAAGATGACAAGAATGCACTGGTAAAACAAGAGGAAGATGTTGGTGAAAAAATGGATATTGATCCACAGCCATCAACTGCCGATCAACAATCGAATGCTAATAATAATGATAAGGAAGACGACAATCAAGTAAAAGAAGATAATAGTCAAAATGATGAAGATGATCAGGTTGGACCATTTGAATTCAACATCCAAGATGGCGGTTTCACTGAATTGCATACTTTGTGGTATTTTGAAGAAAAAGAACTGCAAAAACGACGTGAACATGAAATATGGAACCGACGTCATGACTATTGGCTTTTAGCCGGCATTGTCAAACATGGTTATGAACGTTGGCATGATATTACCAATGATGAAGATTTTTCCATCCTCAATGAACCTTTTAAGAATAGCGGTAATATTCGCGATAAATTCATGGAACGTCGTTTGCGACTACTTGAACAGGCATTAGTATTCGAGGAACAGCTCCGTCGTTTTACTCATCTATCTAATCTGGATGTATACATTGCCGCTGTTGAGGAAAAGAAGTTGGAAAAAACCGAAGCTAACGGTCATGATGGAGTAGACAAAAACTCGGTGGATGAACAGAAAGAAACAAAAGAAGATCAGAGATCGGATGATAAAGAAAAAGAAAAGAATGAAGAATCCAGTACCGAAAATGGTGGTCAAAACAAAGAGAATGAACCTTCATTGGAAGCTAAAAACCTTAATCCAATTCTACAACGGGCCAGTAATCAATTGGAAGACCTGTTGATCGATATGAAAAGTGATTGTGCACGAATACCGCAAACAGTTCAACGGATACCATCAATAGCCAATAGGTTACAAATACCTCCTCGTGCAGTACCTAGTAATAGTAGTGGCCAACATCATTCACATCAACCGCAACATACGACAATGTTGGCATCGAATTCATTGCTTTCGTCCAATCATCATCACCATCATCGAATTTGAATGCAAGCCAGATTCTTTATATCTTTATATTCTGATTAGTTTCATTGTAATTTGTACTCTTGTTTCTATCACTTTCGTCTATTTGCTTTAATAAATTGAACCAATTAAATTATTAACCCTTGAATTCAAGATTGTTTAATGAACTAAATGCGATCAATGAAATTGTTAATTAACGTTAAAATTCACTAGAATTTATCAAGTTGCGATATTTTTAAGTTTCTGCATGGCAACTTATTTGACAAATAATAAAGCACATTTATAGATGAATTTATCGGAAATGTTTTCAAACTGGTTTTACAATTACATCATGGTCCCAATTCCTCAGTAAAACTATTCGTCAGCGTAAAATTCTGTGAATACATAGATTTTTTACACATTTCAACCATGGTAACCAGTATCAAGAATGTCGTTTGTCAAATTTGGCCACAATCTATGAAAGAATTATTGTAAACCTATATATGATAGATTAGTTGACATTTCATTTTCAATAGTCATCAACAATTGGTGATTAACTATGCAGTACAGATTCTTTAGATTCTTATATACGGACTTGAAAGATATTGTCCACCTTTATCATGATCGGAATTATCGTCTTCGCCATAAATGGGAAATGATTCTGTTGTTCATATTGATTGTTCGATTGTCTTTCGTACCGCTCACTCGATTGAAATTTCAAAAATGGTGTTCTGTCTGGAACTATGATCCGATAAGCGTATTCATGATTAACGAATATGACCAACTTTATTATTATCTGTTTGTAATATGTTTAATGTTATTCATCTTGGGAATAATTGCTACAAATATCTTTCATTTTACTACACCGGTTGATACATGCACCATGCTCTATCCTTACGATTTGATTGTTCGTAATTTTGATCAATTTCAACAATGTATTTTGGATGATGACCAGAAAAAGAGAATCTGGCAAACAAGATTCGATCATAATATGAAATGGTTCATCGGTCGAGGACACTTGCCTCGAATGATCACAGAGTTTGCTTGCCGAATTTGGACCGATTGTCAATATCGATTATATTTCGATCATATTGATAAACAACTAATGAATGGCAAATTTCGATTGGTTTATTTTCCCTACATTGAATTTCGAGCTCGTCGATATTTGATTATATTGCAGATCTTATTGAACAGCTCCTTTTTCGTGTTGCATGTCATAGCTTTTCCGATTATGTGTCTACTATTCGCTCAATATTATCGAGGTCTGGCTGAACAATTCCATATGAATCGATGGTACAATAAAATATGGTTCGCTATCGAAGTGATTACACTCACTGATGCTGTTTATACATCAGTAGAATGTGGATTGCTGGGAGCAGGTATGGAATTGATAATTGGAGCATTTCATTATTTCCTAATAAACAAGTGGAATCCATCGCTAAAATCCATACGAATTCAAATGAATGCTATCAACACCAGTCAACGACGCCGTTGTCAAATGAATCGTGAGCTAAGTAAAATTCATAGAGATCATGGCCGCTTGTCTAAAATTTATCGAAAGGCATTTAGTGAAGCTTGGGGTTCTATTCTGCTAGTCTATCTCATGATCAGTATACCGATGAATGTGAGCATCATTTTACTATTGCGATCTGGAATTCTTGAAACCTTTGAATATATGTCTGGTTTTGTTGGTATCGTGGTACATACGATCATCACCATGGTGTTGATTGTTCCGATGTGTTTTGAAGTCGAAACATTACATCAAACTAAAAAAGACCTACCAGCCATTGTGCCCAACATAAGACACATAAGATTGAAGCTCAAATACGATGATTGGTATGGACGTCTAATTCATGGACCAAAATATGGCCCTGTAATTGCTACATTAGGATCGATAACATACAAAATGGCCTTAGAGGTAAAATACATATACTGATTATTAGAATCGTTTTTTAAAACAACTATATCTTCTAGCTATTAGGAATGTATATCGCTTTCTGGCTATTCACTTTAAGTCGATTGAAGAATCTCTAAAAGAACTACATTTTCGATGGTATCGATTCTATCGAAATATAAACGTGTTTTCTCGTGTTAGATTTCAATGAGCCTGATTTTTATGTGAATTTTTTAGTATTATAGTCATTTTTATCTTAATAAATCATAATTTATAAATCATAAACATATCTATACCATTAACTATAAAATAATGTCTCGGATGGAAAAGTCCAAAACTTTGATCCAAGTTTCCTCTGAAGATTGGCTACCAAATTCATGTTTATTTGCCAATTGTCATTCACGTGGTTTCATATCTGAATCTGGTGTTGTTTTTAATTTTGTGCAACGTTTATCCAAATGTCAAGAACCGTTGAGCCATTCGGAAATGATCAAAGCTAGCCGGAAATATCGTTCGGTCATACATTCATGGTACCTCAAAATTGTTGACGATTTAACTGCTCAGGATGGACAAATGACAGCAAACGATGATTTGATCCGACAATCGAATGTGTTACATCAGATGGAAATTGCCTGGCATTTGTGCGAAATTCTCTACATAAACGTTTCAAGTACTGGAACCTTGCTAGCACAATTATTGAATTGGATCAAATGGCATTTCACCTACTATGTAAAATTGGCTGACGAAATGATTGTGAGCAGTCTACCACAGATGCATGAAAACTATTGGGATATTATCATGTTTTTTGCCTTACGCGGTGATATGGAAAATGCGGCCCTATTGCTTGAATTGCATTCCGAATCCAAAAGTGATCCTATTTTTATGGTCGTTCAAGATTTATTGAAAAAATTTCCCATTATAAACAGTAGTAATTCATTTGTCATACATGAATATTATCTTCGATGGGGATTCTGGCATGAAAGCGTCGAACAAGCGATCGAGAATCATTCGACTAATACAAGCCAGAAACGTTCTCATCAACAGTTACTGTTGCTTTTGAAATTATTGGTTGGTGATTTAGAATCATTCAAATCAGTGAACCATCTTTTTCATTCATGGTATCAGTTGATGGTTTCATATGCCCTATTCACCGACCCTTGTCTTAAAAGTGATGTCGATATTCTCATAGAAAAAACAATGAACACCTATTATGAATCGTCCAACGATAGTGGAAAATCATTGTTCGATAAACTTATCCTTTCTTCATTGAACTACGATCTTATCGATGTTATTAAACAAAGTTCTCTATGCTTCGATGATAATTGGTGGTTCGTCACACATTTTGTCGACCTCATCTATAATTCGGCTCGTTATGCTGATTATCAGATTACCGATATTAGTTTGATAAGAGATTCGTTTGTAGTCAATTATGCCAATGCTTTGTTTGCTCACCGTAGAAGATTCTGGCAGTTGAGCATTGAATATCTGATTCATGTAGGTGAACAAGCAGCCGATCGACAACATTTTATCTTGGCTTCTTTGGAACGAGTTTCATTCGATTCAGAAAGTGAATTACAACGTTTGCTCACCACTTGTCGTCGTTTCGAATTTGGTCTATTGGAATTGTCTCTGTGCCGGCAACAAGCTCGAAAATGGTTACGTGGTTCACATCCAAAACTTGGTTCAGCTCTATTTTGGGCTATCCGTGCTAAAGATAAGTTGCTGATAAATCACATTGTCGATCAAATCTTGCGTCAATACCTTGAATCTAATCAGGATAATGATGTGGATGCAGACACTATCACTAACATTGGAGGATCAATTGTTCTATCTGAGCGGCTGATATTTCTCTGTAAATACCATGAATTCAGACAGCTATGTCAACGTGGCCAGTATGAATTGGCAGCCAAAATTCTCGTCGACGACATGATCACATCGAATGCCATACCAGATTTTTTTCAAACCAAAGTTATCGAAGATTGCCTTCCATTAATTCAGCCACAGAAATCACCCATTTCGATGTCCATGCCAGGGCCGTTACAACTAAATAGTAAACAGATTTCTAAACTTATCTCATCTCTGGAACAGGTCTTATATCGTGCTCGATCTCATTTTAGTCATGATGGCGACCAACTTACAATGACCATGTGGTCAGACCATTTCGGCAACCATGATCAACAGCAACGACAGGATAAGGAGGGTGATGAATCCTATCGACGTCGTATACAACGTATTGAAAATCAACTTCGCGTGGCTGCTGCCTGTCATCTAGCCAATCATTTTGTACTCTAATCTCTGTATTCATTATTTTCATTAAATATCCCTCACAATCATTGAAATAAACAATTCAGCCGGATACAAACCAAAACATTGGTCCTTGGCCAAAGCTTATGCGACTTGTGCACAGATGTCCGTTAAACAATAGTCATAGTCGGACCTAGCCCCTTAAAATCTCAGTTTTACAGAGCTCTATGGGCCATATGTCAATACATTTCCGGCCAGAAGTGTGTCAGATTGCCTTCGATTGTTGGCATAATGCTAAAGGAAAAGGGGCTGCACGGGCAATCATGTGGAAGAAGCATTTCTGCTAACAGCATAATTGTAAGGCATATATCCAGACGAATTTTTTTTTTTAATGTTTACATGCATTAAACTATGTCACATTTAAACATTTCAGTCTTTAATGTGACTTGATGCTGGTTAGTTGTGTGTAAATCATCAGCAGTGAGAAGAGAGCGTTTATATCCTCGTTTTGGCGCCAGTCATCGATTCTTCCTCGGTCATAACCTTTAACCGGTATCTTTTACTGAAAAAATTGATACTGTTTATTATTATTATCGTCAAGTCTATTCGTAGAAAAGACCGTCAAACTACATGTAGTATTATGGTGGTGCAGTAACAACGCCCAATACACTCGAATCACACATATGGATGGTAATCGTGTTTACTGGAACCAAGAATCGTATCAACACCTCTATTGTTTGATGAATTGTGCCACTACTATGTAATAATGCACCAGGATCCCGACTGATATCGGCATTTGTGAATATATGTTTGCTAGTGGTCACAACATAATACCGTTGGATGTGTGCCCAATATATCTTCTGGTATCGGCAGTGAACCACTTAAAACATACAAATACATACACTTGTCCCGTTTCTATTAAACGAATTCAGAATATGGTTTTTATTCTAGCGACCAAAATGTGTAGCCGCAATATTTTATTGAATCGATCAACACTACACATGTATGCAATAATAATATAAAGATGCTCTTACGATATTCGGGTCGAATATAAGTGAAAAAAGAATATTTAGAACAGTGCCAAATTCTATGGAATTGATGGCTGTATTTTGAGTATATAAAATGTTGACAAATATACATTGCTGTGTCTATGTGTGTGTGTTGATTTTAAAAAAGCAAAAGTTCATCCAAAAACAACATAATTGGTTTGTATAAAAATCAAACTTTTCAATGTGGTTTCTTATTTCGACCTTTCAATAATGGATCAATGATAGTCTTGCATTTGTGTGATTATTATTGTCTTATTATTATTGTATGATTGATTATTTGAGATATTTGATCACAAATGAGATTGCCTACCATCATCATCATCATCATCATCCATGCATTAAATCAAGTAAGTTTTCAATAAACCATTTTATCAACTCACTCATCAATGATATGAGTGTTTGTTTTATTTTCACTATTATATCAACTAAAATTTTTGATTTCAAACTGTCATCAATTACATTGTCCATGATATAACTGTCGTCACATCAAACAAACATATATAGATTTATTATAATGATTATCGATCATAAAATAAACGGAAATGACGATGTTTCCTTTTGATAGATCGATTTTGTTGATTGATTTGATGTTTTTGTCTATAATGAAAGTATGTGTGTGTAGTTTTTATTATTATTATTATAGCTTCGATATAACTATTGTAAAGGAAAAAAACAGCTTAACCGGAACTTGAAAGATCCGGTTAAACGTTAGTTGTAAACAATGATGTTTGCTTTGTAACACAATACTATTTACAATTGAATTTTTTTTTTAATCAATAGATAGGCCTAGAGGCCATAAGTGATCAAAAAAAAAAAAATTCATTCAGTTAGATTTTATAGTTCTAGTTCTTGTGAATTGAGATTGTTATGCCCACACATAGATTATTGTGACATACATATTAAATTTTGGTTGCCATAGCTTTACAATTCAATATAATTGGTTTGGCCGTATGGATGTTAATGAAATATTTATGAAAATATTCTACATCATTAAAGGAATTTGATGATGAATTTTGATATTCACATTCGAAAAATGGTGAGAGGCTGCTTCTAAGTTTTGAATTGAGTTACAAATGGACAAGTTTCTAGACTTGAATTATTAATGTTTTTTTTTTTGACATTTAAACATCATCTGAAAATTGGTTGTCTGGTTGGTTGACATTATTTTCATACAATTCATCATATAATTATAATAATCATTATAAAAACATCATCATCATATAACATGGAACAAATGATAACTGTGACTATTTGTGGGTCAATTGTGTTGTTTAAGCATTGTTGAATACCGCTCACCATTTGTGTTTGTGTGTGTGTGTGTAAAGAAAAAAATGACAAAAACAAAATCTTTTTTTTGTCTTTCTCTTTTTCAAAATTCAGTTCAAACAAACATGTCGCCAAAATAATTTTCATCACTTTGTAATTATCATGAGTCAACTCTTTTCTTTCGTCGCAGTTTGAAGTATTTAGTCAATATGATGATTACTTGAATAAAAAGAACACATGAATCGTCAATTGTTTGTGCACAACCCACATAATGATTGAAACCAGAAGTATTTGTGTACACAAATATTTGAGCTTAAATTGTTTCTGAATATTAATTTTGTAAAAAAAAATGTTTACATTTTCATTTCCGGTTAAATATGGAGAGCCAAATTGACCGAGAATTAGAATAGATTCATAAATTGAAATAATCTATTTTTGGAATAACGACATTATCAAACAAACAGTAAAACCAAAACCAAAGAAAAAAAATTCACTTTCTGAATTGATAGAATTGTACAAAAACAGTACAAAAAATATATATAGATGACCAATGGCCATTCAAAATGACGCATTCAGATTATTTTTTTTTCTTGTTTGTTTAAAAATCATGTAAATGTAGACGTCATTTCTAAAAATAAAAATAAAAAATTTACCCACATCATTTTTTTTCTGTTCATTATGTATGTTTGATCAGCGTGTTTCTATATGAATGTATCAAATAATGGTGAAAAAAAATGAACCCGGTAGCTGATGTGACATTTCATTTTATTTTCTTTTGTTCCTGGTTCTATGCTATAAATGCATATCCGTTTCTTTTTTTTTGTTTATTTATTGATTTTCGAATCCTTTGTTTTTCCAAGTAACCACTTTTTCATTCTCATCATAATCATACACATTATGTGAACCATTTGAATCAATGAACTTTATATATGCTGTATATTTGAATAAAAAAAATTTGAATTTTTTTTTCATAATTGATAGTGTTGTCATGTGTGTGTGTGTGTGTGTGTGTGTGTGATGGTGTATAAGTGTTGCAAAAATTTTTCATTGATTGTCATCATTTTGTTTACTTCCTTAATCCGATTCACTTGAATTGTTTGTTTGAACTGTTTTTGGCTTTCTTTTATGCTATGAATCATTTCATTGTTTCCGGTGTAATTATTAAATCTGGCAATAATAATGTTGGACATGGTAACATTTGTTCATTCATTAAAAAAATTATTATACGAAAATACTACCATTGCCAATTCGTAAATGTGTGTGTGTGTGTGTGAGACAGGTATTTAGAATAAACTAATAATTTTTTTTCTGTTTGTGAGAATTCATCTTGACATGTCGACATAAATGACGTTATGCATAATGGATATGCAACATCCATACAAAATTGATATAATTTGGTTAACATGAACAAACATTGCCTAATATTCCTATTGACTGTTGAAGTATGACGTCAAATGCAACCAACATTCATTCATTCAGTGTTTATGGTTCATACGCCTTTGGTTCCCTTTCCTGACAATTTGAATTGAAATTATAAATTGATAAATGCCATTGTCAATACTGATTCAGTTTCAATTTTTATATATATCAGCAGCCATCAACCATCCAGTTAGCTTGTTCCGTGTGAATATTCTATAGTTGCCAATCAATGGTGTAACGAAAAAAAAAAAAAATCTCCCACAGTGGATCGGTAGACAATATCAGTGTTTGTGGATCCTATGAAGCGTCACACACACACACACACACACACACACACACACAAACACATTTTTTTAGGTTTCATTTTGATTCATTAAAAACATGTAAAATGATGTTAGGACAATTAGGATATTTTTTCTTTCGTTACATTCAGGCATGACAGATTTACTTTATTGAAAACTGAAAGGTCAACGTTATGTTTGAATTGAAAAAAACCTGCTATCCATTATATTTTTTTATTGTCTTTTTAAAAAAGTAGTACACACAAAAAAACGAAATTCTTATTCTTATGACACTATTTTTTCATTTCTAACTTAATTTATGATTTGTCAATTTTTTTTGTTTTGTTTCGTTTTTTTGGTTGTGATATGAGATGTCACCGATAGGCATACATAACTGACAGGATGTTGTTATGTTGTTATAATAAGAAAAAAGGCTTGGCCTTTGTTTTTTGTCACCCACACTTCCATATCATTTTGAATGTGATGAAATTATCACCCCCCACTATCTATCTAAGAATAGAATGAATCAAACACGTGATGGACATGGATATGGCCTATGGGTGTATATTTGTTTATTTGTATGTTGTAGGTACAGTAAAACGGTAGCATTGATGCTATACATTGTATAGTATACAATTTCTCTAAAAGACCTGTTTTTGAACAAGTTTTTTTTTGTCTGTTGGATAATAATAATAATAATAATGCTGGCCATATACTGGGAATGATAATTATATCCAATTACTGAAACACTGGCTGTCTTGTCGTGATTGTTACGCACACACACACACATACACGATGATAATTACTTTACCATTGTGATTGTCGTTGATAACGTGAACAATCCATCCATTGAATAAATGTACATCATCTAAGAGAAAGAAAAAGAGAGGGGACAATTTTTTTTTCTATGACCAACCAACGTTTTCCGGTCATTAAATATAGTAAGACTGAAATAATTTACTATTCAAGCAACCAACCTGTCTTAACTATGATGAGCTACCTATGATTTGATTGTTGTTGTTGTTTAGTTTGAATAGACCATGATGATTGTCATACTGTCATTATTTTCTGTCGCATTGATGGTAATATCTTGAATATATTTGTCTGAATGGATGACAGGATGCCTTTATAATAATAGCAGGTTTCATTCATTCATTCTATTGTCCTAGAGTTTTCGCTTTTTGTTGTTGTTGTTGTTGTTGTTATTGTTTTGTTTTGTATCTTATTCTTTATGCTATGATTATTTTGGGCAAGAATTAGTTGCCAATAATCAGTAAATATATAACAGTTAATAGTGTTATTATTTTGTCAAAATCAATTTATTCAATCAATGATATCAAATCATTTATAGGATATTAAACAACCATTAGTGCAATAATATATCACACCATTTAATCATCAATGATAATGATAACGGTAAAATTTTCACATGCCATTTAGAAAAATCAATATTCAATATTTTCAATGAGTCTCTGTTTATAACATCAATTCATCATCATCATCATCATTCCAATTGACTTTTCATTCATTTGATTTCAATTATCTTCCATTATAATGATCTAATTGAGTTTTTTTTATTTCTTTTTGATTCTCACTCTTCCTATTATTTAGGTTTCCTATTTTTTTTTATTGTCTACTGTTATTTGCGTCCGTAAGGCATTATTTTCAATGATCTATTCGAATTTTTAAATGAACATACAATGAACAGAATTTCCTCCGGAACTAGAAGTTCGACCAACCTGCTGTCTTTTTTCTTTCTTGTTTCATAAAATCAGTTTGATTGTAAACTACTGACAAACGTTCTCTCGTGGCTATCTTTTTTTCTTCTCTTGTTGTTGTTGTTGTTGTTGTTCTGGAATCAAACCAAGCGTATCGTGGTAGATCAACTCAAACGACCTGACTATACGCGTGACGACGACCACAATACGACGTTCATTTCTCTTCATTTGATCTACACACGAGCAACATCAAGTTTGATTTTATCCATTCATTCATTTAGATTACCTTTTATTTTTTTTCATTCAATTCACCGCTTGATTGATCAGATCTGCCAATCGATTACCTTTCCACTCCATTAGTGTTGTGTTTGTTTGTTAGTGTGGGTGTGTGTGTGTGTGTGTTTGTGTAAAAAGAAACTATGTAAACGGCAATTTGAAACCTTTAAAGATGGCAAAGACGCCTAAAAACGAATCATCATTGGCGTCATCATCATCTTCAGCATCATCAGCGGTAGCCATGTCTACTATGGCTACAGCTAGTTTAGCATTTGTAGCTAATGGCAATCCTGCCTCTGTAGCCATTCCATCAGCCAAAAATCGTAAAGTTCCATTCAAAAAAGTTTTTTCCTCGAGTCAATTGACCACCAACAGCATCAACAATCAGCCACAACAACAACAAAGTCGGTCTTCAATATGTTCGATGAATTCGTTTCAGCTATTGAATCATGAGAAAAGCCATCTTAGCTCTAGTCTTCCGGGCATGTATGAACAGATTGCCGATGATGAGCAACGACAATCGTTGAGAACCACTAGTCAGAGACATGATGGCCATAGTAGTCGCCATCATGAAAAAGAATTCAATTTCAATGGTCATACAGTATTGACAAGACCTAAAGCTGTGATATCGACGTCAACTAGTAATAAATCTGAAAGTGGTCACCTGTTAAACACGATACCAATAGCAGCAATAGAACCATCATTGATAGGATCATTAGCATCATATTTGGCAGATCTAAAGCATTTTAATGCAGATAAATATTGCAAAGAAATTGAATTGATGCTAAAATATTTTGAAGATGCTGTCAGAAAGGATAAACTTGAATTACTCAATGGTTCCTGTAATATATTGATTGAAACAATTGCATTGAATTGTGCCCGATTACGTGATACCTATCTACATCTACAACAAGTTCAGCTTAGATTGCAGATTCTTTGTACGATTCATATGGAAGACAATGGCGATACGAATGTTTCTAACAAAAGGTTTGCCCATTCGATAATTTTAAATCTGAATCAACTAACATTTTGTAATGCTCAGGACATCTCCCATCATTGAGGCTACAAATGAGCTCTACAAAAATCTTTCCGATCTTGTCAAATGGTCTGATGAGATCTATTTGCGTCAACAGGTTCGACATTTGTATAGCTCTGATATGGATCCAAGTCAATGGAACATGATGGATCATGCTAATGAACACAATGAACCGATTCCTCGCCAATTGATCGATGATGGTAGTCGAATTTCACGTTTAGTTTTCATTTCATTCAAGGTAAGTTCTAAAAACTATTTGGCCATAAAACTAATGAATTTTGTTGTCAATGCATAGAATCTGGTCAAAGCATATCGTAATCTGGAATGTGAATTACGAAAATGTTACCAAGACTATCTGTATAACAATTCCAAATTGGCTGATTACATAATGGCTGATGCAGCCAGTCAACGACTACAGGATAATGAAACATCCTTAGCTATGCAGGAATCAATTCAGCAAGCTATACGACGACGATCAATAACTCCACCACCCAAATATGATCGAATAGATTTAACGTTGGAAAACAGCCATCAATCAATTCGAAAAATGGCCAATGGATCGACATCGACCATCGCTTCTTTGTTATCATCAAATTCTTCACATTCAGCTACAACCAATAGTTCTACATCATCCACATCGCCATCCGCAATTTTCAGAACCCATAGATTCATTCCTAACATCATTTCGCATCAGGCTCAAAAGATGGCACAACATTTTGAATTGAAGAAGTTCCGTTCTAATGCTCAGCATGGGGGAAAAAAAGATTCATTATCCAGGCAGCAGGAAAAGGGCAGTCAGCAACATTTATCTGAAAATCAGACCATGCTCTCGTTTTTGTTCAGTCTTTCTAATTCATCTTCTTCATTGAAGCGTTCGGAATCTGCGAGTAATATTCATCGAATTAATACAAATATTTTATTACCTAAACACTTGTTGCAAATGTCAACGGAACCAAATTCTCCATCATCGAATCGATCACCTACATCTGACCGCCATCTTATTCCCCAACATCAACCCCGAAAACATTCGATCAATGAGGGTGTGCCGACAGACACTAGTCATCAAACTTATCAACCATTACCAACATTAAAACAAACTGTCGATTCCAAATCATTCGATGATCATCATTCATCAGATACGGGAACTTTGCGGCTACACCAAAGCCAACAATCGTCGAATTCACCAAAGAAGCAAACTTTAAAGACAAACTCTTCTTCTTCTCCTCCTCCATTGCCTCCCAAAACTTATAATCGTGGTTCAAATAGTACTACAACATCATCATCTTCATCTTTGAATAATTCCGGTCGCTCTTCGATTGCATCGAACACAAGTACCATGTCATCATCTTCATTGAATATGAGCAAAGATACAAACCTCAGAAATTGCCATAGTCGAATGAAAGATTGCGATTCAGGTTTCGGTTCATCGACATCAGGAATGCCATCGAATAGTAATCATTACCAACAACCGATCGAGAAACAAAATTCTATTGATTTTGCATGTCGAAATTTTGGAAAAGATCCAAAGACAGTTAAAGCTGAAGTGACGGCTATAGTCAGCAATACGCAAGACTCTGGTTATTCTCAAGTAACTTTGCGATCGAAAAAAAATGATCGCCGAAATCGTACAAGAACAATCCACGACAGTGTAGCTGATGATGAGAACAACAATTGTACAACGGCATCATCATCTCATACTATTGTGGAGTTGGATGGAAACAATGAAACTGAACGATGCTCATCATCGTCGCCACCACCATTACCAGCACCAGATTCTTTCCTATGTTCGGCCATAGAAACGCATGATTCTCTAACAAATAAGAATATAATGGAAGAGAAGGAAAATAGTGAAGAAAATATAATGCATAGCTACCCAAATCAGAATGCTGGCTCATCACCAACGTCTGAATGTTGTTGTTGTTGTTGTTCAAATCGATCGATGATTCGAACTTATCGAAAACCGGGAACAAATCGTAGACCATTATCAATGCATCAGCCATTGATAAAGAGCCGTTCATTGGCTGTGAATACCAATAATTCTATGCTGAATCGTCAACCAAGTAGTTGTTGTTGCTGTTCAACACAAATCGATGAATCTCATAGGCAACAATTACCACGAAGACCATCATTGTCAATGCATGAGACACCATCGTTATCTCCACCACCATTACCACCAAAACGTAACCTTCATGCTTACATGGGAATGGTAGGTAATTATTGTTCTCCTACCGTTGATCATTCTGGACATACAACACTTCGTGCAACCAAATCCATGTTCTGTGAAAAACCATCGCCTCTGCATATCAAAAATCATCACAATAGTCAAGCATCATCATCCAACAGTTCCATATCAACAGCAACCACATGTTCCAGTTTCTCATCGATTACTGATAGATTATCACAACCACACGATACATCCATTGTCGATCCAACCGATCAATATGAACATCTACCCATGGCTCCATCACCTCCTCCAGAATCTCCACTTCCGAATCTTCCACCCAGGCGCGGTCAAGTTATCGATCTATTACCACCTCCAATTCGATCACGTTCAACGGCTACAAATACTCAGGCAACCGAATGGCCAATTGCAATTTCATCAAGCGATCATGTTCAACCTCATTGTCAACACCACCATCCTCATCATGATCACAACCATCATCATCATCATCATAAGATATTATCTATTAATCCTATAGAATCAAATAACCAGCATGACCATTCTACAATCATAGATCAACAACGGTCTACGATAGAAGAACTAGATGAATCATCCAGTGATAATGACGAAGAAAGTATTGTAGATGAAACGAATCGAATTTGTTCATATTGTTCACTTGGAACCAATCATTCGGAAGATGAATGCATACTGGCTCAAGTAGATATATCATCCAGAAATGTTTACGCTTGAAACGACAACTGATTCTGAAGGATCATCAGCAGATACACAAGCTGCACTTACTACGAATAGTAGTGAATTAATAACGACCGATATGATTCGTGGTGGTCAAATTGATGCTCTGATTATCAAAGCTACTCAAGCCAGCATGGATTCAGGTTAGTAAAAGTAAAATCTGATCATCTGTTTCAGGTTTAACCTACCCAACAAGCAAAAAATTACATCAAAAGGGCAATGTTATTATCATTCAGATGAAGACAATAAGGCCATATAATCAGAAAGCTCTCAAGGACAATTGCGATTAGACCATCTGTTCTCTCCTTTGCTTATGGTTTTATGTTAAAGTTTTCTCTCTCAACTCCTCCATCATTACAACAAATCCAATCCTAAGAGCAAATAATTGGTGAGAAAGCCATATGGATTCACAGCCATGAAAAACTTTTCTTCATTTGTACAAACACATATGCAACAAGCTTTTGCTTGGCAACAAGTGCATTTTATTTTCATACAAACGAAAAGTGAATATTTATGGCCATTGTGCGAATATTCCATTCATAACATTCCTGACATGACAACGGCCATTGATAGCACATATCGGGTTAGTCGATTCGGCACACTCGACACTTTTATTTAGCCAGCCAAGTACAACAAATCTTCAATGCAAAGCAGATTGAATCTACAAAAAATGCGACGATTCAACCCAATTATTATTTGTGCCATTAAATTTTTATGTTAATCCTCATCGTTGTTTGATACAGAATCCTAATAGATCAAATTTCATTCTTAATTATAACGGTTTGTTTGTCTTTAGATGATGAAACATTTGTCGATTGTTTCCTGAGCACATATCGTTCATTCATCTCGGCCAATGATCTCCTTACAAAGCTGACATTTCGTTATCGTTATTTTAGTGGTGGCCAAACATCATCATCATCATCATCATCGACTAATAATAATAATAATAATACAACAACCGATATTATAAGGCAATCCGTTGCCCGTAAAGTGGTTAACTTTATCACCCTTTTCATCGCCAAAATTTAGTAAGTCCTTCCAACATGTTTGTTACATTGCAATAATTTCATTTGATTTGAGTGGTGCTCATTCATTCATGATCGTGTGCATGAATTTCAATTTGATGATACACGATCATGTTCGATATACACCTTTGAATACTCCTAACTTCAACTGATACACTAAACATTCTTTTGTCCTTTATCTTTTTTTTCTGTATAAGTATCTACGATTTCGATAAACAACTGTTGAATACAATGATGGAATTCATTTATCAACTTGTGAACAAAGGAGATCTGGTAAATGCAAAATTTTTGCGTGAAAAATGTTATGAAAAATTACGACTCAAAGAGCGTGAATTCCGTCGACAGCAACAACAACAACAACGACAATATCAATTACAATCTAATGATAGTTTCGATGGCCAACAACAAAATGATAACAACAATAATGTTGGACATGTTACATCATTCAAACCAATGACGGCTCCTAATGTGAATACTGTCGATATTGTTCACCTGAAAACGTGGAATTTGCTCGATTTTAAAGCTGAACATTTGGCCGAACAAATGACGTTACTTGATTCGCGGCTTTTCTATAAAATCGAGGTTTGTTTAATAATGCCATCTTATACGCCCTGATCTACCACCCACACACACACACATATACAAACATATGTGTGAAGATAAAATTAGAAAAACGGCACATCTGTTGACGACCAACATTGACGAGTGAACAATCAATCAATGTCTTCATCGTTGATGTTCGATGTATGCCAAACATCCCACTCAATTAATATTGCCAGTGTCATTATATGAAACCAATAGTGTTTTCTGTTGAAACTTGTTTGGCTTTGTTTAGCCATCCTGATATATCGAAACCAATGGCTTCCTGGCGAATACCAGCCTTATAACAATCCTATAGTTGAGATATATCGATTAAATAAATACCAATAATCATTTCATGGCCCATGCTGTTGGCCTTTATTGAATGTGTGGCCCTACCAAGTTTGGATAAGAATTCAAAATATTTTTGCATGCCCAAATGATTATTATGCCTACTATGGCTTAATGATGATGATGCTGCCATTGTTTTTGAATGTTTGTTTGTGAACTCATCTCTATGTATTAGTTCCAGTTTTCAGTTTCATTTGTTCATTGAATTTATCGAGGGATCGAATATGTTGACTTTTAAATACATTAGCGTAGGCAGCATATTTTTCTTTGTTTAACATTTGATAGTGAAAGAGAAAAATACCCGAGTCTATATTATTAATCTAACAAATATTTTACATTCTTATTTAGCCTCCAGAGATCTTGATTTGGGCGAAAGAACAAAAAGAAGAATGTATCCCGAACCTTAGCACGTTCACCGAACATTTCAACAACATGTCCTATTGGACACGTAGCCAGATACTCAAATGCCAAGAACAAAAGGAACGAGAAAAATTTATGCTCAAGTTTCTAAAAATTATGAAATATTTGCGTAAATTGAATAATTTCAATTCTTATCTGGCTATTCTATCGGCAATTGATTGTGCTCCAATCAGCCGATTGGATTGGCCTAAAAATGTGACTGATATGATTAGAGAATATGGGTCATTGATTGATTCATCATCATCGTTCCGTACATATCGTAACATTCTGGCCAATTCGAAACCTCCTTGTATACCATACATGTAAGTTATATTTTGTCAATTTTTGGCATCTCATTCACAATTTTTTATGTTGATTCCTTGACAGTGGCCTAATATTACAAGATTTGACATTCGTTCATATCGGCAATAGCGATATCTTACCCGATGGTAAGATTAACTGGTGCAAACATTACAAACAATACAAGATACTCTGCCAAATGGCTCAATTTAAACAATGGTAAGTAGACAATTGTTTATCCTCCCACATTAACAATTTTCTTTTACAATTACAGTCAATACTCAATCAACGAGAATGAAAATATAGTTGCCTTTTTTGGCAATTTCCAGGATTTCCTACCTGAAAATGTCATGTGGCAGATATCGGATTCGCTGAAACCTCGTTCGATAAACAGTTCAACTAGTCTGTCGGTGATGAATACCAATGCCAAAAAGAATTTGGTTCATAATGATTAATGGATCGTTTGAACAAACCTTTAGCAACCCTAGTCGCGGAAAACTGCCGCTGGTGACCAATTTTTAAAAAGCTAAAGAATATTACTATCTATTGTTGTTAATTATGATCCGCCGACAATTGTGTACATAATTATCTACCTGTTTGATTATTCATCATTCACTCTAATGGCATAAATACTACATTCAAAAACATACATTATGACTAAATTAATGTCAACGTTATTCATTTCAATCTGTTTGTTGTTAAAATTTTTATCCACAATATCTATCACAATGTTCTAGTTGTTTGCAAACGTTTTATATAAAAATTAATAATGGCCATTTCTGAATACTGGTCAGATTTTGTGTGTTGGCCGCCTCAAATAATAAAAATTTTGAACTCTGATGTATTCGAAAATTTTTTCACTCAGGTAAAAAAGAGCTTCTAGCTATTAAATTAGAACAAGTGAAAGTTTTGTTACAATAAAAAATTTTCAATTAATTAATAACCAGTGATTTTAAAATGAATGGAACCATATCTTGTAAGCAAAAAAAAAAAAAAAATAATTTTTTGATCTTTAATTCGCGCGATATGCTTTTTTTCAATAAAGAAATCAAACGATACAATCGATAGTATGGAAATTGCGCCGTTTTTTCACCATCAACAACAGCATTGAACGGCGGCTTGCATGTTGTTTTAGTATTCAATAATTGTTATTCGAATTTCGTGAATTGAGCAAACTGATTTAACGTATCATCATGGAAAGCATTGAAGATTGTTTTGTCAAATTTTTTCTCCGACAAGCCCAAGAAATTGAACCTGATACCATTCAAACATTGATTGATCATGACTATCGAACAAAGTTGTCATTGACTGCTATGGATTTAGAACGAGATTTACCTTTGATCAAGGAAATTTCTTTGGCTCAACGATCCTTGTTACGCCGATATTTGGCTGCCTTACAAGAAAGTCAACCGTTTCAAGTAACATTGACCAAAGATCCACCTGTGGGCACGGTTTGTTACGACTATCAAATGGGCATCCCAATCAAGAAACGCAAATACGATGTCTACATTGCCGATCAAAGCTTTTCTTATTCTCAAGACAATGACAGAGATAATCCGGAAAATATGAACCGTTATGGAACGAACTTATCGGAAACACCATCAAAGAAAGTCTTTGATTCGATCGTACAGAGAATCAACAAACGAAAATCCCAAATCGGCAGTCATGCCAGTCCAGAAATGCAAACTAATACAGAACAAGACCAACAGATTGGCACTTCTGCTTCAACACTTAGAGTCCATTCGCCAGATATGATTGAATCGTCAACACGAATGGCTCATGATTTCGACAATATGCGTCCCTCGATCAACAATCATCGTAATGCACAGGAACAAAAACTATCGCAATTAACTGCTATGGAAGCATCGACAGTCCAGGATAGTGAGATGATTGAAGAACAAAATGTTAGTATTCGATCAAAACGAGGTAGAAAATCGCTTGTATCTCGAACTCCTTCACAGTTACGCTACGAAAAAATTCGACAATCGATTGCAGCTATCAATAACAATAGCGATGCTAGTGTCTCGCCTGAAGCTGTGGGAAAAACACGCCGATCAAAGTATACAGCACAATCAAAATCAGATTCTGAGAATGATGAGAAAAAACAAACTGTGATGACACCAGCAGAACGTGAGATACTGGCTCGAATTGAAGCAAAAAAACAACAAGTTAAAGTAAACACCAAATCACGACGAAGAAGGAAATAATGATACAGATGTTTTGATTAATTTTTCTGATTAATTGAATGATTTTACTTTACATATACAATTTAATTAAATCTTTTTCTTTAATGTGTAACAATTTTGTGATTATCCAATCAGTTTTTTTCATATCATCAACGCCGTGTACACCTTCGATATATTCACGTTGAAATTCATAATTACAAATGAATTTATGGTCATTGAATTCACGAAATAGTTCTCGTGCATTGATCTTTTGATTTGAACGAGCTTTCTCTTCTAATGTTTCCTGTAGATTTTTAATGCAATCGAATACGATAAATAAGTTGACCACATGTTTACGAGTGCCAGTAAATTCTTCTTTCATCGTGGTCACATTGATATGATGAGCGAAACATAGTACAATATCGTTGGCTTGTAGTTGAAATTCTTGACGTTGAGCCATGCTAAGCTTTTCATAATTTCGACGTATTTCTGTCAAGGCATTCGGTTCAATGAATCCTTCCAAATCATCCAGCTGGTTGTTGGCCAAATGCGAGGACACATGAATCAATGCCTGTAAACGACAATGAAAAGAATGTAGATTTTTAATTTGATTCATAATCAACATACTTGCTTTGCACCTTCGACAAAATCTTTGAATGTAAAATTCCTATCAATCTGATTTCGTATGACCATATTGATAATGTAAAAATTCTTTAATGACATGAATAAATTCGGCATTCCTCTTGGTATAAAGTTCATCAGTAAAGGAATCGAACCTTGCTCATCATCATCTTCGTCACCTTTTTGGTTGTTCGAATCATCATCTGATTTCTCCGAAGTACCAGATGATGAAGAACTTAATGGTCGGATCGTTGTTCGTGATTTAATCAAAATTTTTTCCTTTATTTTATGGTTGACGCCTTTTGTCATTGAAACAATGGGATCAAGTGCTTGGATTATAGTTCGTTGTGATGAGAATTGTCTATTGATGCATTTAAACCATCGACTAGCGAGTGGTAATGGCCTGTATAAAAAGGGTTTGATGATAACCATTGCCTGATCAAAATAAACAAAATCAACTTCGAACAAATACGACCACAACATATGGGAAAAATGTCAGGGAAACACGATTGTTGAGAAGTTTTTCGTAAACAATTATTCGATATTTTGAATTTAATCGAACTTTATTCTGGGCTTTTATATAAAAGTCTCGTTAGTTACATTAATAGATGGCGATTACAATTCCTTGTTCCGTGATACTTGGTTCATGTTTTTCGAAAGTGATTTTCGACCAAGTGCTCCGTTTATAACGGTCGTGGCTACGTTTATCATATTTATTGTATTGATATGTTTAGTTCGTCTGTTCATTTCGCCATACATCCTGATGACAGTTTATGATGATTGTAACTTTCTTAATTATCAACATCAATACGTTCTTCGTTTGCTATTTGCCGGTATTTCATCTACATATGAACCCGAAACGACAACAGTTACCGTACGGATCGATCATTCAATTCGACGTTGTCGAGACATTCCATTCATGCCAGAAATAATGGATCGTGCCACTTTGTACAAAGGTCTACATTGTGCCAAAATATTCATCCGTACTTGTGAACGATATCAGGATATCAAATGTGTCACCCTGTATCATAATGGCCGTGGTTCAATATTGGTCGATTCTGTTGAGCTACAAGATGTGGACCAAGCTAATTCAATAATTGCTACTGTCCAATTTCCAATTGGCGAAGAGCATTTCATGCAAAAAGTTCGAGCTTTTCCATTTGGTCGTGAAAAATTGACCGAAATAGAAGATGACATACGACCCACAAGCAATGTAACCTGTTTGGAGACCTATTATTTCATTTATGCATCCTTGAACATTATATATGCATTGAATGCATTTACTTTCATGTCTAAATGTTCTCAACCTGGCGCTGAATGCCGTTTGCAGATGATATTCGTGCTTGGTTTGATTTCCTGTGGACTAAGTTGTGCTGCGTTTATTCTTCTCATCCTGCCTTTTCGTTATGTCATCAAAGTCTATTATCATAACAATATGGGTCGAGGATTCTGCAAGTTGGCACGATTCGTCTACCTACTGATTGTGCTTCTAAGTAATCATTTTTATTTCATATTCCTACCTATACTTACATTTATTTATACAATAATCGTTTTAGTTGGTTTCATGACTGCTGGATTCGCGTGCGAACTATCGACCAAGAATCAATTCCACAGAGTGAACGAAGCGAACCATTTGTTCCGCGCTGATACATTTTGGTTGGTGACCACCGGATTCAGTGTTTTCCTTTATTTCTGTGTCGTTTGCATGGCCATACCATTAGCCATTTGTATCAATTACATTCAATTACCATCCGACCAACATTGGCGTCAACAGCTACAAGATACATGGGCTCGTGCACAACGACATGGCCATGGACACAAACAACGACGACGTCCTGTGGCCAACAATCGGAATCGATGGCATAGTTATCGTAGTGATGAAGCACAATCGCTTGTAACTAGCCGCAATCAACCAGACAACAAAGGATATGAGGATGATCGTCGAATCACCACAACAACTGATACGTCTACCGATATGGATAGTTATTATAATATGCTTATCAAACGTAAAAATGAAATTAAATCCATTTCAACATTCGTCAAACCAGGTTTGTTAGCCGGTGGAATACGAAGACATTTCAAACGACAACAACGGCAAACACCAGTCGGAGCCACTATCGCGTATGGACATGATAACTTGACATTAGGAAAATATCATAAGCCAACAAACGATAAGCCGCGACCGATTGAAAATAAGAAACAACCGGCAAGAAACGATTCACTACATCAATTTAGTTCTGCTGGTGAAGATTATTATCAATTAATGTTGAAACACCAAAAAGTTCGATCCGTATCACAATATAAAGCTTTGGCGAATAAATGATGATGATGTTCTAATTTGCGAACAGTTTATTACTTATTTTTTTTTATTTATTCAAAACATTCTAAAAATCGATCCATATATACAGCCCAAGTAATTTTATGCATTAATCATTGCTGCTATTTGCGCTTTATGCACGCGATTAATTGTTTATAATTGGTGTGTTATTCATTCATTCATTCATTCATCAATTGGCGAAGGAAAGTTTTTAAGTAGAACAATCAAAGTATAAGAATTGTGTGACCCTACTCTGTTTTTGGATCTCCTATTGACGACCTACTGATATTATTGAACACACAAAAATATTTACAAATCTGCAATTAGTTGGAAAATATTCTGTCGATGGTGTTCAGTATAATTCTTGAAAATTCATCGAGATCAGGTTTCCAGTGGCAATTGATGATGATGATGATGATGACGAAGAATTTAGATGATGATGATGATGGTGATGATGATGTTCATTCGTGTTCGTCCCCGATCCTCTTCCGCCACTTACGAAAGCTGCTGCTTCCTGTAAATTGGATTTTGATGATGGAATCGACTGTGGTGATGGTCCTCCTGCTGTAGCTACTGCATTCGATACAGAAATTATTGCCGCTTGATGACTTAACGATGAGGTATCGGCCGTCACTGATGATGGTGGTGATAGAGCAGCCGGTGATGGTGATGAATAAGGTCTGGTCGATCCACTAGGACTACTAATAATGGTTGAAGGCGTGGATGGATTATGTGAGCCGATTGCAGTGTTCAACATTGTCTGACCATTCAGGCCCAATTCATGTTGAGTATCGGGCATCATTTTCAGATTATTACGCCGCCATTTGGCACGAGCATTCTGGAACCATACCTACAAATTGACAGTCATTATCATCATTATATAATCTGTATACAATCACAGCATCCATTGTGAACACGCAAACACACACGTACCTGCAAGACTCGTTTAGACAATCCAGTTTTCTGGGCCAATGCTTTTAGGTCTTTAGCATCTGGATTTTGATTGATACCAAAATAGCTTTTCATCGTTCTTAATTGATGATGTTTGAAGGATGTTCGCATTCGTTTTGTACGTTGATTCGAACTATTACCACCGTTACCGCTGCTACCTAATGATTGATGTGAAGAAAGACTATTCAATGCTGATGAGGCCAATTGTGAATTGCATGAATTTTCAATCGATGCAGCTAGACCTGACAATGGACCACCACCACCATCCAATGAATCTATCGAATATAGATTACACAATGGAATTCATAATCAAAAGATAAACATGCGATTATCATTTATACAATTCGACTTACTTGTCAAAACTGGACTATGAGCATTACGCGACGATGGTGCTGGTGGTGATGATAGAGATTCGTGTGATAACGAATTAATTGCACCGCTTTCCGGATCGGATTGTGAATGAGAATTGGAATGATGTTGCTGCTGGTGGCCATGTGAATGAGGAGAATTACTTAGCTGTGACTGTTGTTGATGATGATGATGATTGTGTTGATGATGTTGATGATTACTGGTCGTAACATTTTTACGTTTTCGTGGTCGACCTTTTCGAATACTTTGTCCAGTATTGGTCGTAGTGGTCGTCACTGATGTAGTTGATGGCGATTGACCATTCATAGAATTCTGCATTGATGATCCTCCTCCTCCTCCTACAGGTGTAGCTGGACTACCGCTGCCACCACCCCCACCGCTAGATAAATTTGTTATGGACAATGGTGAATAAGGTAAATGATGTTGACCCGTTGATGGATAAGGTGTGGCAGCCATAGTACTACAAATATCGCCCATTAGATGTGAATCATTAAGATGTATCGATGCCGATGGTGGTGAAGATGATGATAATGGTCCAGAGGAATGATGATGTTGTCCTAAATGAACTTGATGATGAAATGATTGATTCATGTTATGATAATGATGAAGAGCATTTGGTGACGATGATGATGATGAATGAGAATGGTGATGATGATAATGATGTACTGGGTGGGAGGTCTGCATATGATGATGACGATTCAGTAAATCAGATGGTGTCGATGATATTGAACCTAATGATGATGAATACAGTGTTGAATTCAATTGTGGTGGGGGTGTAGAAGTTGATTCATAGCAACGAATCGGTGATAAGGGAGGATTTCCTATCTGACCATTGTTGGTGGACAACATTTCATAATGGTTTCGACAATAGACAAGATTATCGCGGACACCAAACAGGTCACCTTGTGCAAGTGTTACATTACACCAGGCGCAAGTGAAACATTGAAGATGATAGACATTATGATCTCGGACACGCATAACCAATTCTGATGCATATATTCCTTCACCACAGCGGTTACAACGACGCATAGTGAATAGCCTGAATAGAAAACATGATTAATATTCTCCATTGTTCTATAAGACCTTGTCAATATTACCTGTAATAATCAGATTTACAAAATATGAGACCATCTCTTGAGAAGCAGCTTGGTTCAGCCTGAAGATTCACTTTGCACTGGGAACATTTGAGGCAAGATACATGCCAATGTTGGTCAACAGCCGATAAATAATAACGATCAAAAATATGAGAACCACAGCCTGCACATTCAACCATTGAGTCACATTTGATCATTTGCATATTGCCGTTTTCGGGAATTGTTGATGCCTGTACAACAGTCGTTGATGATGAATTTGGCGATAATGATGAACCGATTGGAACCGAATCTGCTGCTGGATTCGTCATTATATCGCTCATCATGACCACTGATGATGTTGATGAGGTCGATGTTTTTATCGATAATGATGATGCTTCCTCCTTGATCATCATAGAAGAGGATGAAGAAGATAATGAATACGATGGTGATGATGAAGACGATGATATTGACAAAGACGATACAGGTAGAATCATGGCTTGATTGCACACCACCTTATTTCGTGATTTATAATGACTGTTGGTGATACTTTCAATAACATGTGGTCAATTGCTTTTGATGGTTGATAATGATTACAATGGCGAATCATCATCCGTATGCATCAATCAGATGTAAGGCTATGGTTCGATCGATTGCTCTATTGCATCAACACACACACACACTACAATTTTCTGTTCAACTTGAATCGTAGTTCATTTTTAGATCTATCCGTGTTCAACCCAGATCGAATTTACCGTTATACTATGGTTGTTGGGTGATTGTCGCGCCCATCATCCACTATTGTCATTTATTTTGCGAAAATAATTTGATCGTAATACCGAAACGAAAGAATTGATGCACACAAACACACACATATGACAAGTAAAAAACTATTCTGTTAGCCATAATGTTGAATAATATGAATCAAGAACTGTCTATAGACGATGCGTTGCACCAGAGTTCATCTGGACAAATAATCACTGCCAGAAAGTAAAGCGCCCGATTTTAAAAACATAAAAAACTCTGTCATTTTCGTATGTGAAACATTCATTCAATAACAAATGTTTTGAAATACATTTGCCAACCTTATTTGTTGTATTAATGCTCATATACAAGAACCGCCTTATGGACGGCCTTATGATGCCGCCCATCATAACAAAAGCATGTTACTGATAGTGATTCATTCAATTGAAGACGACTACGAACTACGAATACAGAAAAACCAAAACGATAAAATAAAGAAAGAATGAGAGTCAAATAGCAAACGCGCTTGAACAATATCGAGTTACGTCTTATAAGATTCATCATTTTCTTTTTTTTTTTGATTATAACGGATACGTTTTTTTGTGGGGATATATATAGCCATTCTATTGGTCGATATTATTAGATGCTTTATTCTTTTACATTGTGCCAATATGCTGGCGGCGATATTCGATTTGAAACACAACAACAACAACAACGACAACAACAACAACAACGACAACAACAACAACAACAACAACAGATACATGCATAACATTGAAGGTAACATAGCTGATGACAGTCAAAAACATCATTGATGATGATGAGCTACTAAATTATTAACATGCAACAATTCCTTGAATTCTATAAATTTGACAAAAAACTTGGTACTAGTGAAAAAAATAATGTTTAATTCGCAAAACTAGATTATGTTTCTTTGGCGGCAAATTTTTATTTATTTTTTTTTTTGCATCGATGGTGACAATTGCTCGGCTATTGAAATAGATAAAAACGATAAGAATTATTTCAAAGTCATTTTTCGCTCAAATCATCAAGGTGTTGATCATCATTTTCATCATAGTAGTTGATTTTTTTTCTAATTCAGACTGATGATAGTATGGCTTCAAATCGATTCGACTTGGTCAAAATTGCGGCCGATTTATTTTTCTTTTAAAATGTGGCTTCACTTGTCACAACTAACAAAGTTGAGGGTTCATTATCATCATTATATGATGATGAACAAGTTTTCTTCGAAACATGTTCTCTATGTTCAAAGATTTTGGTTTCGATTTCGTTTGCTCTCATCATCAACATGTACATATCAATGGTGACATGGAAGCATGTAGATGCCGACCCTATGATATATGCTCAATGATCCCTGACAACAAAGAAAAAAAATATGATGACAATCTCAACATTGTCTATGATCCTGGATCGAGTTGCATGGATTGCATGACAATTGCAGCGATTCTGAATAGTGATCAGATTTGTTATACAAGCTTGTCTAGGATGATGATGATGATGATGATAGTGGTGTTTGATAATGATCAATGCCACACATATTTGAAGATGCATCTGTCGTTCTCGATGTCATCAACGATTATTTTTCAGAGGAAGAAAAAGAGAGAGAGAGGCGACAGTTACTATAGATATACTTTTTGAACCCAAGTTGATGACAAAATCTACATATCTCATCAACGCCAGTCAATCTTTGCTATGATATTGAGCTACATTCTTAGCATCAATCTCTCTCTCTCTCTCTCTCTCTCTTAATGATGTTTGAATATTCGTCAGTTGGACAGATGATGATTTCTAGTTGCTTTAAGATATCTTGAAATGACACTTGTCACTTGTTGGCCTACTGATTTGCGGTAATGTTTGTCAGGGAAAAAAACTAATCAGATTTTCACGAGGATGATAGAATCTGAATAAATAAGCACGATCTGATCAAAAAGGACAAAAAATTGATTGAGCATATTTGTAAGAATGAACATCATGAAAATGCTGAAAAAGGAATCAAGTTTCGAGAATTCATTCAAAGCATTTTTTGATCATACAACAGAAGGGTTCGCCATCACCAATTAGTCCATAAAGATCTCAACAACATCATGGAAGTCTATTACTTTAATAATCTGATCATATTTCATGTAACCTATCTAAAAACCGAATATTAATTTGAATGAACAAGATTTTGGTGGCAAATTTTTTTTTTTTTTTGACTATATGCACGTGTCCAACTGCTATGTTCCGACGGCGAATCTGAGAACAATCCTTGTCATCATCATTAACAACAACAGCACTGTACAATGAGGCATACGATTTATGATATTTGGCTAATATATGGGCGCATACACACGACCCAAAACATTCATTCTTATTTTGCGGGAAAGACCATGGACCATAACCAAAAAAAAAACATCTCTGTTTTGTAAATCATTTAAATAAAAACACTTTTTTCTCCCTTTATTTTTGTTCCAAAATAAAGATAAAACACTCATACGATGTGTGTACTATAGTTTCTATGTTGATGCATGAGCAACTCCAAACTCCATAATGAGCAAGCAATCATTTCCATCTATCAGTGTGTATTGGTGTCGATACAATGTATATTCCGATTCAAGCAAAACATATTCTCCATGAGATTCGTTTTTTTTTCTCTTTTCGTTTTTGCCCATGACATCTAGAGCAATTGTCGATCAATTGGTCGGAAGTTTCCGATTTTATTTTATTTTTTTCGACTTTGATTTGATTGTCATCATGATCATGATCATCATCATCAATTGATGATGATGATCATGAGGATGGCACGCGACTTGGCATGTATGCCTTGTGAACACATATACACAATGATAGCACAATTTTCACCTTGATACTGGCGATGAAACTGTTTTGAACCACACACACGAACATGAACCAAAGAGGATGGACTAATCATTCAGGATTCTATTTGTTCGTCCTGTTCGGTGTGTGTATGTTGTATTTCAACTATCTTTTTGTCTCTTTTGCTCAATGTTCCAGTTGGTTTGAAAATAATTGGGATCCAGCGGTCTAGCCATACGCCATATTCACGGATGTACAGATATAATGATGACACTCGCACACACATAAACACAATGGCAATTGTCTGTCTTATGTCGTAGTATGACAATAACAAGCACTCATGCTGTGTATGATGATTTTTTTTTCTCTGGAACAGATAGAAACAATTTGCTATGGTACAAAATGGAACAAATAAACAAGGCAAGGTGCTTGTCAGCAGCTTTTTTTCGGCTTTAAGTCACGTACACTCAGGAATAACCGTACGATTGCAATGAATGTAGAATTTATCCCGAATGACTTATATTGGTATGTCAAATACAGAAAAAAAAACAAGAGTATTGACTTTGACATCTTTACAAACCAATCTTGGATGTTTTCATAGTGATGGAATCCTAAAATGTAGCATATTGAAACATAGATGGATGAGATATGATTATAGTCAGATTGAATAGATGAGGTCAAAATTTGTTGATAATTATCTGCTGCTGTCTTTTTTTTTATTTGATTTGATTCAATGTTGATGATTTATATGCCATCAACATGGCGAATAAACAAACAAAAATGAGAAAAATTTCATCTGTATAGCAATATCGACTTAATTGAAAAATTTTCAATCACAGATAGTAATCTGAAAATTTAATCCATTTATTCATCGCCGTTTTACTGTTCAGTTCAGATAGCCCTACGATCAACATGATCGTCATCACACACACACACACTAGCCGAATAAAATTCAATTCAATCAGTATTTAACCAATAGGTAGGATTTCGCTATCACCGTCATTGGGTTGTGAAATTCAATTTGTCTCGCTTTTCTTATCTATTTTTCGTCATCTAGTTTTCTTTTTGATAAAAATATTATGATCTAAGTAAATAAGAACATATATTCTAGTTTTATCATCATGGATAAGGTTGAGTAATTTTACAGTTATTAAAAATTTTATTATTTTTTTTTTTGTTTATTTATTCATTGGTGAAGATTTATTTGTCAATATAATATAATCAGCCGGGCTTTGTTATGTTGTTTGTCGAAAAATTGTCATCATATTTAAATACTATGATGATGATAATATCGAGCTGAAAACAATCATTGATCTAGTTGGTTGAACACCGACACAAACAAATATTCCTATTGATGATCATTATATGTCAAACACTACTAGAAGTACATGAAAACAAAACTAGTTCTATATCCGTTTATCTTGACGACTACACATGATGATGATGTTGATGATAATGATAATGATAATGATGGGATGAATGCCTCTAATGGATTGACTACCTTCGACTAACTAAGTTTTTCAACATTGGTGGTAGGTCTTTATTAAATTAGACCTGATTATCATAATTGATTACAATAAACAGGAGTCTAATTGCTATACATCTGTTCAACTAACTTTGGATTATCAGTGAAGCGGTGACAATAACATATATCCAATATATGAAGTATGAATAAATGAATACCCGAATTCCTAATAAATGGCTGTCAAAAAATGCCGACTGTGATTTATTCGTTCGCAATGTACAATGTACATATATGAAAAAAAACCGGAACGATAACCAATTATTGATAATAATCAAGCTGTTGATTCTGTCACCACCGGTGTTGTTTAGACCACCATACAAGCCAATTTTTTGTCTTTAGAATTCTATACACAGTTAGTCTAAAAAAATTACAATACATATTCCTTGTTCATCTGCATATTATTTCATATGAAAATAAAAAATCTTCATCTTCGTTATTCCCATCGCTATCATCTTCATCGTGATGATTCGGACAAAACAATCGAGACAATGAAAATGATATTCATATTCGATGCTTGTCGCTTCATTCCCATCGAAAATGAAAAGCAGCAGCTCATCAATCAAATTCATCTGTCTTTGATATTTTTTGTTTTCTACCACCGATGCCTCGATGACGACAAATATACAAATCATCTTGACATAGCTTGATTCTCTCATTATTGGGTCATCACACAACTATACATTGTCAGAATCTTCTTCAACCTTCTTTTATATTGTCGTACGCGATTAACGAATTGATATTGAAAAAATATGGAAATAAAAAAAAATGTCTACAATAGAGAATATTCCTCTTTGTTGTCATAATCTTTGTGATCAAATGAATGACAGTCTAAATGAATGAATGAATGAATGAATACATAATTCTTTCATTTGTTTCCTTTTCAAATTTAATCACAAAATGAACATCAAAGATTTTAGTTCTTGTTAAATATAACTTTATACAGACATTTTATGTTATGCAGATGGTTCGACGTTCATATGATGATGATGATGACTATGAATATATAACTATTTACAGACATTAGCCTCAATGAATGCCAAGTTTCCGGACCATTTGCTAGCTAAACGCCCGTGTTTTTTGTGCTATGTGTGTGTGTGTGTGTGTGTGTGTATTCAACATTATTTCGACAATGTCATTTTAGCATTGCAATAACAAACATTCACATTGTTAAAGCCAATGAGTATATGAACTCATCATCAGCATAATCGATATATATATTTTGTTATAATAACCAACTAGTGTATACGAGAATATAAATCAAATATCTAATTGACAAACAGACAGTGACTACGATTGTCTTGTAGTTGTCTGTATATAAAGTATTGTAATATTAACAATGTTACAATCAAATCAACCATTCAACAATTTTTAAGAACAAAAACAATAAATTGAGAATGGTAAACATTTTACTAAACATCGAAGCAATAGAATTTTCAAAAACTATAGTTTGATCCTCTCTCTTTATTATGATCAATATAAAAAAAACTACTACTGCTGCTGCTGTTCAATGATCGCTATGGTTTGTGCAAATGATTCGGCTGCAACTGTACCGGCCATAACTTTGATTGGACCGACAATGGGCGGTCGTGACATCATCAATCTCGACCATTTGGATCGTTGATTTTGAAACCAAATCTATCATAGGATTTTGATAAAAGGTATTGAAAATTTTTTTTTTTTTTTTTGGACAAGACTTATCATACACTTACTTGAAGAACACGTTTAGAAAGCTGAGTATGTTGTACTAATCGATACATTTCATCAGCATTCGGCTTATGTGTTCGTTTGAAACATCGGTGCAGTAAATCAAGCTGACATTTCTGAAAACTGGTCCTCATACGTTTTGTACTACCATTGGTCCATATACGACTGCATGAAGACGATTCTTCGAAATTTCGACCACGAAAATAACTATTACTTTCACCGGAATTCATTTCATTTGTTGTTCTAGCTATTCGATCAATAGCTATGAAAATGTAAAAAAAAACCATTATGCAAGAAACGACATAGATTTTCAACGAAATCGGTCAAAATAGAAATTCGACTAAAGATGGAATGATTTAATCTTAAACTACGTGTTAATATGTCACTGTACAATTGACACTATTGTACAAATCGAAAAACTACATCATATATTCAAATTTTCTTTAGTCCTTGACCATGATCACTTGCTGACATTTTAGCCAAAGGTCAACCATAGGCCATGAACACAGCAGGTTTCCAAAAATATATGCATATGAATGAACAAACAAATAAACAAATAGACACACAAGGTCCTTTTGTTCAAAAGCATTCGTTCTTGATCCATGATGATGGGTAACAATTGTCTCGATGGTCCAATATATTTATCAATAAGTGGTCCTATCAATCATGTTCATGATGAATTGACTATATGACAAAGTTCAAACAAATCGATGATGAATAAGAGAAATACGTATTACTGTTCAATAGAAATTTGAGGGATTCAAAAACAAAACGGGTTTCAAATACACAAAAACATGTTCAAGCTCAATGGGAAACAATGTCCAAACACAGTATATACAGTAAGCACGTGTTTTATTACCTATTTGAATTTTTTTGAATATATATGCACACACACACACACACTCTATTAATCCAGAGGGTAAGAAACATAGAACCCTTAGTAAACACGTGACCAACTGATCTGGTCCGGATTTCGGTACTCCTCACTATGTAACTACTACCGATATACTCACATCCTTTTGACTTCGATCAAATGGTCTATTGATTTCTGGGGCCTAACTTGACTACATACTGTTTTTCTAGATATTATTTGGTACATAACATGACAGAGACCGCATTCATGTTTCATAAAGAATAAAACAAACGACAAAGCTAAACAATTGACTCTACGGGAACAAATATTGAGCTATAGCCAACAACCAGTAGCAAAGTCGAACGTCGGCCGTTGTTATCCTGGGTACAAAAGAAACTGGATTTTCAGTCGATAAACAAAAGATACTCTCTTTCCATGACAAAGCATAGTTGTCTAAACATATTCAAATCGAATGGGATTTTCCCACCAAGCCTAGAATGTTTTTTCTGTCTCTAAGCAATAACATCGATCCACTGTGGAATATTGTGGAACATCAACTATTACTATCGAGATAAACATGTCAATCTATCGTGGTTGAGATCATCTTTCATTTCTTATTCGTCTTGCCTGCGATCATAATTAGCCGAGAATGTAGACACACATACACATTCATTTTACCGTTTGTCAAGTGTCGAATCGGTGGACATTTTTTTGTTGAATTGATTATACGTGCCAGAAAAAAAGAACCTTCGAATAAAACTATCTGTGAAAAAAATAGACAATCGGCTCTGTTTGTTTCGTTTATGTTCAATTCGGTTGGCTTGTTGCTGGTAATATAATCGGATTTTCTTTCGTTCGGAAACACGAGAACCAAGTTATTAGAATCCAAAAGAATCAATAAGCCAGAAGAAAAGAAAATAAAAAGATGCACACGAGAACATCACGGCGATAGGCAAAAAGTTGCCAGATTAGTGTACACTACAACCTCGATGATGATGATGATGATGACGATGACTACGACCGTTCCAAATTCTGTTTTTCATTTGTATTTACGCTCATGTGTGTATGTTCGTCATTCAGGCGGCCTTGGAACTAATTTATATGCATTCAATGATGATGACTATAGGACCAGAAATCTTTTGCCTCCTCCTCTATATATATATACAAACACACATAACCATAACCAATAATAATCTGGCTTTTGAAGAATAGTAACTTTTTTTTATAAATTCAAGAATCGTATCGGGTTTTTTTCTCTGAAGCCGATCTAGTTCTTTACTAATATTGGGTCGCGTGTGTGTGTGTGTGTGTGCGTCGTTTAAGCTGTTTTAGTTGTTTGTTTGTAGGATTATTCGAATCAAACGACAAGATACTGCATTGTTAGCTATGAATGGATAGATACTATGATCAATATCTAGCTAGAGCCATAGCTAAATATTGACAGTTTTAGACACAAATAGTCAGTTTCTCTCATTCAACACCATCATTTGACAGTTGACATTTTCGTTATGGATCGGGTCAAACGATTGTCATAAAATCGGATTTTGGTGATTGCAACAATCCGATTCTATTATGATCCGTTGAATTCTACAGCTGGAGCCAATTAGCTCGACAGAATTGAATTTCGTAAAGATTGAAAGGATAAAATTTGCTACTTTACATCAGACATTATACCTTGATTCGAACATTTCGATGACTGTAAAGAAGAGAAGCAACAAAACTGATTGAATGTTTGTTGTTCATCACATGTCTTACGTACTTGTCTTTGTCGTTGACGATAATGTTGTTCGCAATATATATTTAGTCCAGTATGGGTATTGGTTGTCAGGCCATAAAGTTCGCCTTTATGCAATTGACGTGAACATTCAGAACAGGTAAAACAATGTACATGGTAATGTATTAGTTGCTTATGACCATATGGTATTCGAAACGCTAATAAAAATAAAATCATGGAGCCATGACATTAAATTTGTCCATGATCGACCGACAGGAAATAATTTACCCAATTCCAATGGTTCAATCAATTGTCCACATTGATAACAATTGATTTGAGCAGCCATAAGCCAAATTCCTCGTGAATTTCGAATCCCATTGATATCGATTGCCGCCTGTTGTTCATCCTGTAGCACGGGATATAGAATGACCAAGAAAACAAAAAAACAAAGAATAAAACTATTCAAAGTCAATAACAAAAGTTTCGGATATTTTTTCACTGACTCATTCATTCATGTAGACATGCATGCGTAGCTATCGTAAACGTTTTTGTTTGAGAAATTGGTTCTTTTGTAGCCGATCATGCATTCATGCAGGTATAATTTGCATTCATCTTTGAGTCCGGTACAACATCGAATGAAACTGATGATCCACACAAACACATAGGAACGTGTCTTGCTAATTTGCATAGTTGCATAAATTAGCATAACTTTGTTACGGATGTTTCGTCAATAATAACAACTTTTTCTGTTCTTGTTTTTGATTGTAATACGGGCTTGTTGATGAATATCGATAAATATATTCTCAAGCAAACATATTATTGTCATATATTTTGTCAGCCCTTTTCCTGTTTATTTGTTAGGGGTCAAAGTGTTCGATCGATATTGATCATGATGATTCAGCATCCGGATGTAGAAACAAATATTAGTGATGCATAGATTTAAATCTCTTATGTCCAATTTCCGGAGTTTGATTTCAACAATTTCTTCCGATAATGTTGACAATCGTCATGGCCACTACAATCAGGTGTTAGGAATCAGTAAATCGAATCAGAAACAAAAGTCTTAATATAGCAACAGCAATAGGATATCCTACTAAATCCTAATTATTAAATGAACTTTGAACTTTGCTCGACAAGCTTGCTACCGGACTATCGAACATTACATTTTCTATACCGTCTGTGAATTGTGAATGGTATTCGATTCGAAGCGTGGGAATTCACGATCATCATCATCAGCAGCATCGACATCGTCATCACTGTATCGAGTTTTGCAATTTGATTCGGCGTCGATTGCTCAAGTGATGACAATCTAGCCATCAGTAATAACCATTGAATCGAATTGGTCGGCATTGAAGATAGAAAAAAAATAAGATCACATTTGTTATGTATATGTGCGACAGTTTTTTTGGCAACTAAACTATCACTAGTTGAACATCTAAAAATCGGACCGACAGTCCGACACAGAAGATGGTCAATCAAAGAATCAATTGACTTCAGACCAATCAAATAATCTGATAAGTGATTGAATATAACATTATCAACTTGATTGCACGGTTGATACCAATGCTACTGAACAATGTTTGATGACCAAGTGCAAAAATGACGAATGTTTCTGGTCGACGACAATGATGATGATGATGATGATAATGACCAACAAGAAAAAAGGGGAGAGTTTTTCTTCTTTTTTTTACGGATTCGTCGATGCGTGAATTATGTATTTCACGGCTGTCGTCAGTGGCAGATCAACCAATTCATTCAATTTATTTAATCCATGGGCCCAATGGTAGATCCGCCACTGGCTGTAGTTGTTATAATAACCATACTTTTGGGTTGACATTTTCATTTAGAGAGACAAAAATTGCCGTATAAATTTTTCGGTGATGATGACTTTATTATGCTAATGAAAATCCATTTGCTTTTTCAAAAAATATACGTGTCTGACATTTTTTTTGTTTTGTTTTGTTTGACCTCTTTGATTTACCATTTCCCTATGGATGATATACAGACACACACACACACACACGCACATATATAAACTCTCTAATACACGTGGCTGTAATTGATAAATGATCGTGATGCAGCAAACGGTCAGTCAATGGAATATCACATTGAATACACGCCCATATTAATATATTGATGAAAAATAAACTTACCATAAGATGATTGTTGATTTCTGTTTCGATTTTTGGTTACTGAAATATTAATTTCATCAATTTCAGGTCTTTATATACGGGAGCTATACAAATTGAAACAGATGAAAGTGTTGTGTGATAACAAAAAAAAAAATTTTCTAAGAATATAGATAATAGCAAAACTAATTCATTTGCAATATAGCAACAATATATGACAATATCATTATCATTGAATTTCATTATTAAATATAATGAATGAAACGAAACTGGTGCTAGGTATTTGTCTGAATTAAATGAAAAAAAAGAAAAAAAAAAAAGAAGTCAAAACAATAAAGTGAACCGAATCGGAAAATCATAAAATAAATGCAACTAAAGTGAAAAAGAGAGAGAGAGAGAAGAAGCCTCATTCATCGATTTTCAAGTGAATTGGATCGATAGTTGTGATTTTATTGCGATCGCAAAAAAAAACTTCTGATGATTTGCCCCGAACTACTAAGTTAAGCAAATCAATTTGAATGTAATACAATTGAATACAAAGCTCGATGAATGAATAATGTTTTTTTTTTTTTTTTGATTTTATGATTTTTTTTTTACTACAACGTTATGGTTGTATAGAGTCATTCGATGCTATTGTCACGTCGTAAAATGAAGGCCGATAAACTGGGCGAATAGACAGACAATTTTTTTTGTTGCTTTTGTTTTTGTTTCGATATTTCGACATTTGTATTCGTCTTATTTTCTGACCTGACTTGAAACTATGTGTCTAGTGTCATAGAATCGAATATCGATTCGTTTGAATTTAAACAATTTTTCAATCGGAATCTGGCTATCTGAATATTCAGCCATGTTAAATTTGTTGTTGGCGCTTGGCAAGCCTACATTATGAGTTACATCATTGCATTGCCTCGCCTTTATGTTCAATGATGATGTGTTTTAAGTAAACATTGTTGTTGAAAGAACTGTCAGCCTAAGCTTGTAAAATTTTTCACGACACATACCTCAATGTTGTTGTTGGTTCCGGTCTAATATCCAATCAATAGATACACGAACTTGGTACAAGACCTTGCGGTCTTGTAAGAAACACAAATACTGTCTAAACAGGTAGGTTGAACGAAACCCAATAGCCATATGATAAACTCATGAATTTGATTATAATCAAGATGAATCTTGATAGAGAACCGTGATGTGTACATCTGACAAGTAAATCGAATATATATGTGTGTTTCATGTGACAAGTCAAAATGATTGATACATTCATGCATCGTAATAAAACTTATCTGATGATGAAAAAATCGAGCATCAGATCAATCTATCATGAACCCAAATAGAACCTTCATAATCAAATCGTCTTGTTTCACTCAATTTATTTGGAAATTCGTTCATCACCTTAGATATAAGCATACCTCATGAATGGTTCAATAATGATGACCGTTCTATATAATTATCGTTCATCTCTAAGATGAATGATTGACATGGTCAACAAAACGAAAAAACAAACAAACAAACAAACAAACAAATTTAGTCAAAATCAACCAAACATTCCATTCGGATGGTATCTGATTTTATGTATTTAACACCGTAGGGTGCCCAATTGTCGTTTTCCATGTTAAGGTGGATTTGGTAATCGAAAGTTTCGTTGCCTAAGCTTAAAATATCCATCAGCTACCGTGTTTATCATGTTCACCTAGTGACGATCATATCAATTGAATAAGACCCATTGAACATATAATCAAATGTGAAATGATTTATTCAACTGTGTATAATGTTTATAAGGTGGTGATGTTTAGATATAATCTATCATCATTGAAGCTGTATTATCAGCCTTATTGATGAATCAAGGAATAAACATTTCAATTGAAACAAATCGATGAGGACAACCAAAACGCGATTCATTGAACAAAGAATCATTCGTCGATTTAATTCATTCGGACAATTCACTACATTTTCAATTTAATGTTATGCATATTCTGTTCTAATGACTACTGGATTTATTCATCATTCGATCGTATCGAATTCTCATCATTTGTAAGGCAAAAACTCATCGAACGAATAAATCAGACTTTAGGTTCGAAATTCACATCCCTCTCAATACAATCATCAAACATCAGAGAGATGATGCCGCCGTTCACCTGCCTCTCTAACAACTTTCATAAAATATTTCGTTCACTCATCTTCAACTGGCGGAAGCCATGGCCAAATAGAAAAAACGTTCGAATCAGACCAAATGTATTGCATTGGCGACAAAAGAAAAATAGTGGAAAAGAATTTCATTTTTCAATAATGAACAAAAAAAGAGAGAAAAAAATTGATTAGATTGCACTAACGCTTTATGAACTATGGCAATTATGTCCGTTTATGATCATCATCGACATAAACATAGACTCAAAAATATATTATAAGCCAGTCAAACAAGCAATGAACGCCTTTATATAATGATGATTATGATTATTATTTATTTTCAGATTTTCACTTATCAGTTTTCAGCGATGGGCGCTCTACTCATCATCAATTGTTGACACTATTTTGTTCATCGATTAGATTGAATTGTATACCTAAAGCAATGAAGTAATTGCAATTCAACTCAATTGTTGATTATTATGATAACCACCTCAAAACATTGAGAATCGATGATGATCACTATTATCAGTCAATCGATCGACATGGATATTATATGTTGGTCATGTACTTGTGCATAATTTAATCATCAACATCAAAATATTGGGCACCGTGTGATTAAGATGTTTGTTTGTTTGGTTTGGTTTTTTATTTATTTTGATAGAGACAAAGAGAAAAAAAAAATAAAATTCGATACGATTTTGATGCGCCTCCACCTTGTGATCAATGATGGTCAAGTGATGGCAATACTTACAATCATGGCCGCCATTTTTTTTTACATGTAAATTATTCAAAAATTTTGTTGTTATGACGTTACCAATCAATCAATCAATCAACATTTTTTTTATCCAATTGATTTGTATATCCTGCTCTCATCATCATAGACTCTCTCTCTCTCTCTCTCTCTCTATCTATCAGCAACTCATCTCGATTCTCATCATAACGAGTGTGGGCCAGTTAGTTTGTTCGTGGTCGCCACATTCATTCCTCATTTGATGAACAAACAAAAACAACAAAACATCAAGTTCTTGTTTGCGATTGCTCCTGTCCAAAACAAATACGGATTTTTCTTCGTTTGCATGGGCCGCCATAGCTAAAGAAAAATGAAGATAAAAAATCTTTGTGAATGAAGGAGAAATTCTCGAATCATGAATGAAAAACTTAACATGCAACATGCCGAATAAAACAAAAGAACCACAGTCATTCGACATGCATAATATAATGGTAGTTGTTTGCTAATGGTGAAAAAGGATCGTCGTAGGTGGATTGGATCGCCGTCATCATCGATTGTCATGCCATTCGGTCATGATTTGATCCATCATCGTGTCAAGTCAAGAAACTATAGATGATGATGACAACAAATAATGGCTTGCGAAGCATGTGATTTTTGTTTTGACAAAAACTTTGGATATTCTTTGTTCTGTTTCTAATGTTGTCTGACTGACATGACACGACACACATTCATTGGATGTTTGTTTTTGCTGTCCATCTCTTTTTTTTCAATCATCTACTCATTCATCAAGGCAGGCTAACACCATGTCAAGAATCGCATTTTGCTAGTATTAATAATGAGATCAACAACAATCAACCATTGAATCAATCATAATCAAGCGTCAAGTGTTTGAATTGTATTAAAATTAATGATGCTAGTTCATTGGAAATTGCATAAATAAATAAAAAAAAACTGAAAAATTCTCAAAACATGCAAACATTCTTTAAAGAATATATCTATTGACTGCCGGGCCCATATTTGGTCGTACAAAGCGATAAATACTGATATGGCAAATGATATATTTCATGTTCCTGTTGCCAACCATCTGACATTGAATGATCATAAACATTGTCGAAAAATTTGCTAAAAAATCTCAAACGTTTTGATTCCGGTACGAATGGAGTTAATGGATAAATGAAACGGATACAATCCTGTATTCGTTTCAACGTATCGAATTCCATCCGTTGTTCGACCATTTCGATTACTGTTGAGTTGTTGTCCATACGAAATCTGTATTTGTCAAGTAATTGTTTTAATTTTTCCATTTCTTTATTCCAATCTGGTTTTGTTAATTTGTACATTGAATCATCCGATATTCGCAATGACATCTCATCGGACATGAAGACTTCATTGCCAATTCGAAATAGATCACTCCAGAATGAAAATGTAACGCATAATATGCCATCTAGTTATCACAGATGAAATTATTTTTAGATTTTTTTTTTCATTGTTTCCTAAGCTCACCTGGTTTTAAAATGGAATTCAAATTAGCCAAATATGGTTTCTATATTTGGATCCATCATTCGAAATGAATGGATGGCAATAATCAAATCGGCAAAAGGTTCGCCATCAGAAAGACCGTGTTTAATTAGATGTTGGCCAAAATCAGACTTACTAACATCTGCTTGAATGAAATGACCGCTTTGTTTATAATGACTTTGGGCATAATGAATCATGTTTCCATCGGATCCAATTCCCATCACATTACTGGATGGGAATGCCGTCGATAATGAAGCAGTGGTACATCCTGTCTGGCAGTCAATATCCACAATTTTACATGGCACTTGATCACACTGTTTTCGTATCACCTTTTCAATTATTCGATTTAAATCAAGCAAGCGAATTTTGGATGCCGATTTATCCAGGCATTCAAATTGTTTCACTGTCGTAAGCTTACACAATTGTTGATCCATTGCACTTGAATTGAATTGTCAGAAGTAATACGCAACACGAGTTCATTTGAAAATTAAAAAAATCCAAATCAATTTATTCGGAATTTCATAATTGTTGAAATAAAATAAAAAAAATTAATTTTCGAATCGAATTATTCAATTTAATCGTCGCCAGCATAGCATTGATCGCCTCCATATCTGTGGTCTTCTTTTTCTTTTTGAAGTTTTATCAAATCATCAATTCGTAGGATAGTAATTGCAGCTTCGGTTGCGAATTTTAAGCTTTTAATTTTCGAAATAGCAGGTTCGAGAACGCCCATCTTTACACAATCTTTGACCGAACCTTCAACCAAGTCGAGGCCAACATTTTTCAATGCAACATGTTCAGATTTTTGTTGAGAACTATTATGGTAGGCACGAAGTTTAGCCACCAAATCGGTTGCATCTTTAGCCGCATTCACGGCTAATGTTTTTGGTATAACCAACAAAGATTTAGCGAATTCAGCGATAGCCAACTGTTCTCTTGATCCAATAGTGGTGGCAAAGTTTTCCAAATAGACGGACAAAGCTGCTTCAACAGCACCTCCACCTGGTACTACTTTTTTTGATTCAAGCACACGTTTTACGGCACACAACGAATCATGTAATGACCGTTCCATTTCATCAAGAAAGAATTCATTTGCCCCACGAAGAATGATTGACGCTGAATTGTGATTTTTTGTTCTATGAAGAATTTCAAATCAATCAGGTAAATTATCCTATCATTCAAATTGTTACTTACCCTTTTACCAATATAAGTTCATCATCGGAAACTCTTTCTTGGACAACTTCTTCAGCTTCACCTAACATGGAAGCTTCGAATGTTTCTTCACCTTCCATGTTGGCCAAACTGGAGATTAATTGACCACCGGTAGCTTTTGCAATACGTTTCAAATCAATCTTTCGACAACGACGTACAGCCATTACACCACCTTCGAGACAATATTTTTGGCAAAGTTCATCGATGCCTCCGGTCGTTAGGATAACATTGGCACCGGCATTGATTATTTTCAATATTCGTTCTTTGGTTATGTCACTTTCTCGTTTACGCATGTCTTCCAATTTGTCTGGATCTGTGATCAGCATCTGGACACCCATTTTCATTTTTGCTTTTTGGAGCGAAAAATCCAACAGGGCAATCTTTGCATTCTTTATATATTTGGGCATTCCTGTTATTGTGATGGGATGAAAAAAAAATCAAACATTAGTAACTAATTATCAATGAATCTATTATGTCTAAATCGATCCATTGTTTCTCATATACATGGATAACAGAATTACAATCATTTGCATGTTGCATCAGTTGACCATTATTTTTAATCATCTGCTCAAATTTTGTATAGAAAAGGCATGTCGGAAGCATACTTTACCTTGCATAGCGATCACACAGTTCAAAGCAAATCCATTGATAAGCATTGATTCTCGCATCGATTTACCATTCGCTTTAAGAACGCGAATAGCTTTGACTGGATATTTAAATCCACCACGGCCATCAGATTGTTTAATGATGGTAACAGCATCGACGACCATATTGGCAAAAAAATCTGAATCACTAAAAAAAATAATGTACGATTAGATCAAGTTATTGAAATGATCGGTGATAATCAAATTCCTTCCATTATTCTATCTGTCCGCATTTAATTTGTTCCCAGCGTATAATCCATTTCGCAAATTATAAATGCATGGCGAAATGGATAAAGTTCATGGGACAAGAAAACTGTCACTTCAATAACTTACGATCCAATCAATTTTGATGATAAAGACGTTTTAGCCGCGTTAATTATTGAGTCTTTTCCGAGATCATCCACTGAAAGGCAAAGATTCTCCTGAATATATTTCACAGCTTCTTTGCAGGCTAAACGATAACCAGAAATGATCGATGTCGGGTGAATTTTGTTTTGAACCAATTCATCGGCATTCTTAAGTAGTTCGGCCGCAATAATAACAACCGATGTTGTTCCATCGCCAACCTCTTTGTCTTGCAATTGTGCCAAATCAACAAGAACTTTGGCAGCTGGATGTTCCACTTCTAACAAGCTAAGTATAGTGGCACCATCATTCGTAATCGTCACATCACCAATATCGTCAACAAGCATTTTATCTAATCCGATAGGTCCCAATGAAGATTTGACGACATTGGCGATTGCAGATGCTGCCATGACTATGAAAATCGATTAAATAAGTAAATTACAAAATGTAAATAAACAATAGCAAACCATTCTGTGTTCGGACATTCTGTCCAGAAATCCGTTGACCAGCAACTGAAAGTAAATTTTGTACAGCTGACATTTTCACTAATTGAACAATTAATATATCTAAAAAATGTTATAAATGGCTAAGAAATAAATCTGATCAGATGAATTGATCATACAAGGCGTGTGTTTCAATCAGCTTCACAATGGAAATCAATATCAGCATGGCAATGATTTGATGATTCCCGAAAAGTTTATTAGTATGGAACCAAGCAAACAATGCCGAAAACTTTTCGATAGACTCAGTCATGCGCTAAAGCTTTTACCTGTATTTTAATTTAAATATATACAAAGTTTATAGACATGATTTGAATGTGGCCATTTTATTTTTTCTCAATGAACATATTTGTAACAATGATATATTGACATGATGATGACTGTAAAAGTAATTGAAAAACATGAAAAGTTTTTTCAATCATTTTTTTTTGTTCTCCTGTATAGTTTATTCGAACGAAAAAAATCCATGATAATCAAAAAAAACATGATGGACAATTGTCAACAATGGATGTTGTCACGGCCAAAACGGAATGACAGATTGAATCAATCCTCAATCGTATAACGGACCAAAATTTCAATTTCAAATGAAATTGATCGTTCTTTTTTTGAATGCTATACAATAATCATTTATTGAATGAATCGTATATTGTACATAAAAAGCAAAATGGTGGAAATCTGTTGTTTGGAAACGATCATCCATTGGGCCATACTTTTTTTTAAACATAAGCCCATTGAGTTAAGTTCACCATGGTTGCAGTTAATTCGAATTTATGGATTCCATGTTCGACAATTACATATTCGAATATTTGCAGTCGTGTAGATTATTCGAAACTATTGTTGAGTAACATGAATGAAGATCGTCGAAGATCAAATTCATTTCTAGATTTTTCTCGCACAAGAAATTCCACATAATCTTTTTCTGGTGTATTATAATAAGCATGAGCGATCATTTGTGCCACTTGAGCATGGTTCATCAATTGAGTTGAATGACCATCCACCTCTAGGATAATATGACCAACATGTAGGTTTTCCGCTGCTGCACCACCTTCCTTTGGTATGAAAAACGGCTCATTGATTTGGTTGATCCCTGTTATTATGATAATCAAACCTGAATATTGATAATCCTTGGTTGTGATTGAGCCGATACATTTGATCCACCTTCAATAGCAATACCAAGAAATGGTTTGCTCTTTTTCACTTTGATTCTCCAACGGCCGTTTGGTTCCTGATGAATCAGACGATTGTTACTCTGTTTCGAATGAACAACATGACAGATCAATAGTTGAACGGATTTTTCTATTCAATTTGCAATCATTATAACCTACCCTAACACGAAAAGAAGAACTCCGCTGTTGATTAGCTCGTACTGATATTCCAAACGATGGAGTGGATGTAAAAGATGTTGCAGGCAATGATCTATGTCGACGAACAGGTAAATGATGATGACCCTGTGAAAGCCAGGTTTCATCAGGCCAGTATTCGGATAATTGATCAGGACTTTCGTTCGGATCAACAGATTCATGACCAATGCTCGGTATCTGTAACAAATTATGTCGATCGATGTTAATACTCGTTGCTGGCAGATTTGGATCATTTAGATCAATTTCATCATTATTCTGTTCGCCTAGTTGTTGATGTTCATTAATCACTTGTTCTACTTTTATTGATTCCGGATTAAAGGTTTCGTTCGTTATCCGATTTATCATAGTTTCTGAAGGTGATAATAGTGGCAGTGCATCATGTGACATCAACAATTGCATATGGTTATGACTTTTCTGTCTTGAACCAACGGGTGGTGATAAACATGGCGAGGATAACGTAGTGGTTGTGATTGACGAACAACCTGTTGTCGTAGTGATTAAATTGTTCGAATGTTGATGTGATTGCCGTCGTCTTCCATCATTTACCTGAAGATTTTAAACGATAAAAAAATCAAACAAACAATGATAAAGGATTCATCATTATATAAGGGAGAGGGATATATGGCAACCAGAAAAAATGGCATTTATAAATTAAAGTTGAACCATGGACAAAAATTAAAAAATAAATAAAATGAAAAAGAAACATGTACAATGGCCATTCATCATTGTCATCATGTTGACAAGCAGCACACTATATTTATGTTTTTTTTGTGAAGAATTCGATCCGATTGGATAATGTTTATGTAACAGTAAGCCATAATTATACCGATTATCTTTCTGTATAAATGTCATCATCATTAAATATGACAACATACAACAGGACACTAGGTCACGTACGTCGAAATAACTTTTGCTTGTTCTCGTTTTCTTTCTTTTTTTCTTTTTTTGACTATTTGATGAATGATAATGACATCGATTCACTGGTCCAACTAAATTGTCCACCTTTCACTCTCTTAAGCTCTCATTCGACAGTGATTACCATGGATTTGTGCAAAATGGTTCTGTTTGCTTATCTCATCTGACAAAATTTAATTTCAATACCAAAAAATTCAAAATTATAATAAAATTTTTAGACAAATTTTTTTTTTATTTTACAGTTTGATAAAACCTGAAAATTGTTGATACAACAAAAACAATAATCAGAATGAAAATGATTTGAAATGTTTAGTTTATATTTGTTCATCATTCTCAAGAAGGTTCCATTGGATATGATCCATTGTCAATCGAACCGTTGTTTATATTGGATCCGATCATATCAGCACTATTATTGTTTCCATTACTGTTATGACCGATATTATTGTTTAATGTTCCGGATGTAATAGATGGAGCCATATGTCGATGATCATCACCATCAAATAAATCCATAGCAATAACCGTTCTGCTAGACATCAATTTTGGACGAGGTATTCGTATGGGTTGTATAGTATCAAACCAAGTTTCCATTGTGGATCGATTATTGGGCATCGAAAAAAATCCAAAGTAATCAATAACATCCAATATCAAGTAATGAATGGAAATACAGCACTCTATGACCACCAAATGGCAAACACTCACTTCTGTCGATCAATTCAATTGAATACAAGTGGATTTTACAAAAAATTAACTGTTTATGAATGTCGTTGTCATTAACTTGTATAATGATGGCCAAACATACAAATTGACATTGTTGAGAGTTCCATTTGTCGATCAAAATAGTTGATTTGTTCAATTTGCTTCAAAACATGTAACCAGCATACATGAAACCGTTGACACAAAGAAGCTGTATGTTTTTGTAAATTTTAAGAAACAAAAATGCACTTTGTAAAAAAGAAGAAAAAATACAACGACAACAATCAATCGATTTCGAACAAGATGGCAGAAAAAATGACAACTCTCAGAAGGCAAATGACAAAATTGACTCGACAAAATATAATAATTGATCAACCAAGCAAACAAAAAAAAACGAAAGAGAAAGAGAAAGAAAGAGAATTCAAACTAGTCTCATCATTATCGAAAGTAAGAAATGAAAAAAAAGAGAGAAATAAAAAACGAGTCGAGTCTATTCGAATTGACTATGACTAGATGCAATGTTGAGAGAAAAATTGACGCCATGATGGCAATGATGATGATGGCTCCGTAATTACCTGTGCATAGTTATGACAAATATTAGACCAAATTCAGTATTTATACGCATTGCTGGATCAGAGGACAACAATTGTGATATTTAATCACCCTTTACAATCAACATTGGTTTGACAGGAAATAAACCATTACACAAACAAAAACATTGGATCAATAAAACAATCAAAATACCAGTGTAAGCAAAATAAAAATCCAGTTAGCCAAATTGGTTATATGAATTAATATTATTATTATTAATTATTAATTATTAATGTTATTGAATCAAAAAGCAATGTGAATCGGGCCAAAAATTTTTATCACTTGGCTTATCTTTCATTGATTTATGACGATAAAAAAATTAGATTACTGATCTGGCTCCATATAAAATGATGTAATAATCATAAATGATAATCAGAATCATATGTCAAGGCCGACATTGAAGGTACATGGAAAAATATCCATAGAATCCATATTTGAAATATTTTATTTGGAAAATTCTATGCTTTTTTTGTTTTAAATGTCAACACAAACCAAATGCAAACATTTTTTTGAAAATAGTTTACACATTTATAAAACAAAGCACGTCTATTGATGAATTGACAAGCAAATAGAATAAAATTTTGAATTTTTTTTCATTGTAAAAATGTTTCAATTGAATCAAAAAAAAAAAAAATGAATTGAATTTTGTTCAGAAAAAAACGTTTTAAGGGAAACTTACCGGGAGGATATGAAAGGTTGATGGCATACTTGGTCGACGATGGATACCAACATCATTCAGAGAAAGACTATGTTTATTATTATTATTATTATTGGTCTTTGATCGTGGTGATAGATCTCTGGTACAATGTATACGATTAGATATACGAAACGGTGATGTTGAAACAGTTGTCATTGCACTACTATGTCGTCGTGGAACAACGATTAATTCATCTGATCCATCGGGTGAAACATTCCGTTGATCGAAAGGTATCATCATTAGACATTGATCACTATTGAATGATGCCCTGTGAATTACGATGCTTTGAAAATTGATTCACAAACAGTCAAATTTATCTTAGGACCTACCTTTGGCGAAAATATGAAAGACCAAGTTTTTGTTCATAACATTGATAATAGTTGTCATTATCATTCAAATAAGGATCCATATCTTGAGAATCGACTGCAATTGTAGGCCTCTCAGTCATCATTGCCATTGATGATGTGACACCGCAAAGATTGTCGACCATACATCCACTATTGGTTACCATCAATGTCGGTGGCGACGGAGTTGGTGTTGATCGTTGATGATGATGATAGTGATGAGGTAATGATGGTAATTGTCGATGACACGACGTTGATGGCCTTCTAATCTGTTTACTAATAGGCAATATCCGATGTTCATTGTCTTGAATTGATACATCGGAAAGATCTTGAAGATGTTGGCCAATATTTGATTCTGGAATCAATGAAGAATGTATGTATGGATTCATAGATAAGATTGATTGTATTGTTCGAATCATAGAGTAAAATAAGTTTGAATTTGATATTCACAAAATGACGATGAAACTATCACAATCGATTTTGAAAATGCAATAATCATTCTATGATTAAGTGTATGACTGTTGTGCTTGAATTCTGGATTGTCACTGGTTTAGATACACTATTATTTGTTTGGTAGTTCCTCGATTTTTTTTTGTTTGAACATTGTCATCGAATCGGAAAGGTTCGTTCATAATAGTAGAGGTCCAAACAGAAAGGAATGTGGTTAGCAGGCTAGTTTGTCTATATAAGACTTGCAAAAATGAAAGTTTCGCTTGCGCTATTCATGAATAAAAAAAAAAAAAAAAACAGGCACAAGAATAATGGATATACATGACATGCTATTCTCGACATACACACGACATACTCGAATCTAAAATTAATCTCAATGTTGATGTATTTATTTACAATCATTTGTTCAACATTCAGTCCATCATAATCAATAAACATTTGAGCTTGAAACGAAAATTAATTATCACTATATGCATGTGTACGGCTGTAATTATGCAATGTACAAGCTTGATACAATTGAACGTTTTTTAATTTTATTGGATACAAAAGGATTGATTCATTCATTAACTAACAAGTAATCTGACCATTATGATCAAATTGGAATGCATTGATGTTCAATTGACAATCGTATTCATAGCTTGAGTATATAATTGGACACCTATGCACAATATGGCTGCCTGCTCTTTGTTTTTTTTTATCGATTCGTGTGTTCTATAGAGTAATGATTCTGCTATTTATCATGTGCATCAGTACCAATGAGCAGAAACACTGGAAAGTACATACAATATAAAAAAAAAGTTGTATGAATGAATTCCCAATAAAACATCTATCATTCCAATCGATGCAATAACCTTGATAATTTGATCATATTGAACTATTGTCAATAAATAAAATGAAATATTTGATTATAACTACAGATTCATTTTTATTAGATAAAGAATTAACGATGCTAATTCAATTGGCCACAATTTTTTTTTGTTCAATGAATAATTTACATTACAATAAATCGAGATAAATAATAATTACATTTTTGGCACTAATTCTCACATCGATCACACATGGTTAGATGATTTAAGCTTATCTTGTATGGATGAATGTACAAACTCATAATTCCAGGAATATAATCGGATCATGATATTTTCTGTACATTGTTCAACTGTTAGAATTTGACAACTCTTTTGGTTGCAGTTGACGTTCATGGATCTGTTTTGTACACTTTCATTTGATTCATGTATATGCATCTCTCAGGAAACCCGTTCGAAAAATGATAGATCTGTTCTAAAAAAAAATCCTGTATTCATTGAAACATGGTTAAAATCGTGATACTTGAGGCACAAACAAATCTGGAGTGAAAAAAATACTATGTTGATAAGCACAATTCATTCGAGTCATCGTCCAATGGGAACAACAAAAATCAGCCAACAAAATGTCAAACTCATTATAATTCACAAAGATCATACTCTCACAAATTCAGCTGATGGATTGTTTTCAACATTTAAATCGCCAAAGTTTGGGCAAAATTGTGTTTAGTTACATTGAAAATTGAATTTCTCGGTAAATATAACAATAAACAGCTTATGTAATCCTCTTTAAATATTCTAGCTCAAGACCAGAAAATCGACAGGAACCAAATCGAATCAAGCAATCAGTCACTGACGGTTCGGAAATCAGGAGTAGACAACTTGGTATGTTTACTTGAATAAAATTTCTTGTCTGTCAAGCCATGTATATCGTTAATGAAAAAAAGTTTCATCTTGACAACCAAATAGAATAAGTTGGGACAAGATTCTAAATGGCAAAACCGCACAATGGCACACAGTGTATATTTGGAACGTGTAAAATCAAAAATAACAACGGAATCAATCAATTAGTTTGCTAACAGCTGAAATTGTTGGATTATAATTTAATTTTGTTATAGATTAGCCGAACAATCATGGCCTTTATAAGAAACAAGTAAAATGTGTGAGCCATTTGTTAATGCGTGCGTGTGTGCTTTAATTCTATCGTGTCCTTTTATAGAATTTTAAAATAAATCGACAAATGTCCTCTTCATCGGAAAAACAATCGATCAACGACGATAGTAGTACAGAAGGTAATGGCGACAGCAACAAAAGCATTCAAAATTCCTTAAATGATAGCAAATCATCAATGTCGACGGCACTGACGGTTAACGAAGAAAATAGTGTGCTAATGGATATTGTTAAAGAACAAGTACAACGGACTTATGTACGCATCGAACGCAATCGTAACAACCCTAATCAATTGCTATATGTAACAAAACAAAGCCAAGAAAACTGGATTAAAGGAACAATTGATCCACCGGCCTCGCGAAAATCGGCTACTGTAATGTCAGCTAAAGCTAGAGAATGTTTGCTGCGATCGTCATTGACCAAAGCATTGATACCAGATGAGATTGGAGCAATTAATTTGGAAAGTCGAGGTACCAGTAATAGGAAAAAACAAAGAAAAAGGCGAAAAAATCGACGAGCAAAAACAGACTTGAAAAGTTATGATGAAATTCGGGATCGATATGAAACACAGGAACTTGTAAAAACAATCGAATTGGAATCAAAATCATTGGATAGTAGTAACAAAGGACGAGATAAATCTGAAGACAAGATTGACAGCCAAACAATCTTTATTACACCGAGTGAAAATTTGATTTGTACAGCCATTATTGAAAACGAGAAAATTGATGCAACAGAAAATGCTCAAGAAGACGCCATCACGGATAATTTTCAAAGTTTCAAAACATATCCGATTGATCAATTCAAAACAACTGCAGTAGCAGGTATGTAGATGTTGATATATTATTCTCATTTATTTATTATGATTATACAGCATCAGAATCATCCGATAAAGAAGGCGACAATGACAGCTATGAATCGTCCATGTTACTTGCCGTGCCTGATGATCTGGTTCAATGTCTTCAAGATTATCTTGAACAATTAGAATCAGAAAGTTGTTTGAATCGAAAACAACAACTAGAACCATCATCAAAGCCATATAGTTTGTATGTCACTCCAACCGATTATATTGTTCAAGATTTACCAAAACAATCGGAAGCTTTATCATCAGTCCCAATGCGAAAGACTGAATATGATGAACAATCCAGCCTTCATTCATCAGGATACATACCAGCACCGTCATCACTGAATGATGATTCAATCACAAGCGATCAATTCGAATCGGTCGATGATTCATGCAAAGTTGAAAATTTTAGATTTGAAAAATTGAATAAAAGCGTAAGCTTTTCACCTAGAACGCCAGCTGATTCAATGATTATTAAAACAAGATCTTCATCATATAAGTCAGATATTCCATATTCAGAAAATGCTTCTGAGAGCATATCAAAGGAGTCGGTCAAGCAAGAAAAATCTGATTTAAAAGCCCATTCATCACCTCTAGCTCAACAACCGGAATCAGCTCGTGAGCTCACAAGTGAAAGTTTACGCAATGATGAACAACAGCATGAATTAAAATCAAGTGAAGATTCTTACAAATCTATTCAGTCATCTTTTATTCCTAATGTTTTACAGGAACAACGAAAATCGGAATCTGATAAGATACGATCGTCTTATGAGCAAAGTTTCAAAACACCTTCATCATATGTGGCGGATGATGATGAGAGTTCGATGTTACTTCAAGTCGATCCTACTCTTTCCCGTATGATATTAGATTATATGTCGGAAACACCGCCATCTCGATTAACAGAATCGGCAGATCAGCCATATCAATCGCCAAAATCTTTGGATAATGTGGAAAAATTTGATAGTAATGTGAAAAAAGGTCAGGAAAAAATTATAACATTGAAGAATCGTAAATCGCAACGACAAAAACAAGGTCAAAAGATGAATTTTATCAATGCCGTCACGGATAAAGATGATGAACAACTTGGAAATCTTCAATCATCATTGCCTACACCAAAATCTTCATTGAATCTATCAAGCAAAAGCATGTCTATGAAAAGTACTGTGTTGCCTAAACCGAAATCATTGTTAATCAAAGCTCAAACAACAATTAATGAAGATGAGTTTAGTGTCAACCACCGTTCGAGTCTTTTGGATCAGGATGAGCAAGAAATTGAATTTACCTCGAAAAAACCTGCCACATTAAAATTTACAGTAACTCCACCAATATCGAGACAGAAAGATAATGACCAATGGCGAACAGTAAAAAGTCCACCATCTAAAGCTATCAATATAGAACTAAAGCCGACAGCCACTGAAGTCACAGATCAATCAAAAGAATCTCTTTACACGAAAGAATTAATATTGGAATCAAATAAAAAACGAATTGCCAGTGGCAGTGTCAGTATGACACCTACAGCTTCATTCAAATCACAAATTGCATCAATTATTGATCCAACGATATTGAAACAATCACAGGATGACAAAACGATTGTTGCGGTTGAAGATATCAATCGATCAATCCAGGTGGAAATTGAACCACTCGAAACGAAAACGGTTATTCTAACATCGTCAGCTTTAGCATCGGGTAAAGAAGAAGTGATGGTTGAAGCTGAATTGCTTAGCCCAGTTTCTCATAAAGAAACCTCCTCCACTCAATATTATTTGATTCGAACGACCGAAAAAAATGTGATGCCAATCGAAATAATATCGTCAACCCCAAATGATAAGCAACAAGAAACAGAGGCCAAAACAATCCAATTATCTCCTTCATTGCCGAAAAGCAGCAGCAGTGGTAGATCAGTGGAACATAAATCTTTGTCAAAGTCATTAAACATGAAAATTGATTTGAGCCCGTCAATCATTATTGCCAGACCAAAGACCACGCAGTTTGAAACAAAATCTTTGGATGAATATAGGTCTAGCCCAATGCAACCCATCGTTGATTTGCATGATTCCACAAAATACGATATGATCGAAAAGTTGAATCAAATTTGTGAAGACGACAGTAGTAAATTGAATAAATTGCCATCACCAACTTCAAGCAAACGAAGATTGTATCGAAAAAAATTGGTATCTAATGTTACAACTGGACCAGCATCTAGAATTGTGACATCAGCTCGATTAGATCCTTTGCATCAATTATTATTGCAAGCCAAAATCAAACAAACGACAAAAGTTGATAAACAATCATCTGAACCGAAATCATTCATTATATCCACCAAACAGCAACAACTGCAACCGGATGAGCAGATCAATGATGATACTTTTAGACAAAAAATGGTCGATTTTTATATTAATGAAGAAGAATTTGCCAGTTCAAGCGAAGATTTAGCTAATTTGGAATTAGAGTTTGAAAAATTGCCGCCACCACCTTCTGTTGTTAATCCATTGATAATAGAAAGCGAAGTGGATCGAGAACGAAAGCAATGGCAAGAAGAATTAATAGTCAATAGTAAACGATTATTTGAACAAATCGAACAACTAAAGCAGAGACAGAAATTACATTTGGCCAATCTACATCATATGCGTCGTATTTTGGAATCAAGCAATGCTAGAAAATTGAAACAGCAGAAACCGAAAGAAAATGACAATGATTCGACAGTTACAGATAGACAACAACCAATCATGAACAATGGTAATTTCTTAACCATTGTCACAGCAGCTGGAGCAGTAACCATAGCAGCCATTGGTGCCACATTTTTAGCTATTAAATATATGTTCTGAGTTCTGATTATATAAAAATCTAATTTTGTTTTTAGTGACTTGGTGGTGAGAAAAAGAGATGAATAGTTGGGGGGAGTGTATCTATGTTAAAATTATTGAAAAGTGTAGCGTAGCTTGTTTTTTCTTGTCTAATATGCGGCCGATAAAAAAAATGAAAGAAAAATCAATCAACTGACCACATCTGACCAATTCAATTATTATAAATCATTAATCGATTTGGTTTGATAAATGTTTCTCGTTCATTTCAATTCAGACTGATATATTATATTGATCCCATCGAATTCTCGTTTTTTATTTGAACTAGAAAACCCGATACAATATGAAATACAAATGAATTTGTATTGTAAATGGGTGTATGTGTGTATGTGTGTAGATATTATAAAAAAAATGACAAAACATTGATGTTGATAATGGAGAAAGTATAATCTCCCATCGCCATTGTTGATGCGGAATAGGTTTGGTCGGGCTGATATGGTTAGCATTTTTTTTCATCATTTTGTATCAATCTACTTTAGGTGATTATATGGTACAATATGGTCATCATCATTGTATATTCTCTGTTATTCAAAATGAAAAACAACGCCTTTACGACTATTTATAAGGCTTTCTCTACACAATCTATTATAAAAAATAATTTGAAATGTTATTATTATTATGATGTTCGTATCGGGCGATCGAAATCGTGCCGGTACAATACCAAGTTTCTATCTATAGTCATAACTCGTGGTACATGCGTGTTTTCATTCCTTTTTTTCTTGATATTTCGTAGGCCATTTTCGTTTTATTCATTATATTCTTATTCGGTATAGATTTTTTTCATACTGGATATCGAATACAAATGTAAGAGAAAATAAAATCAATGAACCCGTATCATATAGAAAACAAAGGATGACAATATGGATTTTGAAAAAATAATGATAAATACTGTGAAATTAAGAATGAATAACATGAAGATAAGCAATACTGTGGGCAAGAAAACGGATGGATAGGATGACAACCATTCTTCTATTGATATAGAAATATTTGACATCACGAAAAGAGCAAGAAAAAGATGATGACGAATGATGATGATGATGACAAGATTCGGATATTTCGGTCAGATAATATGCGCGCGTGTGTATGTAATATTGTATGTGATTTGTTGTCAATCGTCAATCGTTGCCTGTCAAACGACATATCTATTACATTCTTTTTTTTTTGGCCATAAACGACATCCATATTCATCACATCTGATTTTCACTCTAACAGATAATGTTGTTGTCATGATGACAACAAAGACCAAGTGGTGTTTGCCGCGATAAATGTTCGACGATCACGACATTCATTCGTTCCACGAAGGATCGGAAACATATCCGGACGGAAAGAACTTTTGTCAACATTATTCTGAATCGGATCTGTTCAAGTGAATTTTAATTATGATCGCCATTCATAGAATTCATCATCGAATTGTTGGAATGTTTGAATTACATTTAATGCTGTTATTCTTGATTGATACCGGGCCTATTGATCGAACAATGGCATTGCACGGTCTGGATGATTCAACAATATCTTTATCATGGCCTTCACCATTTTTTTCAAAGACTGCGCCCAAATTATTGACTGATAACCGTCGTTACTTAAGATATCACAATCTTTATAGTGGTCGTGGTCATCATTATTTACATCGACAACAGATAATTGGTAGATCAGCATCATCCATCACGAATGATTCAACCGTTATAATAACATCGCCTCCAAGATCAAATCAAATGTTTGCTGATGCCAGTAATTCGAATATTATCAACAGGACGATTATAACTGATCATTTTTTGTCATTGGCAGACTCGTTCAATGTTCATCCGCAACAACATGTTGATTGTCCACCTACAGAACTTGTTCGTCCTTGCAAATGTATTGAACATCGTAATGATTTATTTTTTCGAACATTGTTACGATGTAATGGGTCAGATTTCAAATATGAACGTAGATTCGAAAATATATTACTACGTCTAAGTAAACGTTTAGGCAATCGTCATTCGAAATATTTTGATTGGCTACATCTGACAAATATGGATACGGTACGTAAGATAACCAAGCATTTTTTTGCCGGAATTCGTTTTCGACATCTGATCATTGAAGATGCTCCACATTTAAAACACCTTCATCCGGCTTCCTTTAAATTGGTCACCAATTCATTACGATTTTTTTATGCATACAATACCGGGCTTGAACCATATCGAACACAACCAATGAAAGCTCCACTTGGATTGATGCGAAATCTGACCGAAGTACATATTGCATCTCGTAAGAATATCTGTCCACCTAAAGGTGAGTAATCATACAAAGAGGAGATAACATTTAATAGCCATTGATTGTTACAATAGAAATTATTTTCCCATGTGAATGTAATGTACGAAAAGATCAATTAATGCCATTCGGGATTGATCGACAAATATTACAAATTCGTTGTATCAATCAACGTGGAATTGTTTACAATGTGACCAATATATTCAATCGTTTACAAAAGTTAGTTGCCATGAATGCTATGAATGAAAGTAGTTCATTAAGAAAACATCATCCGCAATGGTATTTCGATGAGGTCATCTTACGAAACGTGACTGAATTGGCACTTAATTCATTCGGTGATGTGGCCATATCTGAGTTGCATATTGAACATGCAACCCGACTTCGTTTTATTGCTCGTCATGCATTTCCCGAAAATTCTACAATGCAAAAGCTGCGAATATCTGGCGCTAATTTCTCAAATGAACGATTGCCCGAAACTTTCGAGGCCATTAATAGCCTTAAATATCTTCGAAGTCTTTTTGTTTGGTCTTGTACCGTCGAATATATTCCTGAAATGGCTTTCTCTCAAAATCAATTCTACTTGAAAGAGATCGTCCTTTATGGCAACAACATCAAAGCGATTGGGTCTTATGCATTCGCTAATTTGCCGAATTTGGAAGAATTACGAATCGATGGCAACAACATTATTTTGGTGGACAAATATGCATTCGCTACCAACTATACAAGCTTTCATCCATTACGTTTAACTATGGTGGCCAACAATTTGAATGAGAATAGTTTTGCATTTATGGCCATGAATGGAGCACAACGTCCCGTTCATTTATCATTCGCAGAAATCGGTGGTTGCTATTGGAATATGAAATATCTAGATGAACAAATATTTGCACCATTTTTGGATAAATCGACTAATCGTGTATACATTGAACCAGAATGTGAACTTCAATGCAATGATTGCCGTATGAAATGGTTGATCGAAATTCCGAAACATGCACAGAAAAGAATAACATTGTTGACCGACTCTAATTATCGTAGCATTTACAATGTAACCAATGAAGGTTATGTACCATGCGAGAATGGCGTCAATCTATATGATAATCTAAATCAATGGATCATTGAATGGAATAATTGTCCATAATAAGCATCAAATTGTTATGGCACACCAATGCAATTGATGTTGTTGATTATCATCATCTCAAATATTTTTCATAATGTTAACGATTTTGTCATAATGTTTAATGTTTAATTTTTATTGAATAAATTCAATTTTGCCCACATTTAAAATTATTGAATAGCAAGCAGTAAATTTCATGTGAAATAAAAAAAAATCAACCAACATGGACAAAGAAAAACGCGACCAGAAGTAAACAGTATCTACAAACAAAATTTATTTTTAGTAACAAATGTCAGGGTTTGAATAAAATTGAATTGAGCTATGAAAAATGTAATGAGAAAAAAAATCATAGGTCATGCAATGCTCCAGGATCAATAAATCTGGCAGATACGTAATCAAACATGGTATTGTATTTGTTCATGTTTATTCATTGAGTAAATATTGATTCAATCCATAATCGTCAGCAACCAATGATCAATGTTGATACACTGGAACAGTCCAAATTTGTGAAGATGGATCCATTAATGTTGCAACATGATTTTCATATTCTCAATATCCAGTTATCCTGGTATTGCAGTGTCATCTATAGGTGATACACGGTCATGAATGGGAAAAAAACTTGCAAAACTGGATTGGCTAGCTGTTTAATTATGATGACCGTCCAGTCAGATTAACCTTGGTCGATGTACAGACAAAACCGGAATCATTTTTCCATTAGCAACAGATCAATGTACGGATTTCAGGAAGCATCAACATTCTCATTAACTCAATGACCGAAGAAATGAATGCTTGGCATAGTGATTAAAGATTTCAATGTGAAAATTTACCATCAACAATTTTTCAGAAAATCAAACTTTAAATATCTTTTAATTTTTCTTATTTTAATGAATAAAAGAATCTTCAAGACAAGTGACATAACTCATTACCATTGCACTGTGCCGAGACGATGGATCGGACTAATAATACTGAATCATTGATCACGATGACAACAAATAATGGATCCAATGCTACTAATGCCATGAAGATGATGATAACGATCCAAGAATTGAATAATATTGGCTATTTGGATTTCATACAAGATTCCATAAATTATTTTCATAGAAATCTATATTCATTTCTATATAAAGAGTTCTTCACCGTTGTTGAAACGCGCGTACAACAACAAGAAAAACAAAAAAATTATTTCAGCCAAGAATTCCATATCGATTTAGCTGAAATGTTGCGACAAATAAATCGATTCGACGTTATTTTTGTCATCGGCTTGAGCATCGCATTGACAGTTGGACGTTATTTAATGACCAGATATGTATTCATGCCAGTCACCAGAATATATGGAATTGGATCAACGGATGCATCAAAAATACCGGAGAGTTCGTGGAAATTATTGTTTTATCTTTTCACTTGGATTACCAGTAGTTATTATATATTTGTTAAGAATGGTGGACAATTATTTTACAATCCGACCAATTTTTGGGATGGTATGTTGCATTTTTTTCATAACTATCTAAGCTGATTGATTAAATTCTTTACCGAAAAAGATTACTCAATCAACAATCCGGTCGATTCAATCACTTATACATTATATATGGTTGAATTCAGTTTTTATCTCCATTCACTTTACACGACATTGATGGTGGATGAACGACGAAAAGATACGAATACCTTGATGTTACATCATATAATCTGTGTTGCTCTAATATTCATCTCATATTGTAACAAGTAAGTCGTTTGCCATGTCATTCTTTTTTTTAGTGATTGCATTTATTCCTTTTTATAGAAGTCATAAAGCTGGCTTGGTCACTCTGTTTTTGCATGATGGTTGCGATATATTATTAGAGGCAACCAAATTAATCCGATATTTTAAAGTTCAACATGGCCGAACATATCAAACGGCTGAGATATTTGTCAACATTGGCTTTATTGCTTTTCTGATCACTTGGTAATCTTTGTTTTTATTGTGATGTCGTAATTCTTATTATTTAATGTCTACCAGGATTACTAACCGATTGTATTGGTTTCCAATTAAAGTCATTTATATGGCTTCCATTCAATTGGAAAGACTACGGATACGTGTACCGTTCATGACATTATTGGTCATCATGCTTTGGATCATATTATTTATGAATTTCTATTGGTTTTCGGTCGGTACATTTCTATGTTCATTGAAAGTTGATTAATTTTTTTTTATATACACACAGTTTGCCATCCGTCTTCTTTACAAAGTTGCTACGGGACAAATTGACGAACTGGAAGATAGCCGAGAATTTCATCCTCATCATAATCATCAGCAAAAGAAATCTAACGAAAAAGACAAAAAAGAGGAATGCAGAAAATTGAATTTTGATAGTGGTGTTTCTTTTCAAAATGATTTTTGCGATTCTTTGACGCCTGAGAAAGCAATCAATGAGAATGTACGAATAAATCAAAAAAAACCTGACCGACAGCATAATGATTCGAATGAATCTCACATCAGCAACAATATACAGCCAAGCTACAATTTACGGCAACGAAATCGTCAACGATAAAAAACGATCTACTATTAATTACAATTTTATTTGCTAGTAAATCGAAATTATCAGTGCAATAGAACTGATTTTTGTTCTTAGAAACCATCTTGAACAAGATTAATTTAGTTTTACAATGAAGATCTGTCTGTCTCTGTTTTTATTTGTATGTTTTGTAAATGATATTCATGTGTCATGTAAAAAAATTCACTAATTGCCATGATTCTTCGAATTGTCAGGAACATATAAGAATCATATGAACAACAATTACGCAACGGAATTAACTAACTTGGTTTCAACATTTGAGCATAGCAACACATTTATCAAGAATGTCTTTCTTAATTTTTGGATAGTCCGGATAACGGGACAGTATTTTTTGACAGATATCGATTGCTTCAGGCCAACGTTTTGCTTTCATATAATTGAATGCCAATTTATAGCCAATGGTCGGATTATTCTGGTTACAAAAATGCCATGCTTGTTCATAGTTATAAGCAGCGTCTCGATAGCATTGTTCTTTTTCCATTATGTAACCACTATATTCGTATGCTTTCGAACACGACTATAAAAACAAAAACGTAATTATATTTTAAAGTAAATTCTCAAAAAACAACTTACTCGATTATAGCGAAGAATTCGTTTCAAGAGTTCGTTGGCATTATCGAACTTGTTTGATTGTATGTGAATATCGGCTAGTAATAGCCAAGCTTTTTCCAGGTAATCACCTTCTGAATATTTCCAATTATTTTTAGCAATTCGTTTCAATTGGTTTCGAGCTTTTGGAGTTTGCTTAAGTGCCATATAGGCCATTGCCATGCTATAGATAAGGGCCGAATGTTCACACTTGACAATATAAAAAATATGAATACTTATAAGATTTTGCCATAAGAGCTTTTTGCATCTAACATACGTAACGTTCGTTGCTCAAATATTTCATTAAATCTGAAAGGACAAATTCAGCGTCGTTTTTCTGCTTTTTTGCTAACAATACCAAATTGTTTAGCAAATGTACGTGAAAGTCTTCCGGATTCTGTAATCTCAATACCTGACGAATAACAAACAATTGAAAAGAGAATAATCGATCAGTATGATATAAAGACATACCTCGACTAAGGTTTCTGCCGTTTTCAATGTCGAGTTCGATGATATTGAATTTGACCTGAACATATTAATAAGCTTAGCTAGTAATTTTGAGAGAAGTAAAATCAAACCTTTGAACATCTTGGTTAGAATCTACAGTAGAATAAGTATTATTGTTTGTCGTGATTGAATCAGGATGGATGCAAATTTCGATTATTAAAATGGTTGCTTCTTTTCCAAAGCGGGCATCATTACGAATCGTGTACAAATATTTGATTGCTTCATTACCGTCGCCTATAGTGGGAAAAGGATATTATGAGTGTAATCATAAGCAGCTCTCACCTGTATACCTGTATACCAGTGATATAGAGCTTTACAGAGATAGAATCCAGCTTCAAGTGAACCAGATTTTGCCATCGTAGATTCATCGTTGATACGTTCTTCAATGCCTGTGCATTTTTTACCCGCTTCATCTAATAGACTGACTATTGTTTGCAATTGACCACATCGTCGAGCAGCATCGATGAAACGCATCAACGCAATAAAATTAGCTTTAAAATCGAAACAAACCGTGAATGAAATGACTAAATTTTGTAAAAATTAAAGCTTACTTTTGTTCTTGTTCAACAATTCTCGATAGAGACTAAGAGCGCCTTCAAAATCTGCTTGACGAAATGTAATATCGGCCATCAACTGGGTGTTGAACATGTTTAGATAGAAAATTGAATAAATCAAATAAAAAAAGGCAAAACAATAATCTACCCACCAATAATGCTTCATCCATGTTGGCATTATTTTTCAATACATTCGTACAATAGGTGTGAGCTTGATCAAAATGATCGTTTCTCATTTCAATTTTAGCCATTTTCAAATATATTTCATCATTGTGACTATCAAATGATAATGACTCTTTGTATATCTGTAATGCCGATTGTTGATTATTATCATGATCGACTGACAACAACAGATCGGCCAAATGGTCACATAAACTAATTGAATTAATTGACAATAATTTTAATGGTATTAAAAAAGTGATCAATGAAGCATTGCATACTTGATTGAAAATTTTCGATGTTCTTCCAGTCGATCAGGATGTTCGACGGACAAACGACGCATCAGTCTGTGTATGAGATCGACAAACATCAAATACGGTCAGAAAACAATGGCATAATTAATTACTTTTGATTTTCATCATGAGCATTGCGTAATATTTGAATGGATTTTTCTCTATCACCTGATTGTCGATGAATTTGAGCTAATAGATTGAATATTCTTATTTTGATTATATGAGTATCGAGATCAATTTCATCTTAAAAAAAAATTTCATATTATTATTTTAACAGAAATTCATGATAAATTAAAATGACTGACTTTTGTTTGTATCCAATAATTTAATAGTTTGGGCAATAATATCCTTACATTGGTCATCACGGCCAAGACGATGAAGCAATTCGGCTAGATCGTAACAATAAGAAGGCATCTGGCCACTGGATTTGATGGCTGCTTTATAATAGGTAACAGCTCGTTCAAAGAAATGAGCCTTGATCAATGCCTGACCAACTTTACGTACAAGTGTCGAATCTTTTGGATTTTTCTTTACCGCTTGTTCATAGATTTCGATGGCTTTTTCAGGCTGTTACGGTGATCTCGATTAATATAACAAGTGTATAATTATGTTCTACACTCACCTGTAGGATATGCATATATGCATCGCCAAGCATCAACTGTGACTGTTGTGACGGAAAATTCTCCGCTATTTCGCTAGAAAAAAAATAAAGTGTGTGAATAAGCCTTGAGTGGATAGAATTAAGAATTACTGATAACATTCGGTAAAACGTTTCCGATCTTTATATTTGCTAAGATAGATGGCTGCCATCATTTTTTTGGATCTAATATAATGGTCTGCACCCATTGTTGCTGTTACATTACGCAATGTTTGCAACGTCGCTTCATAATCACCAGAATAGCAATCAATTCGTGCCTGTGATAGATAAATTCGTGCTCGCTGTTCCTGTTTTCCATCATAATCCGATGAAAATTGTTCACTTAATTTTTCTATAATTTTTCTTGCTTCAATCTAGAATGAAAAATTTTTTTAGAATGAATGATTAAGTAGATTAATGTATTGATAAATACAGTATTATTGTTTAATAAATGAATGTCGACCATTTCAAACATAAGGAATAGCTCAACATTCGTTGATTCCAAACGATCACATAACGTTGACTTGTGTGATGATTGCAATGCATCCTTCATTAATTGCAATGCTTCATTATATTTTCTTTCAAATTTCAATATCGATGATTTAGCCAATATGTAGGAAATTTCGTTACGTATCTGTATTTATAAATGAATAACATTAAAATTAAATTAAGCCACCTTTAGAAAAAAAAACAAACCTTAAAATCAAGAACGAGTGCATTTTCTAAACATTGATTAGCTGTCTTGAAGTTACGATCATATATTGATATCTTTGCCATTAATATGAATAAATCAATAAATTTGCCATCATATTGTAGACAACGATTCACTAGATTAGCTGCTGATCGTATCTCTCCAGACAAATATTTGATCATAGCCATTCGATATAGAATTTGTTTATGATTTGGCATAACTGCAGCCAATACATTTATGAATTGTTGTGCATAATGCAAGAACATAGGCACTTGCTGCCCCCTTACTAATGGTTCCGGTGCACATAGAGACAGACAGATTTGCACGATATCCATAACTTGATGGATTTGTAGATTAGAATAGAAATGTACTGAAAGTGGTTTCGCCTGATTTGTTGATCATTAAATGGAATCAGTTTTGGAAATAGATGCAACATTTTTTTTACCTTGAGTTGGTTGTAATGATTTAACAATTGCGTAAGATAGTTTTCGATCAATTTGCTATGATTCTTTTGTTTTCGACCCACGTGAGATTTTAGGCAAAGATAAAGCAAATCTTGCTGTTGTGGGAGAAGATCAATCGAATTCAAAGATTTGGTTTCATTTTTCGATCCTACATTGACCGTTGTCAATCCAGTTGTAGTTCTATTGAATTCTTCCAATTGATCAATCTCTTCGTATACTTTTGTCAAATTAAGCTTGTTATCTTCTCCAACATCTCCAGTCATTGAATCATGATCATGCTGCATCAATTTTGTCATCAATAAGCCCGATATCGGCTTCGAATCGGCAGGATTCAGTTTCATTGCATTTTTATAATGTCGTTCGGATTCTTGAAAACGCTCTGTTTATATACAAAACAAAATGATTATCCATTGAACATTGGGAAGTAAACTACTACTAACTTAATAAAGCCCATTGGAAAGCATTTTCACAAATATAATCAATATTTGTTGGATCCAAGAAAATTGCCCTTTCAATCAAAGACGATGAATGCATCAGAATGTTTTGGTTATTAAGTGCCTACCAAATAGATCAAAATAGTCATAGAAATTGAGAATCTACATGTAGATTTCTATATGCATATTGGGTTAAATTTACCAGACGAGCTATTAGTCGAGAACTCTCAAAGTAAATGTAGGCATTTTTCGGTTCACGTAATTCTAACGATGATATAAGATCTCGAATTTTGGACAAAGCCTAATTATATTAATTAATAAAACTAGACAATTAATAATGATATATTTCTTAAACTTACTGATTCTTCATTGAAATCCCAAGCAAGATAATATATGATGGAATATCGATGGGGTTCAATACAGTGTTTATCCAAAACTAATGATCGAAATGCCGAATCCATCATTAATTCAAATTCTTTCAACATTGCATGGACTTTTATCTTTTCAATTAAAGCGGGTAAAAATCTTGGATACATAGCAATTGCGTGATTGAGTTTTTCAATGGATCCTGAATAGTTATGTAATTTTTCCTCCACTTTGGATAAAATGATAAGCACATCTGGTTCATTTCTAATATAAAGTAAAAGTCAGTCCATACTGTGAGATTATCAATGGAAAATCAAATACGTACACATTGGCAAATAAATGCAAATAGCTTTTCAGTGATTTTTCATCCATAGAATCGTCGTTACAATGATTTACAATTAACCAGCCATAAAGAACTTTACCCTAAAACAAAAATATATGCAAATAAATGATTCTCGAAATCATATTCAAGTCACTTACATCTAGAAATGTACGATAATTTTGATTCAATTGTTCAATGTATTGACTAGCTTGTAAAAAGTTTTTTGATAGTAACAAGAATAAGCTCGCATAATATAATGTCTATTTATTTATTAAGTAAAAAATTTCACTTAATCTTTCAATCAGTTTAACAAAAACACACACACACCGTTTCGTTTGATTGTTCTTTCAATTGTTTCAGTCGTTTTTCCAATGAATCGATTGCATCCTTATCTATTAATCGTTATTTTGTGGTTATTATAAGCATAATACAATAAAAATATTACAAACCAATAATTTGACATTTGGAATGTGAATAAATGAGAGCCAATGTGGCTGCCATTGTCAAATCACGATCATTAACACAATTCTCAAATTCTCGTATCGCTTCCTGTATACGATTTTCAAATGCCAATGCACATCCGGAATAGAAACGATATGCTTGATCTCCTGGATACATTCTTTGGCCTTCAGATGCTAATGATGCCATCGTATGATACAAACCATTGAGACAATAATAATGTAAGGAGGACTTTTTTTGGAAAAATTTAAAAAATGTCGCTATCATTGAACATCTTGAACTTACCTTAACAATCTTGTCATTATTCGTATTTTCCATGTTGATAATATTAGTGAGAAATTCTTTCTAATAAATGGATTATGCATTTCAATTACAGAAAAAAAAACAAAAACAATATTACCATGGTAACCGTGTGACAACAATTTCAGAAAAAAACAAAAGAAAAATTTGTCGCTTCAATAATGATAATAATAATAAATTTATTTATTTCACATTGTTTTTTCAAAGTTACATATTAAAATCAATAAAAAGTCAAAATTCAATTGTTTGTTTTAAATATCATTATCATCGAGAATCATTTGAGCTCCGCGCTCAGCTATCATGGCAGTAGCGATCCAGGAATTGGCATTTATGATTTGCGGCATGATCGATGCATCAACGATGCGTAACTTACTAACGTTTAGAACATTTAGTCTTTCATCAACCACAGCATTTGGATCGGAACCGGAACCACATCGGCATGTACCAGCTATATGAACAAAATGAAAAATAAATACAATGGCCAAATTAATTTTGATAATTATGAACTAACCATGTCTAAACACTGCCACAGACGTTTTCCGGACAAAGCATTCAATATATCGTTCACATAATGCACCATTCAAAGGGCAAAGGTTTTCACATCCCGGAACCGGATTACCAATAAATTTTGCTAAATGGGCAAATGGTCCTTGATTTGTGATCCTAGTCAATACTTGTTTTATCCCATTGATCATGGCAGCCATATCTCTAGGGTCGCCCAAGTAATTGGGATCAATTAACGGATTGTCAAAAGGATCAGTTGAATTTAACCGCAGTGTTCCACGTGCACGCGGTCTAACCAATTGTACATCTAATGATAAAAGTCTACGCCCCACATATGGTCCCCAATACTCAGTCCAGGCTTGTTGATGTTCCGGTGGATATTGTGATAAAATAGTTGTCAGATTATCCCAACGATTATTGCTTCTAACCATTTCGGTCATAATATCTGGCCATTCTGTATCGTTATTCTGATCGCTGACTAAATAAGTAGCAGCGTTTGGAAACATTGTCAATGGTCCACGACTATTGACATAATAGTTATACAAATTCTGCACAGTCAATGAGACTGGTTCATATGATTGTCGTTGATCAGGAACGTCAAAATATAAAATGGTATTGCTGTGATCATGGAGATTTTTTCCCACCGGAAGATCCGTTACAACTCTTAAACCCAACTGTTGCAAATGCTCTCTAGGTCCTATTCCGCTTAACATTAGTAATTGAGCAGACGCAATCGTACCAGCAGACACCACAATTTCCTTGTTGGCCATGACTGTATAATTACGTCCGGCACGTTGGAAACGCACGGCTGTAGCTGTTGTCCCATCAAACAAAATTCGAGTTACATGTGCTTTGGTTACGATATGCAAATTGCTTCGATTACGATTAGAATTTAGGTATGCGGCCGAACTTGTTACTTTAATGCCTTGATTGATTGTGTGTTCAAACAATGTGACACCATTTTGAGTAAGACCATTGTTGACATCGATTAACGGATAGCCGGCCTGTTGAGCGGTTTTTATGTAAGCTATATGAGAAGGTAAATTATTAGATTCTGCCCAATCCGATGAAACGGAAATTGGCCCAAAAAAATTGTGGTTGAGTCGATAATTTCGGTCAGTTTGGTTTTCCATACGTAAAAAATAAGGCAAAATGTTTTTATAGTTCCATCCTCTACATCCAAAACGATAATCCCATTCATCGAAATGACGTGGATTTCCACGATTGTAAACCATTCCACTAATTGTCGTAGAACCGCCAAGCACTTTACCTAAACCGGAAGTAAGTTAGGTTAGGTTAGGTTGGTTAGGTTAGGTTGGGTTGGTTAGGTTTACCTACGGACATATGGGCTGGCATTTGATATGCCTGGCCTAAATTCGGTTGATACAGCATCGGATAATTCCAATCAATATCCGGATTTCCTACCCATTCATAATACAGGGCTGGGATATCAGAAGCAGCGGTTTCCGATCCTCCAGCTTCTAATAATAAAACATTTCCGGATAAATTTTCAGATAAACGTCTGGCTACTATGGCTCCAGCACCTCCCCCACCAATAATAATAAAATCATATTCAGAATTCCATGTAGATCGGGATGCAATTTCATAATGCAATAGCTGTCGTTGTAATGATAGAATCGAAACGGTCAGTAATTGTGTTGTTAGGCTAGCCATTACCATTACAAAAAAAGTCAACGAAGACTATATCAATATTAACATGGATTTTATCTCTTTTATATAATGCTGAAAAAACGACTGATACCAGCATCAAAAACACTTAATGGTAGACAAATTACCTTTAATTAACATTGTCATTTTCATGGTTTTTTGTTATGTCAATCATTATTATTACCATTCCAAATAATCTGCATCATCAAGTATTCGGGCAGTATTTACAAATATGCAAAAAAAAACTGAAACGAAAAATTATACAGGCTTCAAATTCGATCGAAACCCGAAAACACACACACACATACATTGATCAAATACAATTTACAACCAGAGAAAAAAAATAAAAGCGAAAAAAAATAAAATAGAAAAATGTCATAGATAGAGAGAGGTATGTTGTGTCAATTATGAGGGATGAATGTACCGTGATTTAATTTTTTTTTCACTTCTTCATGTAATTAGGGAATTGCATTGTGTAAATTTTTTTTTATACAAGTGATAATGATGATGATGATAATGAAGATGATGATGACCAGACTAAAATTGAGGTGATGGCAATGAAATGAAGATCATATCGTAATAATATAATTATATAATCTATAATAAGATCTGGTCCGTATCTGATCGGTCCATGTTGAATTAATAAAAAAGTTCTGTATATGTTGATGATTTGGCACTGCATCCACATTTTCTTATGATTTCAATTTGTTTCGTATATTTGGAACCATCATTACAAGCTAATTTGATACTACGTTTTTTAGTTTTTTGTGCCCGACATTGTGCTTCACCACAAGAACCAACACAGATGGCCATTTTTAATTTCTTAGTCGAACGACATGAATTTTCGTAATAGAAATCTCTTTTGATTTCCTTCTGACATGTTGGTGCTAAAAATGAAAACGATGATTAGTTAAATCATTTACTACAATGATATTAACAAATACCTTGATCGCAGAATGGTCCGCTATAACCTAATTTACATCTACAATGATAACTTTGTCCATCATCAGATGGAACACATTTACCATGTTGACAAAGATTAGCATGACAAGCATCCACTGGTTTGGGCTGTTCGTAATCCTCACAAGAACCATCGCCACCAATGATAATATCCTGTTTCTGCCGTGCTTGATTCAAATCGGGTGGATTCGAATTAATATACAATTCTTTCATGCAGCCTATGAAAACAAATGAATTATGTTAGAATGTATAAATATTAAATTAAACAACGAACCTTCAAAGCTAGTATCATTCCAAATATGCCATTTCTCTCGAACTTTGTTTCCAACAGTTTTAGGCATGCCTCCAATGTAGAATGGTTGATTCTCCACGTCCAGATATTCATTTTTACCTTCATTGATAATTGTACGCGTTGAACCATCATCGACAATCATTGTAAAGTTCTTCTTGATCAATTCGAAATTCACTTGATGAAAGCGACCATCGTTAACTTTTTCATATGAGAACATTGTTGACACAGGATAATTGCCTACATTCAAGCTGATACGGATACGACCTCTGAATAATTCTGCAGATAAATGATGACCTTGTTCACTTCCTAGATAGAATAAAATTCCGTTCTCTTTTTTGGTGATAAATTTAAACTTGATCGATAGTGTTGGTTTAGATTGCAAATTCATGTCTTGCACTAATTCAATGTAGGATCCAGATCGAAAAGAAACGGAAGAAATAACGTCACATCGTTTACCCGTATATCCAGGCGAACATTTGCATTGATAATCTGAAGATCCGGGTGGTAAAAAACATACGCCATGTTTACAATCATGGTGCTGGCATGGACTTGTTTGCTGATACAGCAGGTCTACGTTAGGTGCATATTCGCAAAATTGTCCCGAATAACCAACTGGACATTGGCATTCATAGCCAGAAATTTTGTCTAGACAGGTGGCACCGTTTTGACATTCATTAACAAGACAATCGTCTTGATTATCCGTACAATTCTGACCTGTCCATCCAGGTGCACATTCACAGTTATAATAATCATTAACTTCATCTCTTATACATTTGGCTTTGTTTTGGCATGGATTCCATTCTCTGGTCATACAGTATTCAATTTTCTTCTCGCAAAAGAATCCTGAATAACCGGACAAGCATTCACAACGGTATGAGCCAATATCATCGATACAAGTTGAATTGTTTTGGCATTTGTTATCTTCAGCACATTCGTCTACATCGATTTCACATCGATGGCCTTTATAACCTGTTGGACAGTGACAGCTGAAACGACCAGTCTCAAGAACCTTACAAGTACCACCATTATCGCATGGATTTCCAAAACATGCGTCGATCTTGTATTCACAATTCGTTCCATGGAATCCTGGTGCACACATACATTCGTAAGTGTGCATTGGTTGTGAAATACATGTGGCACCATTTTTACAAGGAAAAGTATAACAGGCATCACATTTCGCTAGTATGTGAGGTTCGGTTTTGCTCGCACAAATGAAATGATTAGGCAGTGCTGACATTAAAAGTTTGCCACGCATTGGACTTGGTTCGATACAACGTGCTATACCGTCTTTAAAAAAAATTCGTTATGATGATATCCGTGATAAGAATATTATCTACTTACTCTCTGTATTAGTTTTTTGTATCCATTCAGCAAGCCATCGCATATTGCAATCGCAATAAAATGGATTTTCACCAATGGCTAAATGTGTTATGACATTCAAGCTATCGAATGAACCGGTTGGAATCAATGAAATGTCGTTGCCATGAAGCGTTAGTTTACGAAGCGACATTAAACCTTTGAATGCATCCGGTTGAATGCATTGGAGCTTATTGTAACTGATGATCAACGTATGCAGTTTTGTCATATTTTCAAATATCTTTGTGGGTAGAATATTAACTTGATTGTTGCTTAAATCCAAAAGGTTGAGTTCGGATAAACGATTTAGATCCGTTGGAATTAGAGAAATCTCGTTCATATCAAGATAAAGTTCGGTTGTTGTGGTTGGTATATATTTCGGCACACGTTTCAATTTTTGTCGTGAACATCGAACAACTGTTCCTGAACATGTGCAACGTGAAGGGCATAGACCGTCAGGCCCACATTCAGCTTCTTCTTCGTCCTCATCACATCGAAAATCTCCTGGTTCAACATCTTCTATCGGTACATTAGCAACGTTTGCTGGCGAATAACATCGGATATTGCCTATGATTATTACAATGAATAAAAATCAAATTACTAAAAACATTTGAAATAAATTTACCAATCAGAATTTTATTATTATTGCTTTTCTTTCGTATCCAAGACGACATCCAACGTAAATGACAATTACAATTAAATGGATTATTCTGTAAATTTACTTGTAATAATGATCGTAGTTTGTCGAATGCACCAGATGTAATACAACGTATTTTGTTATCATTCAATGAGCTGTTATACATACGGACAGATAGACATCCGATGTTAAATGAACGAACAAAAAAGAATCGATATAATTGGTAATCGATATTGAAGAGTGAAAACATTCACTTACAGATAACGTAGATTTTCAAGATCGGCAAACGTATCGTTAGTGATGCAGGTAATTTGGTTGTCATGTAGGACTCTGTTGTAAGAGTAGAAAATGTGAAAGAAACCAACAAAGAATTTTCGTACTTACAATGTAGTCAGATTACGGAGATTAGCAAACATTTTTGGGCTGATTTGTCGTAATTGATTATTGCTCAATAGCAAATCTTGTAACATATCGGCACCATGTAATGAACCATCTTGAATCTCATTTAATTTGTTGTTTCGAAGATCACTACGAAGGGGAGGAATATGTAATGAATTCGATTCTAGTGAGTCGTTGTCCGGTCGGAAATTCAAATAGACTTACAGTTTTAAAAGATTGGGTAATCGTTTAAAGTAATTACTATTGGTCAAACGACGAATGCGGTTATCAGTAAGACGTCTAAGATTTTTATAGAAAAAATAAATTATTTCAATTTATTATTTCAAATTATTCAAATTCTCTGAGGACTTACAATTCGGTAGCAAATGTGGGTACATCTTCCGGTAGATGATGTAGATCCAGTCGTGAACAATCGACAATTGTACCTTCGCAAACACAATTTTTCGGACATTTATTATCCATACATTGTGCTGAATATTTTGTTCGCAATTCTTCAGTTCCTTTGCAACGAAATCTTTCTGGATTCAATTGTGTTAATCGTTTTCGGCTATTACGTTTAGGTTCTTCACAACGTGCATCCGATGTTTCCAGGTTGGGGCGTTCGCGTAGATAATTGGATAGCCATCGAAGATTACAATCGCATATGAAAGGATTTCTTCCTAAATGTCTATCAATCATAATGAATGGAGTGGTTATCATCTCTTAATGGTCTTAGTGATCAATCATAATACTTACAATGTTTGTATATTAATTAATGGATCGAAAATTCCTTCGGCCAATGATTGAATATTGTTATCGTACAATGATCTGCATGATACCGGAAAACAGAAAACATACATCAAAAAAAAAACAATGAAATACAATCGCTAGGATTAATTGACACAAACATTTGCAATTCAACTAATCAACTAACTTTCTTTTTCTATCTCATACACATTCGGATAGCTGTTATGTAATGTATGCTGGATTATCATTTTATTCAGCCATTCAGATAACAAGAAAAAAGTTTGTATTCAATATGATGAAAAATTGATAATAAACCAGATAAATGTAACATATGTACGATATTCATCATCTTAATGGACTATTCGAACTTACAAGATATATGATAAAACAATAAAGCTTATGGATTAAAAATACAGAAAAAACTCAAAAGGCTGATTATTAATTAATTGAATAACTAACAATAAGAGTAAAATATTTTTTTTCAACAACCAAGAATTGGTTATTATTTGATCAAATTCGATATATAACATACTGGTTTGTTCAAAAGTATTGAAATATGAAAATGAAAAGAAGGTAAACTCATAAATCATTCGATAAGCGATTGAATTGTATGTGAAATAGTTATGGCCAGTCTCATTATATTTGAAAAGAAATTTTCCTCATAATTTTATTTCTATTGGTCAGAGAGTATAGGATTAATCAATTTGGTTCAAACAATCGATTGGGGCCATTGATCATGACAATCCATAACGATAAACATTTGCTAAACACCATTAACTATTAGTCTTTGGTCTGTTTGGGCTATTTTCAATTTCTGATAGTGGTGTTCAGTGTGTCCAGACAATTTTGGAATAAAGTTTATGTATAGATAGGCAAATATATTCAAGTATGAAAAACACGGTAAAGTACGCCATGGCGTACAGAAACAAAAAAATAAACATGAATGATCAGTCGGTTAAAGCTCTTTTGCAGGGAGATACATCTATAATTTGCATGCAATTCCATGCCCGAATGTACTTTTTATGCTTTATTTGGCCATATATACCGGATGCAAATGGTATACCTGTGTACTGTAATGTGCTATCATTATTGAAGCTAGAAAATATAATCGTTTTTTTCTATTTTTATTATTATTCATACATTATCACTCGATCAAACAAGAATCCTGAATTCCAGAATCTTCATTATATATTGTTTCTGTGTGAGTAAGAGAATACTATAAAAAAAATGAGCCATACATATGGATAGTAACAAGAGAAACAGGTTATTTATCTAAAGATGAAGCCGCATCAATAATAATGTGGTCACCAACAAACAAACAAGCAAGCAAGCAATTTGTATGAATTGTATTGTAAATTATGTTGTGAATGCATATCAGTATAATGTGTTCGCGAACCAATCCTCCGTATTTGTGTGGTGTGAAATTAATTTATTCACCATGCATAGTTTTCATTGCAATAACTGTACATTTGTTTCCAAAAGATTTCGTAATTTTATTTCATTCTTCCGGTCGAATAAACAAAACAAAAATAAACTAGAAAAAGAATCATATGCCATTTGTTTTGTGGGTTTTTTTTTCTCTCAAATCTCACCACCTTACACATCACTATCATATTTATAGCGAATAATAGCCTCAACGGATATTTGGTTAGCAGGCCGAATAAGAATCCATATAACTTATGAGCTTGAGCAATCAAATACTAAAATCATGTGAGTATAACGGTTTTATTCTCAGATATTTTATAGAAGCAGATACCTTAAAAAAGTTTATTTTCGTCCAACTTCATTGCTGTGTTGAATTGCATTATGTGGAAAAATAATTTACGACCCTCATAGTTTTGTACGATTCTAGGATTTTTCAAAAAAAAATAACAGTAAACAAATCTATTGAAGATATTTCAATGTTTATGTGGTATACAAATCAAAGAATCAATTCGTGTGAATCACCATCAGCATCGGTAGATTTGTGTTTGACAGATTTACAGTAAATGAAATACTGCAACTAAATATGCATGTTTGAAGCAAACAAAAATCTGAAGAATTTTCATCAACAAATGTACCAATCGAAATTAGCTATAGTAATCGGATTTTCAATGTTTTGACAATCATGTCTAATGTATGGAAAAAAAATTTTGATCAAAGCTTGATCAAAGTTCTTTTCAAAAAATCATCTTAAAGAAATAAGAATCCTTAAGTAAACTTAGATGTGTAGTATGATTTTACATTTTGTAAAAAAATTCAATTTACAAATATTTTCATTGGATTAAAGTACCTGAAGCAATGTTATTGAGTATGAAAAATAAAGAAATGTGTGTTGAAAGAAGACAAAAAAAAACTTACAAAAGATTCAAATGTTTGAGGTCAGCAAAAATTCCACGACGTAAACATTTGATCCTGTTCTTGTTGAGCAAACTGGTTGAAAATCAAATTGGCGTGAACATCGACATATTTTTGTTCCGTTTCGTTCAATTTTTCGATTTTGTTTTATTTACATTTAAAACGATTATCATCCAAAGGTCCGTTCAAAGCCCATCCAAAAGCATTCATCATCGAATCAAATCAAAAATAGCCGTCGGTTCATTCAACCACGAATAGAATCAGAACCGTATGGTCGTTTGTTTGAAGAATTGCATTTATTTATTTATTTGTTCGTTCATTCGTTTGTTCAAGTATTCAGGAATTGGTTTTGACATCGGCAATGATCATATCATTTATTTGAAATAACAGAAAAGCAAAACAAAGAGAAAGAGGGTTTTTTGTGTTAAAATGAAAATTCCGGAATTAATCCGCTATAATAGGAATGAAAAAAGAAAAGTTGCTGAATGACACTTACAGTAGCTGTATGTTGGCTAGACCTTTAAATAGGGCTTCCGGTAGATCAGTGATTTCATTTCCAAATAAAAATCTACAAATGAAATGAGAATAAAATAAATGGCAATGACAAACAAAAAGAATACCTACAGTGCATTCAATGATTTCAGTCCATGGAAAGCATCTTCGGCAATTCTTGAAATGTTATTCTTGCTTAAATCGCTGTCAATATTGAAAATAATTACAACAACTCAGACATTAGTTTTTATTTAAAGAATCAAGGAATAAATTGTCATTTATAATAATTACACAAGACATCATTTAAATGAGGGGTTTAATTATTATAAAAAAAATAACAGAAAAGTGAGAAAATTCGCTAACCAGATTGTCAAAGAACTGCTCACCAACTCTTTCACTTATTCTCGATCATATCGAGCAGTTGATTCTACGTTTTTAGAAAAATTAATTTAACTTTTTTTTTCAAAGCAGGCTACAACGATAAAAATTTGCAAAATCAAAAGAAGTTTTTTTTGCCATATCGAACACAACGCGAACAATAGCCTATTATCTAGACTTCATTTGTTTTTTTCATTCATTATTTTTGTTTAGAACTTTGAAAGCGATTGAGTGAATCATGCCAGAGTGGCAAGGATGAAAAAAAATAAAATCATAATAGACAGAACAAGAAAGGACAACTGATTGAAGGATGGAGAATCTGGGTATTAAAATTAGCAAATGAAAAAAAAATGGAAACTTTCATTCTTTTTTTATGGTTGGTGCAACTTACATTCGGCCCAACTGACGATACGATGAGAATGCACGCGAAGGCACTTCAGTAATCGAATTCTGTTCCAATCGACTGCATTTGTATTTGCATCATAATCATTTGAAATGATTATTATCGAAATGTATTTTTTTATTGTAAATATTCATTAAATTAAATTTCAATATAGATAAATGGTCACTCACATTTCGATGGCATTGTCTGGTATAAAATTCGGTATACGGGTTAAATTTCGATTGCGGCAATCGATGACGCCATCCTGACAGGAACATTGATATGGACATTGTGGCTCTATTCGACAAGATCTCATTATAGCCATGCCAGCATCATCATTCTGAAGGAATTCGTCATAATATGGTTGATCGCCTATTGATTGAGTAAATGTAAATGTGAAAACAATGCTTTACAAAACCTTTCGTATATATAAAAAAAAATATTCTTACAATGAAAATCTTTTGCCGATAATGACGAGATTTTCATTCCAAACAAATGAAATGGAGCCACACATTTGGCACTATCAATATCGAATCGTTGCTGTGATGATTGTTTATGTTGCATGATAAACAATTTTCGAAACCATTGAACTAGCCAGGCCATTGAACAATCACAACGGAATGGATTGTCGGCAATATGTCTATAACAATTAGATCCAAAATGAATCATTATATAAAGAAAGAAAAAGGTGAATAAGAAAAAATATACTTACAAAGTTTTTAGTTTCGTAGCCAATCCATCAAACACCGAATAGGCCAATGTTGTAAGATTATTTTTGTTCAATGTTCTACAAATGATTACAATGTATATAACAAATAATAATGGTGAATGGGGATTCGTTTATCATTACTTACAGGAATTCTAATTCTTTCACTTTACTAAAGGTTCCATCTTCGATACAGGACAATCGATTATTGTCCAAATGTCTGTCCAAATATATTTAATGACGTAATTGAATCAATCAATCGAAATCAAAATGTCTATTCGAAAACAACTTACAAGCTTTTCAACGATTTAAGACCATAAAAGACATTGGATGTCAAGCCCATGAGCCTGTTATGACTAAGATCGCTATTTTTGGAGAAAGAAAGAAAAAAAAATCAAAATTTATTACAATCCAAATTAATTTATTGAACCCATTTGATTTTGTCCACTTTCGGTCATTGTCTCTTTTATGCTGTAAAATCGAGTTTTTCATAATAAAAAAAAGTATGAAAAAAAACTAAATCGACAGTCCAGAATCAAATTGACACTGGACCCATCTTTCTTCTATTTTCGAAAAGCAGGAATCTCAGTTTAAAAAATCAGAAAAACTGTCTGTCTAGATTGTCAAAATGAAACAAAACAAAAAAATGAAATTTTATTCTCGATGTATTCTAGTTGGAAAAATCACATTGGATGGATACCATCGTGAAATTGGTTCAAGATGTTATTGTTTCATTTCATTTCCTACACACACACTATTACAATTTTGTCAACTGGTTTGTTATCATCATATGATGATGGTTGTTTAGAATTTTAATTCCATTTCAAATAATAACAATTCAATTTCAACACTCAATCAGATGTCAAAAAAAATGAACAATGACTGAATCAAAAATTTTTGCCAAACAATAATCGATTTGTCATCTTTTTTTTTCTTTTGATTTCAAAAAAATAAGTGCTTCACTTGAGTGAATTTTTTTTTTTGTTCTCTCGTAAAACTTGAATATTCTGTCTATCTATTCTAGTGAATATATATTTTGTTTTGTTTTTTACAACACAACTAGTACGGTCAATGTACTTACATTAGGTGTAGGCCAAAATTTTTGATGAATACATTATCCGGTATATAGCGAAGATGATTACGACTTAGCCACCTGTTTTTTTTATAGAAAAAAAATATATATAAAAAAAACAAGAAATCATTCAACTCATGCATGGAACAATATCTCTGTAATATTAATTTCATTGTCACTGTTTGAACGGCAATGTTTGAATGCCATAAACATATGTAATATAACCAAACAACAGAATAAGAGAAATGAGAGAGAGAGAGAGTTGTCGAAGTTTTCAAGAATTGTAATTTTTTTTATTGAACTTTTTTTCCTAATAAAAATTGGATAGTCATAAAATCAGTTTCAATCAATTATCACTCGACTGATGATGGTTCATTGTTTGGTTCATTGAATTGTCGAAATCTATCACCAACGAATGGTACTTTTTGCATTAATTCACCAAAAGCATTTTTGTGTATAAGGGTGATCAATGCTATCAACGTTGGTAATGCAGCAATGAATGTTTCGGCAAAACCCGGAAGTTCAAGTGCTAATTCTTGTTTCAATTTTGGTGATGATAATGTTACTGTAGTAGTGGTGGTGGAATTGGCCATCGATTCATTCGTTTTTTGATCAACTAGCAGAGTTTTTGATTTTGTTTCGGATTCTAAATTTGATGATTGCTGTGAATGTAACTGGGTATTGACCTGTTTTTTTACATTATAACTTTTGACAATTTGTACCAATGATGTCAATGTCGGTAACGATGTGATCAATGTTTGTCGAAAGCTTTGATTCTGTTCGGTTGATGACGAAGATTTTTCCGATCTCTCAACATCATCGCTTTCTTGTTGCTGTTTCAATGTTTCAATGGAATAGACCAATGATTCGAGAGGTGCTATAGAATTAGCAATAGTTTCTTCATTTGCGATTTCCTCTGTTTTAACATCTTCACTTTGTTTTTCACTGTTGTTAGCATCAGATGTGGATCGAGCCAATTGATAGGCTACTGTACATAACGATAACAAGGTAGGCATTGCTTCGATCAAGGAATCGGCAAATGCGGGTAGCTGAATTTCATCACCAATAATCCGTCGTAACATAGCCGTTCCATTATTAACCGTTTTACGAACGATTGCCGTTTTTAGTGAAGATAATTTCGATAAGGATTGTCTATCGGTTTTCGATACATCATCATCCATACATACAGCAGCCATCTCGGATTCATTTATCGAACAATTAGTTATCACATCACCATTCGTATCTGGATTTATTGGCTGAAAAATTTCGGACACCTGTTCCATGATCGAAATAACTTCGGGCCATTTAGCCAATGCATTCATTGACATATTCCACAAATAACTAGTGGTCATTTGATCTTGAAACGAAGACATTTCAGAATAGAAATTTTTCTTTAATAAATAAAAAAATATGTCGAAATTAAGTGAGATTTAGCAAGCTAATGGCAAAATAAAAATCATGTACATAAGTTTTTAACAATGTTCAAATAGATTGATTATCATCACTATCAATATCAACTACTGAATCTTGTCTTGTCATTTAACGCCCAAACCCAATAATCATACGAGTTTATTTGTGTTGATGCCAAGTTTCACATGAACCCATTTTATGTATACAGTTCATCCGAAATGAATTATCACTGCATTTTAGATTTGCTATGATAATAATGGCAACCGAATTTATTCACAAACGTTTTTATTCAAATATATCTCTATATTATTATTATATTTTAGCAGAAAAAAATAACAAGGTAAAGCCAATAGAAATGACTCATAACCTGATGATTTATTCTAAAACATTATTGATATGGTCTCCTGATGATAAAAAGAAATTGATTATTCGAACCCATGAAAATGAAGATTAAATCAAATCATCACATTTTTCAAAAAATCGCTTGCCTGATTGTTGAGCTATCTACTTGCATTTGTGAATATTGTTTTCAAATGTAAAGTTGTCACTTTTTGTGAAAGGTATTGAAACTTGGGAAAAAATTTTCCTTATTTTCATGACTTGTTTTCAAATACAACAATATGTTAACAAAAAATTATTACACCTTTATTAAAAACTCATCATTAAAATTGCCAGTTAATTTTACTAATTAAATGGGGAAAACAAATCGAATTGATGATGCAAATTATTATCACGATGACAGCCATGATGACGACGATGTCCATGGTGGCCATGATGATGGCCAAAGTGACCAAAATGGTGATGGCCATGGTGATGACCATGGTGATGACCATGGTGATGTCCATGATGGCCATGATGATGGCCAAAGTGACCTAAATGGTGATGACCATGGTGATGACCTTGTTGTCCATGATACAAATGATCTAGATGACGCCAATGATGTCCATGATGATGATGATGATGTTGATGACCATCATACCCATGGCGGCCCATTTGTTCTTCATGGGCTAAAGCGGCAGCTACTTGACGATCAATTTCTTCTTGTTGTGTTCGTTGTTCAGCCATTATTCTTGATGTCCACTTTGTTTTTGTCAATGTGTTGATTTGTTATAACTTTAAAATGCACAATTCTATCATCTATCATCAATCAACTTGTTTATATTGCTTTAAAAATTACAATGAGTAGAAAAATTTTCTCCTTTCTCTCTCTCTTTTCTGATTAATTTTTGATTGATAATTTCTCGGACATGCGTATATCAATCGAAAAATGTGAAAAATTGCATAATCAAAGTGCAATAATTACAGTCATGTGACAAGATTTTGTGTTTTATACGTATAGATTACGTTATTTAATCTCAAAAGTCATATGATGATAACCATAGTGCACGATAGTCATTTGCAATATCATAGTAATCAATTGTTTTACAATATTATATTACAATATATAATAATTAATATAAGAAACAATTAGTCACTTACAGTCTTTCCAAACTTTTGAGATCATCAAAAACGCCCGGTTCCAATGTCTGTACCTGGTTGTCCATGATTTGCCTGTGAAAAAAAAAAAAAAAATAATTCATTTGAAGTATTAAAAAGGTTGAATCATGATCATCATGATATATTGATGATATTTAGTCCTATGTGAGTCATTTAATAGCTAGGAGTTGTAATCGATTCTTGGCATCTATACAATTATTATTTTTGATCCCCTATGCGTAAACACGTGGTAATATGTGAACATAGCAATACTCCATAGAGGGTAACAGAGTTCCAACATACGCATGGAACAAACACGTGCAAGCAACTATGAAATATAAATTCGGGTATGATTCACCTATTGGATCGAGCGAACACGAGTGATGGAAAAAAGGGCCAATGACTCACAGATTATTCTGACATTCAATTTTCCGGGACATATAACCAAAATGTCTATAGACTGATGATGATGAAATTTGCTCAATGGTCCGATCTAGTTGAATTGAGGGAGTGAGGAAAGTTGAGTCATCATCCATACACTCTATAATGATAAGTACGATGAATCGATTTTGGATTCTATTCTGATTCTGAAGCCATAGGAATAGAATTTTGGGCAATGTACATTTTATCATTGTTATAATGAAAGATAGATAAAGACTGTGTAAAAATCAAAAGAATCTAAATGTAGAAGAATCAATTTTTGCATTGATTGGTAGTGCTAGAGAGATTGGAGCAAAGAAGCAATTCTGTAGGTCACGTCTATTATTAATTATAGCAAAGATTCGATGCTAATAGATTTTTTTTTTTTCTCGAGCTCCAATCATACAAATGATTTATTGCCTGCCTTGTAGCAGCAACATCCAGGAAATTTAACGAATCAATGAAGAGAAACATTTTTGTTTCTCGGCAAACTAATCGCAATTATTCCAGAGATCCGAAGAAAATATTATTTCATTCGTTGAATTGCATCGTTTTTTTTCTTTGGTTCTGCCAACGTGTGATAACTGATAATGATTACAATTAATATTAATATAGCTGGAAAATGTTTGCTATACAAATCAGAGATACGGCAAAAAAAAATCAATTTGTGGTTTGACAGTTTTTCTTTTGCTTGTTTATTGCATCACAACAATTCAAGCAAAATCAGGCGTCATGAAATTTATAAAAGTAATGAATAAGAATTGAATTTTTTTTAAAATTCATTACGACAAGATATAGATTTTCAATGATAAATATGTGCATCTTTTTTAATTCGTTTGAAAACAACAACAAAAAAACTTAATTAAAATGCTATTAGGATTATTATGATGATTTTTTGTTTCACTGAAAACCATCCTTGGACAAAATGATTAAATTTATCGATAATTTTGTGTACAAATCAATATGGTTATACTGCAAGTGAAATAATGTAGTGCGTGTGTGTGTGTGCATTTCATTATAGACTGTCAAATGATCAGGTATCTGAAACATTTACAAACGATTTAAAAAGATGCTAATTTCATTTCGTTTTTGTTGTTGTTGTTTTTTTGTTCTCATAAATCATTTGGGGTTAACGAGAAAAAAAAATTGCAGCATCACTGATACTTTTACGAATGAAATAACAAAGAAAAAATGCTGAAATTTGGAAAAAAAAATTGAAAACGTTTTCTTCTGATTGCCGTCTCTTGTCATAAATCACAGACACATAAACATACGAGGCAATTAGTTATTAGCATGCAAATCAAATCAAATCAAAAAAAAAAAAAAAAAAATTTAACAAATGCTTCACTAGCCATATGGATAATCCGTATGGAAAAAAGTATTATTAGTATTATTATACTTACAGAACTTTCAAATAAGGTAGACGTTGAAAATCATTCTGACGTAATACGGTTAGATTGTTGCCATCAAGGTATCTGGATAAAAAAAAGGAGAATAAGGAGGAGAAAAAAAAAAAAGTTATCATCATTATTTTCAATTTTTTTCAAAAACAATTATAATGACTATAGAAATCAGTATGATTCGATATTTGAGATAAAAAAGAGAGGAACTTTTTTTTAAGGAAAAAAATTTGGGCGCCTATCAAGGTGATGATGTGACTTTTTTTTTGGTTTGTGTGTGTGTATGTGATTTTGATTGTTATTTATGATCGAAATGTCAAAATTGCGAAGACCCATCAATACCCATTAGTGATGGTGTTCAAATACAAAGAAATGAATGTGTGTGTGTGTGTGTGTGTGGTGTGTGTACAACACGCAGCTATAAACGCTTATATGTTGTATGTCGATTATTCTCATTTAGATCCAGATTTGGAGATATTTTTTTCTGGATGATATATTTTTCTGAATTAAGTAACCGTTTTTTTTCCCTTCTTGTTTGATAAATATAAAATATATAAAAAAACGTCCTTGTTTTTCAATGATTTTTATTCGGTAGAAAAAAAATGAGCCAAAGAGTAACCGAATCGGTATCTAAGACAATGATGATGATGATGATTGAATTGAAGCAATGAAGCCAGTATATTCATAATGGCTTGGTTTCATGTCTTTCTATATGCACATCTATACATCATTGGAATTATTGAACCGTTCCCTACATATAACTATTGAACTACATTCGAAGAAGAAGAAGAAGAAGACTCAAAGATTTCCAAGCTTAAAGAAAAAAAAGCTGTTTCAAAATTCTAGCTACGGTACATTTAATCTTTATTTTTTCTGGGGCAAACAAAAAAAAACATTTATTCATTTCAAATTTCAACCCACAACCAACCAACTAACATTCATTTGGTATAAAGACTTAACTAACCAAGCGAATGAATGATGGAATAAAATGAGTTCCAAAAATATGGGCATACTATACCATATCGATCCAACAACAAACGGCAGGCACCTATTGACAATGAATATAGAGATGCTTGGATTGCATCTCATTTTTTTTAAAGTGTCGACCGTCCGACCAACTTAGAATAAAGAGTAATTCATTGAATTTATTCAAAGTAAAAAACGAAAAATTTCTTGAAAGAATGAAATGCACAAGAATAAAACAAATTAAAATTGAATTAAAACACTTTTGTCGCAAAACACTTAGCATTCACATTTTTGTTCTCTTGAAAAAAAACCCGAAAAAATAAAAATCATTAGTTTTTGGTAACAAAAAAAAAAAAAAAAATTTCTCAACACTAATGATTATGTCATTCGCTTATACAAAATACTCCTCTTTGACAAAATAAAGATGCATTAAAAATCCAAATGACAGAAAATGTCTGCAAATTATTATCATCATTCGATTTAAAACGAGGTGACAGACATAAAACAGACAATTTTTTTTATCGTTCTCAAATATAATAATGATGAATTTCATACAAATCGGATTCACTGAATTCAAATTTCTAACTAGAAAATAATTAGATGTTTCAAATGGACAAAAAAAGGTAGTCATTATTATTGAAAACAAGGTGAGAATGTGATTTAAACCAAAAAAAAAAAAAAATTCAGAATTCTGAGGTTAATATTAGCTACTTTCGCTTTTTTTAAGATGAAAAATTCACATCACCGACATCATCATCAAATTAAATAAAGAAAAAATCACGAACAAATGTCGTTTGTTTTCTTTTTTTACTAGGGGTCTATAAGGTCATTAAAATACAAACAAAAATGATAATCCATGTTCAAACAAATGTTCATACATAGTCTCTAAAATCCAACATTAAAAAGCAGAATGACATCTCACATTGGTCAGGTGATTTTCATCATAATGATTATATATGTAAGTTTGGCTGATGCATAATCTTCTTGGTTGGCAAATAAACAAATACCTAGATTTGTTGAACCTGAACTTTTTTGTATAAAAAAAACGATAATGATTTCGGTGATGATGATGATAATAGGCTTCTTATAAATTTGACCTAATGATCAGCAAATGAGCGAAAAAAAATATAATACAAAAATTTTTGAATTTAATCAATCTTCATTGGCGATTCACGTCTAATCACGATCGTCTGGTAGCCATTCTTAATAAAAGCTGAATTTTTTTTTATATTGGACATGTTTGATCGCTATCGTTTTCGGATTAGCCATAAATGATTATATGGCTAACCAAGTAAGAAAACAAAAAAAAAAGAAATCAACGATCGAAAAAAATTGTAAAGTAGAACAACAACAACAACAACGACCAAAAGACATAAAAGACCATCAAGATGATCTGTTTCTGATTTGATCGGACATGTCCATATCAACATCAACATCAATCAACCACAACAAACTTGAAATATTTAGCCCAATTAGATTTGATACTATCATCAATGATGATGATGATGATGATGATGGCCATCATGACAACTCTTGTATTTGTTTGTCCGTTATCTTTGAATTTTCAACAAAATCATTACAATTTGAAAATATTAAATGTAAAATAAAAATGAGGAGGAAAGATGCTAAAAAAAAGGATGAAAAGCTCAGACAGTGGCTGTTGACGATGATTACCCATTCATTTGTGATGTAACGAAGGGAAAAAAATGTTCATCATGATGGTTTTTAAAAAAAAATTCAAACGTCATTCAAAACTTAATATTGTGAATGGAATTGAAAATTTTACGGCTGCCAGTATTAATTATATTACGATCATCAATTATTGAGGGTTAAATCATAAAAAAATGATAGTGGGTATCCGAAAACTTTTTGACAAGTCATCGATGAAAGACAAACATTTACTTTGAATTGATTTCTCTTAATGATAATTCAAAGAATGAAAGAATACATTGAAATGAATTGTTTGTGTCAATGTTGATTGGTCGTTGTCATCATAATTGCAAATAACAACTTATTAATATTTATAATCAATGAATGATAATGATGAACATTTCAAGTTTCTTGTATACAAAATAAAATCTAGCATGCATTGCATTTCGATTGATTTCTGGTAATTCAATGTGTATTGAAAACATGGAAAAACTTGAAAATAATGACAATCAAATCTTAAATAGAATTATTGATTTATAGGGAACGCCCCCAATACAAGAATTGATACTGTGTATATAAAAAGATTAAACCTGTTGTCATTTGCAGATGATTAAATCGAAGAAATACCAATTATTAAGCAAAGCCATTATGATAGAATTGGAGTTTGCGCTTGATCAAAATGAATCCGCCTTATTCTGATGATATAAATGCAACAAACTATACGGGAAAAAAATATACCACCCACATAACAAAATATCCGGCCATCCCCCTTTTTTTCTGTAGAATAAACGCCCAGATGTTATTGAAACTCGACAATAATAACAACAATAACAAATGAATTAAGCCATATGAAATAAGAATCCGACACACAGTGGTAAGATGAATGGTAAATTGAAATAATTGCTTTTTTTCTCTTCACTTTTACACTTCGTCTATATTAATGATAATGAATATGAAGATGAAATTCATCAAACCATGTCAAAAAAAAAATTTTTGCTAAAAATTTGTGATGAAGAATAGCATTCATCATTTATGTTCACAATGTTAACAAAAAAAAAAAAAAAATAAAAACAAAAACACATCTGAATTGTGTATGTTTCGCGAAAACGATGTATTCGAAGCTTAAAATAGTCTCGAGAATATGGTGAGATTCTGTCGGGTGCAAAAAAAAAAATTCATTCTTACGATTCTTCTTGTTAAAAGAAAAAAGTATAAATGTATTTTATGGTAATTGACAAACAAGTTTACAACAGTGAGAAAAGAAAAAGCAATTAGCAGTAAAAAAAACGATTATTCTGATTAAGTGTGATGAGCTCGTTTACATCGTTAACAATAATAATGTTAATGTACACACAGTCAGTCGGATATTCCTCATTATCATCATCATCGTCATCATCATCATAATCCAAAAACCAGTCGGTCACATTTATGGTGACCAAGATAAATGAATGTAAATAAAGATGGATGAAAATCTAATAATCTTGGTTGAAAAAGAAAAAGTTTTATTCATTTTTTTTTTTGTCTCTTTCGTTCATCATAATGGCAATAATAATAAATAGAAACTGAAACATTCATTTTGTATACCTTCAAGATCAATACAAGTTCAAGAACCGAAACATTGAAACATTGGTTTGATGATTGTTTCTCTTTACTAAATTGCTATGTAATCGAACCCATTATGACCAAACAACGATCATTTTATATCATTTTAGAATGTGATAACATTTTTTTTTTCTCAAATTATCAAATACATTGATGTTATGAGATGAGCATTTTTGTTGTCTATTGGACATAATATAAAAAGTTTAGTAGGGGACAAATAGATTCGTTGAATTGGTTAGTGGATTGTTTGTAATTGGATCGTAAAAATTCCAGAATGGCCTCTCTTTCAATAAACTTGGTTGGAACGAGAATGTCTTCTGATTGTAAACAAATAGAACGCACCCTGGTTCAAGATGATGATATTCGGTCATAAATTAGTAACATACACACACTCAGAGAAAGAGATAGACATTTACAATCAACCAAACTGAAAATGTGTTTGAAAAAAAAATTGGTTATCCATCATGATCAACAACGAACAATAACAACACCCATTATGATGATCATGACACTCCTATTTTGTTTTTTTTTTGTCGTAAAAAAATTTTGGGCTTGTTTTGCTCATCGTAAACAAAACGAACATAAACATACACTGAATATCAATAGCAACAACTGGTCATGTATATTTATTAAAAAAAAGGCCAAACATAAACGAAACAAACAATGAAAAACAAATGACAAATATTTGGCTTTTGATTCTATAATATTCAAAGAGATAACTAGGCATTTTACACCTGCAAATTTGAACCTATGGTTTATTATTTTTCATGTATTGTATATATAACAAAATTGTAGCGAAATTGGACAATGCAAATAGAATTTTTTAATCTAATGCTAAACTAGATTACCAAGAAAGCCAGCGATTCCACACACACACACACACACACACATATACACACATTTATTTCAATAATGATCCGTATCTACTGTAAATGGCAAACTATTGTGACTACTTAAAGAAACAAAAGGCAAACAATTGTGATGACAAATTGTCTAAAATTGATCGCCATTGGTTCCCGACAACTACGACAACATCAGCCAATGACATTGTTGATGACAGAACGGAAATTCAATTTGCCTATGATGAAAAGCTTTTCGCATATTGGACATATTGTTCATTCATTCATTTTGTTCTAATTTTCTTCTTTCCTCTTTTTTTATTGGTTATATTATAAATGGACAAAAGATTAATGGATGATGTCAAATGAAATAAAATAAAATAGACGCCCTAAATAGCTTGGTAAATGGCAAAATATAGACGACAAAAACCAAAACCTGTATACAAGCAAAACAAAATTGATATTGGCTAATACTTACAATCGTCGTACTTCCAATGGAAATGTTCGTGGAACATAGGATAATCCACGATGTGAACAATCGACAGTCAGACCTTGACAATCGCATTCAAGTGGACATGATGATAATTGAACACCATAACTATTCGAATCAAATGATGGTGATTGACCGATATCAAACAAGGCATCACTATAATGTGCGCCAAGTAATATGAACAAACATAGTAGAGCCAATGTGAAAAAATGCATGGCTGTTATTGTTGTCATCATTATTGTTGATCTTCGATTTTTATTAGTATGAATGAATGATTCACCAGTTACCATGATGATGATGATGATGAGGTTAATCCTAATAACGACAAAACGGATGAAACCCAAACGGAGAAAATGGGCAATTGTATCCAGTTGATTGATCGTGAAACGGTAATGTTGTCGTTTAGGTTCCAAAATCCAAATCGTACCGTATTCTTATTTATGGTTGATGTTGAAGATGATGAAGACGATGGTGATGAGGATCTGGATGACGATTCGCCTAAACTAATCGATTGTGATCGAGTATCAAAATTGGATACTGGATACACTTGCCCTTGTCGTTGTTTGGGTATCGATAGTCGGCAACCGCCGAATATAAACGATTGGATTTTGGCGAATATGATTGTAGCTTTTATAGTTGAAACTAACTACAGAATTCTTAATTTATACGCATGTATGAACACACACACATACAGAGCCAGGTTTTCATCAAACCATTCGCCAAGTAAATCAGTACTATTGAAAAAGAGTGAATAGCAATTACATGATGATTGAGAATCGAAACTGTTGTTGTTGTTGTTGTTGTGTTTCCTTCCGGTGCCGATGATAAGCAAGTCCTGTAAATATAATATAAACAAACATATTAGATAATTCTGTTAGACAAGACAATCAAATAAAGCTCTTGGGCATTTAACAACAATTTAGGAATGTGACCAACTCAAAAAAACAAACAAAAGAAATAATGCCATGGATAACCCAATTAGCACCACAGTGTGTGTGTAGGACCATTGTTACTCCTACGATCAGAAAAATATTTTCTATATGAAATGTGTGTAGGTGTGTGTGTGTGAATGTTTGACCAAACATAATGCAAAGTCAACATCGAAAAAAAATGTTATCCGGTATCAGTGATAAAATTTTTTAGTCGAAAAAAAATGATTGAACAGATTTTTTGTTTGTTTGTTTGGATCGCGGCAAATATGGAATGGATGCCATTGAATCATGATGATTCAATGAGTTGATGTTTTACATTAAATATGATAACGTTTTGAATGAAAAATTGTTCAATTTCGAAATGACAAATCGTGAAAAATGAGAAAGAATCAATTTATTCACAGTAAAAAAAATCGGTTATCCTAGAATGATAACAGATTTCAATTTAATTCAGATTCGGTCAGATAATCAAAGTAATCAATCTTTTGTAGCCATTTTTCAGTCAGACATGTAGGTAGATAGGTAGCAAGACCGGTACCGACAATATCAGGTATAATGTTGGTTAGCTTTAATTTAGATTTATATTCCCACAAAAAAGATGTCATACCACGAAGATCAAACAACAACAACAACAAAAAAACATTACTTACACAGCAAGATACTTGGAAAAACAAAAAATTCCTTGGTTTTTTAGTATATCGGAAAAAAAGGTCAACGGTCCTAAACACAAGGTTCTTGGGTCTTGTGAATAGAAAACATAGTTAATGATGGTTTTAATAATCATTGATCAGTTGATGGTAGCTACCGTCGGATGGCGGTTTACTGTGATTGATCACAATCGACCACCAGTGTGATGATGTGTGGCTTTGCCATAATGATAAATACGAAATGTGGCCATATGGTCAAAATTGATGGCCATGATCATTAAGATAAGATGCACATTTATGAATGTATGGCAATCATTCGACATGGTAAATGTTGATGGTCGTGTTGACATCATGTCGACATGACATTAACTACCACAAAATCATTGTTCAATGTGACCGAAGTGAAGAGATTTTAATCATCAAAATTGATCGACAGATTGATAGACAACGATAAGCTAGGGCTTAACCAGATTTTATCCCATCAATAAATCCTGTCAGAACAAATGTTTGTTCTCGGGGCCAAGGGCCAGCCAAAACAAACGACATGGCATATTCTAATGACATCTTTTTTTTTGTTTCAATATTGCATATCTTTCTCCAAGATGAAAAACAAGAAAAGCCCTTGAAGATAGGAATCGTATTTGAATCCAATCCAATGCAGTCGTACATCAGCTAAACAACTGAAAGTAGCTATGAACAAGCAATATTTAGTTAAGAGAAGATATAAAAACAAGTTTCCAACATCAGGTAAACAAGTTCATGAAATGTACTTGCTTGCTTGATGGCCAGATTTTCATATTTGTTTTTCATCCAAAGTTTTCTTGTTTGCATAGAAGATGAAAAAACAAGAACCAAGCTTGAAATTAGAAAAAAAACGTAGTCAATATGGTGAAATAATCGAATAGATCACCATTTGGTAACAATGTTCATCAGTTTATATTCAGTAGGACCCATTCTATAGTATTAAATTTGGAGATTCGGGTGGGCCATTTTTATCATCATCATCATCATTAGTTCTGATATTATTTCATTCGATTTTATTGATTACCCATCAAGCAGCTGCAGGGGTCAAACAAAAGCAAAGAAAAAAAAATCCGACAAATCAATCATCAATAAAGAATCTATGACCTGAAACTAGTGAGTTGTCAAGTGATGATGAAGACATCAAAACGAATGGAAAATTGCTTTACGAACATTTTTTTTATAATTTTTATAATGTGAAAAATGAAAATAAATTCAGCATTCAGGTGCCAATTCTCTCCTCAAAATGGTAAAAAAAAACATTTTTTTTTTGTTGAGAAAGAGAGATATAAGGAGACAAATAAATGCCAATATGCGTGTATGTACAAAAGGCAATAAATTATCTGCATTCAGCTAGACAGTATGCTATTTGAAATTATGGATTTATATATTAATTATGTGCGTGTGTGTTCAAATGGTTTGTGATTCAAGTGAGAGAAGAAAAAACGATCTGAAAGACCATAATAAGATTTGAAAGTTTATTACATTGCACATGATCATTCGGATGGTAATAGGAGGGAAGGAAAACTAATAACAGATGTCTTATTTCGGATGTTTTACTGAAATAAACATTTGGTGAACCATTAACTTTATCCGGTTTCCTATATTGAATATAACCTAACATAAATGGATGATAAGAAGGAAAAAACTCATCCGTTTCATTTGTGTTTTTTTTTCTATTCCAGTAGCAGCCAAAAGATTCATTATAATCAATTGTACATCCTTTTCACAAATGATACAAAATGATAGAAAAATGCATCAAAACGATCAGGTAACCAATCATTCGTATCTTGCCGTCACAAAAAAAGTGTCAATTTCGGCATATCATTGTCGGGCAATGTCCAAACACACTTTTGTATGTATGATGAATGACAATAGAATCGATATGCATGATTGCATACAATTTGTATGTGAATATTCGGCTTGTTTCACACATACATTCTTTATTTAGGGTGAAAGTGACAATTGATTGACTAATTGTCGAAAAAAAAGAATATTATGATTGTATGATATGGTTGTATAGAAAACAGTAGCTACAACAACAGTGAAACACAATCAACCAGCCAACCAACCAACCAACCAACCAACCAACCAACCAACCAACCAACCAACCAACCAACCAACCAATCAGACAAAACAAGACTAAGACAAAGTGTCATAAAACCGTCAGACAAAAATGATTAAAAAAAAAAAAAATACAAAGCAAAAACCGCCAGGCCATCAATAAAATATGGCAATCTTCATCTTTCTTCCTGTTTCTTTTTTTTTCTCAGAATTTTCGATTTTTATAAAAAACAAAATCAAATTCCACTATAGTATTGATAGAAAATTCCAAGTTCAAAATTCAAAATTCAAAATTTTATATATTTTTCTAGTCATTCTCAATTATTCGCTGTTGAAATCATATTTGAATTTGAGCGTATCCGCCTGGTTTATGTGCTTGGAAAATTAATTTTATTTTTATTTTTTTCTTTTAAAAAAAAGTCAATAAGCCGATGGATCAATGATATTGGATGGTGGTCAGCATTAATGTAATTTGTGGTAGCAACAAAAAAATTATTTAAAGATATCCATATTGCTTACAAACGTGACCACCACTATCAATACAGGAGAACGATTGTGTCGAATCAAGAATAATAAGAAACATTATGGAGAATTATTCTATTCGGACTATTTCTCAATTTTAAATGAACTGTCCTGTTTGTTTTTGTTTTCAATTGAATCCAACGATGTTGGAATTCAATCTAAAAAGCCATCATAATCATCAAAACATTCTATTCTTAACTTTGGACATGGATATGCTAATTCAAAAAAAAAGATTGCTATGATGAACAATGGCTACACGATTTACCTCTTGTTTCATCCATAAATCAAGGAGAAGAAATGGATGCATGGAAAAGGTCAAAAGTCAAATTTCATTAACCTCATCATAATCATCATTGAATATGGACAATGACAATGATAAAAAGTAAATGATTGACTAGACAATATAAATACAAACATACACACACACAGGTAATACACAGATATTGGTTGTTATAGTCACTGCATCAACTCTCTCTTTCTCTCTTCCTTTTCCCGCCTATCTATGGTTTAAATGAAGAAAAAAACCAAATGTTTATGTAAACAAACTTAAGGGGAATAAGTCAACAGTCAATCAATCTACCACCGACGGGCAATGAAAAAACCAGCCAAAATCTTTCCGATTCTAGTCACATATACATACATATGTAGTACAGTAATAACCCGCTTAACGAGGGGGTTGAGTTCCAAAAATTTTGAAAGCGAAACAGCAAATTATTCTACGGTGGTTTAGCAAGAATTTTTTCACATCGTTAAACTAAAAACGACAGCGTTAAGCGGAGTATTACTGTAATTGTTCTTGTCATTGTGTTTGTGCAATGTTCTGACTGATTGATTAGGAGGCTACCAGATCTAACACATTCGGTAGAATATACAATCAGCATTCTTAAAGTTAAGATCGTGATCGATTCGAAAATTAAAAATTTTTCTATAGTTGATCCATTGATATTCCAATCTTTTTTTGTTATTTTTTCTTCCATGAAAAGATGAAATTTTGAAGCCAAATTTACCAATAGAATCATATAGCAAAAGCAAACAAGGTGGTCTTTTTTTTGATTATTACCTACATGTATATATTGGTCTTCGGAGACCAATCAACTTATTTTATCATGACGTAATTTTATCATTACGATTCATTTATCATCGAAACTTATCATATAGTATACTTATAGATTTTTGAAGCATTGAATCGTCATGGTCTCAATTTATACTGAGAAACTGGAAACGGTTATTTTTTTCTATTCGTTTCAATCGAGTTTGACACTCAATTCAATCAAAATTGAATCGTTATTAATTCTCATTCACACACACACACACACACAACCATATCCTAGATGGCTAGATTTATAAATCATTAAAATCTTTTTTTTATGGAAAAAAATAAATAAATTCCCCCTCTCTGAAATGTAATGCAACAATTTGTTCTTCGAATAGCCTGTATAAGGATGGAAGAAAAAATCGCTGACAAATTTTCTATTTTAAATCCAATAAATCAATAGAACCGCGAAATAACAAATACACACGCATACAATGATTGCATGGAAATCAACAGTTTTTCTTTTACAATTGAAGAAAAAAGCAAATAGGCCATAACAATTGTGTTAACGAATAAGCTAATTTATCCAATACTGATGATGATGGTTATGATCGGATTATCGATTATTTTGGGACCGGCAACAATTTTTGAACAAAGCTGGGAGGGGGATAGTGGTTTGGGTTGTTTGTTTCATTTGTTATTATTATGTCAACAAATGGCCTTGATTCACAATCAAAGCATGATTTTCAGAAACAGATTTAATAAGGACAAGCAATAATAATAATTTTTGATATTCTACAAATTGTAATTCGAATTTTTTTCTGTTTGTTTGTTTGTTGTTCAAATATATCGAATATATTTCCCATGTGCACACACACACACACAAACACTCAATCTCTATTGGCCCAGGTGAAAACACAAAGATTGATTGATGACTTTTGTATATATGGGAAAAAGCTAGATGATGATGATGATGATGGTCAACATATATCAGCAACATCTCACGAATACATTTCAAAGACGTAAATCTTCAATTTCTCTTCATGCCATCATCATCATCATGTTGTTTGCTCAGGCAAGCAAAAAATGAACAAGAAAAAATCCAACTGATCAATGTTGATGACCATTTTTGAATTCTGGTAAACATGAAGAAAAAAAAATCCATACACTGTGATTGTATCTATGATACACTATGAACACTTCTTGAAATGTGCATATTTCGAATTCTTGTGATAATATACACATACCAAAGGAACTAAAACAAGAATGGAATGAGAATCATCATTCAGTCAATGTTGATTTGGTTTATTACGAATCAGAAAGCTAGAATAAAGTGCATAAAAATTCCCATAATAGCCAATGAATACACACTATCACACACATGAATCGATTTATCTATGGAATGCTTTAGAAGGGGAGTGCATTCTTTTGCCATTTTCATTGGAATTGAAAGAAAATGGAAAAAAATTGAGCGCAATCATTTGTATACGAAACAAAAAAAACCAAAGAAGATTATTTTTGGGTGTGTGTGTGTGTATGTGTATTATATATTTGGTATGAATGAATGGTCGAATAAGTTGACAAGTGACCAGAAGCTTAAAAATGAGTGACAGATTGATTGACTAACTTAGATCGGTTTGTGTTGTTTAGGCTACTGGTTGTATAAATACATATGACCATAGCCAAAATGTTTGTGCCTGGTGTTCATTCGAGTGACTGTAATCAATTTCATTTCATTTGGTACAAACAGACAAGCAAAGGCAAATTTCCCCTTTGCCCAAAAAAAAAGAATATTGTGCATGACCAACAGAACCTCAACACATTCCGGCCGCAATGAAAAAGCAACAACTCGAAAATAGTAAATTTGACTTGAATTAAGTCAAGTGTAACACGACGAATGGCCACATAGTACTCATGTTTTTTCTTTGGTCATTCTTTTTGTTGTTGTTGTTGTTTTGTTTTTCTGTTTCAAGCAAACTGAGAAAACTAGTCTCATCTTCCAGTCCAAAGAAAATAAGAGACAAGATTAATTTGACAACGACAAAAAAAAACTCGAATGAACAAAACACGAAAGAAAAAACCGAAATCTAATCGAACGGGGCAGCAACAAGATGAACAATAACCAATGAATGGAAAATGAAACCCGAGCAATAGCGGTCGAAACCGGAAAGCTGGTCATTTATACCATATAAATAGTGATCATCATCATATACAACAGAAACATTATGAAATGAATTTCAGAAAAAAAACCGAACAAAACTAGAAAAAAAATTCTGCTTATGATGAACGACGATGATCAAAAAAAGACGACCACCACATATAACAAAAAAATAGATATGGGAAAATTAGAGGATGGAAAACCAAAAAAAAAAAAAATTTCTTTACTCTCAAAAATAAAGCCCGGGGACCGAGTTGCTTCCAAGCAAAAAAAAAACTTAAGGATGTTCTCTAACAAAAATATAAAATGCAGCAAACGAATGAAACGGAGCAAATTAGTAGATGACACAGCGAGCCAATATGTGTGTATATCATTGTGTATATGACGATGGGATTCTTTCTTTCTGCTCCTAATGATGGCGACGAAGCGATGAGAATGCAATTCGTCCATTCGAATGTATACATCACCTCATCATCATCATCATCATCAATGGCATTCGGGTCTCTATTGATATTGTGTATGTATGTGTGTGTTTGATTATGATCCATTCAAGGCAGGCACATTTTATTACCAACCAAGAAAAAAAAATCGAAATGGAATGGAATTCACGAATTGATAAACGGCTGACAATAATGGACATTTGGCAGAAATCAGGATAGTTTGTTTTGACTGGAAAATTTTTTTTTGTCTTGCAAATAAGGCTACTGTGTATATAAAACATACATACGGTAAAAGAAAATAATAACGAAATTCAATAGGAAAATGAATGAAGCTCTGAATTCTAGAAATCTGTCTGTGTGTGTGTGTGTGTGTGTGTTGATTACAGGCACACATTTACAATGGATGTTTGATATTGTTGAATGATATTTTGGTTATCCAATTTTATCATTGTTATTGTTGTGTTTATTGACCTTAGATAAGGAATGAATCTGTTTGGTTTGTTCACATACCTTTTTTTCAGTTGTTCTTTTTTTTGTCAGTTATACCAATTGCGATTAGTTTCTTGGAATGATTGATTGATTGTTTGGTATGATTCAATAAAGAACCGATTATCAACTTGGATCAATTTTTAATCATAGATCAAATTGCTTGACAGACACACACACACACACATATTTATATAAACACATGTAAATAGCCTTGACACAAGAGGACACTTGATGAATAGAAAAGTAATAAATGGGGTTTATATTGATTACATTAATTCAATCAAACAGATCAATATAAACTGTCATTTTGTATGATTTGAATAATAATAATAATAATTTTTTTAATAATCAAATTTTTCTTAAATAGAAAAAAAAATTTATTTTATTTCAAATTTATTTTGAATACGCGCCAATTGAAAAAAAACAAAACATTCACACAGAACACAGAACACACAAACACAAGAATAATCAATTGGAAAATCAACCTTTTTGTAACGACATCATAGTAACAACTGATTTTCATTTGAGAAACAAAATGTGAATGTGTCTTTGAAAAATGAGAACAGGATCCAGTTTGAAATTGAATGCGCGCTGTCTATATTTTTTTCTTTTCTTTTTCTTCTTTCAAGAACCGCCTCTTATGAAACATTCTACATTGTACTGTCAATTGTGCATTTGTATGTTTTATTGTAGTAGTAGCATATTATGATGATAGTTACAAACCATCCTACAGTACCATCTCTTTATATACATATACATAAATAGTTCATGTTGTGTTGTTAGAATTTGAAATAACCGCGCAAACATAGGCTTGACTGTAACAAAACAAAAACAAAAAAAAAACGTTCGACGATCTGGAACGAATACAAGCATCCAGGAACGATTCGTATTTTTTTTTTTTTTTTGAATATTTCTGGTTGATCCTGGTATTTTGGCGGTTGATGATGATGACCGCCTAGCTAATAAGTATCAATTTTTTTTTGTTGTTACTTGTATAGGATTGTTTGTGATGACTCACACTAAAATATGATGTAGAAAAAAAAACAGTGACGATGATCCCGCAAATGAATCATTCCTTTTAGGTCCCTATGGCCTCATCTAATGGTACCAAATATGTCATCAACCAACAAATATACAAATTCTTTTCTAAATGAATGAATCACTGTTAGTGATGAAATATGAATGAGTTGAAATTTTGATGATAAGAGGGAAGAGTAAGGTGGGCAAAACAAAACAAAACAACGGTGGCACGCGACCATAATTTTGTTCTTCATTCCAATGGACATCATCACCATCATGTTCACTAGAGATGATAATCAAGTATCAAATAATGTACAAATTGTCTTGATTAGTCCAGTTAGTCGTGGCAGCCACTTGAGCTAAAATTCCGAGCATCATTACTCAATATAGTAATTGATCGACATTTGACAATTTACACACGAAAAATACTCGACCAACCACTTGAGCATCCTATATATATATATTTTTTAATTAGATAGCTCAAAATAATGATGCTATCAATCAAATAATCGCTAGACACAAGAATGTGTCAATTTATACAGTGGCAATATAAAACTATGGATACTTAAACTAGAAAAAAAGTTGTTGAAAATTCAACAATTCCAACTTTGCAATTCCAAACATACATTCGAAATAAATATAAACTTTTAGAATCTAATTTGACACTTGATATATCTGATTTTTTTTTCGTTTGTCACTATCTATTAGAGCCCGTTTGTCGTTCAGTTTTGGCCATTTTGTCTACAATGAAAAAGAAGATTCGAATTCCCCATTTTCGTGAAAAAAATTACCAATTCAAAGAGATTACTGAGCTTTAATCGACAACATATCAACCGAACCAGAAGAAAAAATAAAAACAACGCTGATAGAAATAGTGGCCAAATGAATTTCATATATGAAATTCAATGAACTTTCAATGATCCAAAATTGATTCCATTAAAAATTACAATGATATTTTATTTAAATTTATTTTATTTTTGAAATCACGTCTACAAAAAATGAATATGACGATCATCTTTGTGCTGGTCAAAGTGTGTGTGTGTATAGGTGTGTGCATGTGTATATTATTTTGGGCGTCCATTTCCAATTGTGTGAGTAATATTTTTATTTTGGTTTTTATTAAAAGAAAAAACAAACAAGACAATCCATTTGGCTATATGAATCAATGAATGAATTTGTAATGCAAATGCCGATATGTAGTCCATCGTTTATTTCATTTGCTTATTTGATTGCTGTTGTTGTTGATCATGTTCCAGGCGACGTTTTTTCGACATTCCACTTAAGTATGCATCACTGAATGGAGGTTGATGATCATTTTCAATGTTTTTCTGTTTTTGAATATCCTCTTTAATGATTGGTACCTATTTAATATCAAAGATACATCAAATTAGATATTCGAAGACATTCGAAAAAAAACTACAAACCCATTCGTTCGGGACGACTGATTGCCAATCAGCAGATTCTTGTTCATTGTTTGTGATTCGATTCGTTGTGGGCGGATGCAGTCGTTGAGGTTCAGATGATGTTGCATGCATTGAATGAGTACTAGTCGAAGGTGGCATATCACTGTAGGCATCGGAGAATTCCATATCTTCCAAAGAATCCATCGAATTTGAAGGGCCATCGCTGTTTGGCTGGGGTTGTTGTTCTTGTTGTCTGCATGATCGTCTTACAATGTATGACTGAATTTCAGCATCCAATTGATTATCCTTAACAAAATCAGTGGTTATCCAATTATTGATTCGCTGAGTGATGATCTGAGTAAGAAAATCTCTGAATCGTTGGTCAGCAATATCGGCATATTCGGTCATGAAACGCATAATCAGCGTAGATCGGGCATTTGAAGGGTCAGCAAAACAAGCTAAAATTGGAAAATGAGTCATAATTGAATAATGATTAACAATAAATCTTACCGTCACAGAAATGAATATAAGCATTCATAAGGTATTTAACAGCATCAGTCAGATCATCCCCGAAGGTTTCATCATTATTCGATTGCATAATTTTATTAAAAAATTTAATCAAAGTCTCTTGAACAAAATTCCTGAATGATTCAACGTGATCAACACCGGTTGCAGGTCTCATTTTGGCCTAAAAAATTTGAAAAAATGGTATCAAAAGTCAATCTTAAAAATGCCATATTAAACTTACGACAATGTCGGTCAATAGTGTAGGGTGATTGGCAATCATCGTTTCAATGTCTGTACGAACATCAGTTCCATCATGATTATTCATTAGGAAAACTCGAATCGCACGCTGTAAATGTTGTCTAAGACGGGCAAAATCTCGGAAATTTGAGTTTATCATCTGATACAGATCCTGGAAATTCAGGCTTTGAAACAAATATGACAACATATTCGACAACATTGATTCGTCATTCGAATTCAAGAGATTTAAATTACGTATATAGTCTTGGATTCGAGGCGATTGCTGATGATCACCCGATTGGAATTGTAAACCAGCCTGTGAAGGCAATTGATTGATTCTTCGAAGCAAGTAGTCGATAAAATCAAAAAATTCCCGACTTTCGTCCGAGGTTGGAGAATCACCTTGATCCAATTGAGTGAGATTAAGCAAACTTTCTCTCATTGAATTCAAAATTCCCAGGTCATTATCTTCACCATTAAGAGCGGAAGATCTAAAGTTATTAGGGATGTCACCCATGATATTATTTTGACCAAACATTTGCATCAGTGGTTGTGAAAAAGGCATTGTACCAAAATTTGTGGCTGAACGAATCTCGGGCATCGTATAGGTTGGAATTACTAAGAATCAATTGAATGCAACAAATTAATAAAATAGATAAGTAAAAATAAATTCTTACCAATTTAAGAATGGATCAAAACGAGCCGAAAACAATTGCAATGGATTGACCATTGGATTATTTGAATTGTTTTGATTCGAACTACCGTTATTATTTATTGTGCCGGTAGTAGCGGCAGCCGAAGAGTTTGGATTCGATTCACCTGTAGGAGCTTCATCTGAATCCACAGGAGGATTTGAAAACTGTGCTGTTGTGTTGATGCCATTGGCACTATCTTGCTGTGATTGTGGCTCGATTGGATTGGTATTTGGGTTTTGGTTCATTGCATTGAACGCAACATTACTTGCATTATTAATTAAATCATTGAAACTGACATTTAAATCTGAAATCGAAAAATTACGAATCGCACGAGTTCCGAGGTTTGTACTATGTCCATCAATTGTTGCATCGACTTCCATTAGCAATATGGGTGATTGTGCTACAAAAACACTTCCGGGAATCGATCCTAATGATCTGAACATTGAATTATTGTTACTTGGAGCTGCATTAGTCGGCAGACGATTATCACCACTTGGTACAGGAGGAGAAACAAATTCATTAGATGGACTTGAAGAATTTGAGTTTCTTTGCTGAACGTTTTCCGAATCTGTTTCTGTAGTAGAATTATTTTGATTCTGATTCGTATTAGTGGTAGCGGTAGCAGATGCATTAGGATCGTCATTAACGTTTGAAGCGCTGGCAGTTATGGTAAAATGTGTATCGACGTTAGAAGCTTGTTGTTGTTGATGTGGTGATCCTAAAACATTCAAGGTGATTGGCGAATTAGCATCGTTCGGATTGATAGATAAATCAGTCAACGAATGAAATACGTGTGATAAATGGTGAACGATTCGCATAATGATAGAAAAATTATTCTGAGATTGTCTATCAATATTATTGGTGCTTGAATCGTTCTGTTCTTCTGGAGTTAATGATCGAATCCATGTTTCGAGGTAAGGTTTCAGACGATCCATATAAGAAATAACATCAGAAAAGCAGCGTGCATAATCCGCCAATGTGATTGATTGATTATCGCCAAACGCATTCATCTGATTCCCTCTTGGGAGATGTGAGGGATCTTGCAAGATCTGAAAATTGGTTTCAACATAACCAAGCAGCTGACGAATATGATTGAATCGAGCTCGGATATTTGACGATGCGGCATTTCTTCCACCTGCTCCACTTGGCGAAGATGTTGCTCCGACCGCTGAATCAGATGCGTTCGATTCATTAGAACTATCTGAGCCTGGACGTTGGGAGAACAATTGTCGCATGACTTGATTGATAATATTGGATGGTTCCGTTGGAAAGGAGCCCATGAAAACCGATGAACCATCATCGGAACGAAAACTTTGAAATCTAGAACGATTTCGTTCGTTTTGTTGCTGATTATTATTTTGGCCATTTGAACTATTATTGGCTGTATCGTTTTTGGGTGGTGGAGCACGTTTGACCAGATGAATCACTTTACCGTTGTCAATCTCTGTAAAGAATGTAACAAGAGTCAATTTAATATATTGGACAATAAGAATGGATGATAGGACATACTATAATCTTTGAAAGTTTTATCATCGGCTAATACACGGCCACAAAAAATCATTCTCTGGCTTTCTGGTTCAATATTGAGAGTGGATGAAATTTTTTCCTTGAATGCCCGAATTTTAATCTAGGTGAACAATAATCATCGAAATGAAAGTAAAAATCAATATCGAAAACATAAATGATGATATGTATAAAATTATTAATTACGAAAGAATTAAAAAACACTTACATCATTTTCAACTTGAAATTGATAATTTTTTGAATCAATTGTTTTGATTGTTACTGTAATAAGATCCGATATAATTGCATCAGATGGTGATGAAGGTGCTTTTTCATCTCCTCCGGATGTTGTAGAATGATCCATTATGATCTGAATCTATGATTTAAAATGAAATGAAAATCTTGACAATGATGATGATGATGATGTAAATAAAAATCGAAAATCGATATATATTGTCAACCAATCTGATGAAACGTAGCGAAATTCTAAAAATCAATAATGACTAAAGGTCCCAACCACACACACACACACACACATATACACACACAGTGGCAGCAACGGCAGCTGTTATAAACACGAAAAAAAAAAAAAAAAAAAGATGAACAAGGGAGAGAAAAAAAGAATTTAACAAGAAAAATATAACTATGCGCATGCGAAAAACATTCTTTATGCATATAAATGGCCCGTCATAATAAACGTTTGATAGAAAATATTTCGATAATAGATGGCACCACGTGCATAAAAATGAAATATGGTTTCATACAAAAAAAAATCAAAAAAGAATAAAAAATTCAAAACTCATCATTTTCAAATATGGCAATGAAAAAATACATTTATTATTTATTTCGAATCAATCAAGAATGATTTGAATGATATTTACACACCACACACACACACACACACACAGACACACATGTACAAACACACCCACACATATAAATACAATAAGATTCATATATCATTGTTTGTGTTAGTTTAGCAAAAAAATGACAAATACTTATGAATACTTATTTTGTGCAAATATTATCGATAAAGATAGTTACAAATATAAAATGGTTTCGATCATTTATATGAACAAAAAGATCAGAATAAAATGTATCTAAATAGCTCGACGAATTTCGTTTTTTTTTGCATATATGATGTGAATGGAAGCAAAGAGAAAAATGATCAGTAAAAAAACAAAATAAAAAGATGTTGAATGTTTAAATAGATATATGTACAAATGAATAGGAAAATATTGTCTTATAAAATACACAATACATATGGCCATTCAATGAAACAATCGAATGGAACATAATCAAGTAATAACAAGAAATATGGTTTCGTTTCTGAGCCACATTGATGATACGTATTAAAATTGATAAAAATTTTTTTTTTTTTTTTTTTAATATCAATAGTAGTCCCGTATGTTCGTGAACAGATCCTATTTTATCCCCACAATTTTTTCTGGATCATGGTAATAAATAAATGTGAATGATAATAAGGAGCCAATGTTTGCTTGTATTGAAACGAAAAAAAATGAAATACAAGGAATTGTCATCCATGTTTGTTTTTGTGTATTTATGTATGATATTCATCGAAGTGGGGAGTAACCATATCACAATGACAGTGTGTGCATGAAAATTGTCACATTGTATTAATGAAAATTATTACAGGGCTCATCACTATTAAATGGTTTTTCATCGTGTGCTATAAGCATCACAATAAAAATCAATCATCCGATTGAATGATGGATTGATTACGCATATTGTTTGTTACTATGAAGAGGATGATGATGATTTACATGATGATGATGATGATTATGGGCAGCACGATAGGTTTTTGTTATGGTCGTTTTATCAATTGGATAGCTGCCTTCATCTTTTTTACGCATTCGATATACGATAAACATAACCATCAGAATGGCACACAATAATCCGACCACAGTCCCACCGATGACAGCTATTTTTACCAAAGAAAGAAAGTTAGGTAAGGTTTCAAAAAAAATACGATACAAAAACATACCTGCAAGGATTCCAGGTCGAGCAAAGAATGATGCCGAAGCTGATGGCGTACGCGGGGGAATATATTTCGGAGGTGTAACATAATCTGGAAATTCGACATCATCAATACTTGGCGTCATCATTGGTGGTGGCTGACTGGTTGTTGTGGTCGTAGTAGTTGATGATGACGTAGTCAGAGGACGTATGGTCGATGTTGTCCATGAGGGAATTTCTACAATTGATGATTCTGTAGTGCTGCTGCTGCTAGGCACAACTACGGATTCTTGATCTATATTGGAAGCTAAATCATATACAATAGATTAAATAATTTTATTCATAGATGAAAATTCCCATCTTACCTCCAGAGCCTTCTATACCGTCATCATTATTATCAACACAATCACCAGATCCTTCCAAATCTTCATCATCGATAGGAGTTTTGCAAACTTTAGATTTGGGCGTCTTTGGTGAAGAACTGTAGACTGTAGTTGATGTGGATGATTTTTGGGACGTTACAATAGGCTTCATGGTTGTAGTCGTGGTCGTCGTTGTTGTAGTAGTTGTTGTCGATGTTGTCGTGGACGTCGATGTGGATGTTGTCGTAGATGATTGTTTATCATTGATGGAGTCAGCAGCTCCGGAGCCATCAATTTCAAGATCATCATCATCATCTTCTTCATCTTCATTTGGATTGTTTGGATTCCGATGGTGTCCACTACCTTCGGCAATGTCCAAAAAAGGATCATCTTGTTTGCTATTATGTCCTCCACGTTTTTCGTTAGGGTTTTTATTTCGAAAATCGGTTGATGTAGGAAGAAACGATGAGAAACTTTCGCCATTATTATCGATATTCAGGTCATGATGGTGATTGCGACGAATAGATGATGATCGGCCGATCATTGATGGATAATTGTCGTAATGAGCCTATAATTGTTCAACAATCAAAATTAGTTAATCGAATAGAATCCCATTGTTTCTAATGGCAATAATAATGATCGTTTCCTGATCAAATTTCAATAAAAAAAGATGCTACAAATATTCAATATTCTATGATCATATCATCATAATTACATAAAAACGATAATCTAATCTAATTAAATAATTCGATTTGTCCTTTATTATGGGTTATGCCAATGAAGTGAATATTAAGTGAAAATCATTCGAAATTCTATGGAATCCATCCGCCACATAGACACACCATCAACTGTGGGATTATAATTTATTAACGAATCGAAAAATGTTCATCTATCTATCAATTGAAGTTCGGTTGATCGATAGTTCTTCTTTTGAATCCATAAACATTTTGGCTAATAATAGTCATGAACAGAAAAAGAGCTTCATCTATAGTTTCGATATGAATCAAACTTGTAAGCCAGTCACTTTGTTGTATCGTATGTCAACTATTATGCTACGAAGCTTTTAGCATCCATCAAGATGGCAAATGCGGCGATGATTACAATAAAACTATAAAAAACCAACAACTAACAAATAGCTCTTTCACTTATATATATAGTGAACAAGCTAAATACAATACAAAAAAAATTGGCTTGAACTTGTTTATCGAGTATATATTATAAACCCCAAACTATTCAAATAGTTTCTTTTGATTTTAAAATCATAAATAAATAGGAATCGAACACTCATCTACCATGGGCATGCATGCATACATAAATGGTACTGGAATAAATCAAACAAATCGAGAAACAGAAACAAATTTTTTTGTTCTTTTTTTTGGCAAATCCAAAAAGGCAAGTTTCCTTTTCTGGCCAGAAAGCGAAAGTAATCCAAACACACACACACACACATGAACATGAAGGAAACAAACATAAAAAATGTGAGAAAAAGAAATTCTAGTTATCCACAATCGTTTGCAAGGACAGTAAAGATGTGAAAATTCAAAAAAAAAAAAAAAAAATATTGAATGCTCAGCCAAAAAAAATCGACACATCAAGACATTGCTGTCACTACATTTGATCGATACAAATTATAATCTACATGCGTAATGGATCAAATATTTAAATAAATAATCGACAAAAAAAACATCGATTCTATTCAATATTTGATTTTGAATGAAAAAATATGCGGAAATGTATAAATTTTATACAATCGATATGGAAAAAGATGAAAAACTAATGGATCGTTAGATTAAAAAAAATTTCGGTAGATCGATTGGGATTAGTAGGAAAGATCGAATAAATGGTCATTTATTTCATTGAAGTTTAAATCTATAATGATCATCACCATCATGCATGGAAAAATTAGGTTATAGAAGGATTGTAAATTTAACATTGATTGGATTCGTGTTTATACACAACAAAATTTGATTAACCAAATGTCATAAACTTTGCGAACTTTCCATAATAAAAAAATCACTAAATCAAACCTAAAATTAAATTCAATGAGTTTGATTTGATTTCAAGAATCGTATTGGCAAAAAATATTGAAGATAAATTAATATAACTCCATCTAATTTTAATAGAGGCATTATTAATATCAATCATAAAATTGGCACTATACAACGTCATCGGTTTAGGTCACTGTTTTATGATATCAATAATTTGAGCTATCCACCAAACACACAATATCTCGATGATTATTGCTTCAATTTAATCAATAATGTGGATGCAATGAAATAGACAAACAAGGATATGATCAACAAAATCTGTTGCATAATGTATGCTAAATCATAAAATTTGAAATTTGGATGACAATATTAAATAAGCAAATATGGCTCTCAAAACTTCAATTTAACTTTGCCTGTCTATAATGTTTCCTTGACCAGAGACAAAAAGATTATTTTAATCAGATAAAATATGCAATTATAACATCAGCCCACTAAATCAACAAAGACACTGACAGGGTTGATAATAATTTATTACGATTGGAGAACAAAGGGATAAAAAAACAAACGACCTACGGTCATCAAACTATTTTTAAGTTAAAAAACTAACTTAGCCAATTAAACATTGGTAATCAGGGATCCTAGAATAATTCCGGGGTATTTAATCTTGTCTAAAAAAAGATGGCTGAAAATCAACAATAAGCCGAAATGGAACTTTAACACAAACAAAAAAATAAATAAATTGTCCAACTTTACAGCGATGACCAGTGAAAAACAAAGTCATCAGCCATTCTGATCACACAAACACACACACACACACGGGCAACATAGATGAAATGTATTAACTTATTAAATTGGAAATGACCATTTCGATTTTGGAGAACGACAACTTTTCAAATTGGATCTGCTTAATATATTCCATATAAATGTATGTCCACATATTTGAAACTTTGTGTGTGTGTGTGCATTTATGTGTGAATTAGAATGGATCGACTTGAAAGTCGATTATTATATATGATGATGACTGACGAATTCGTTATCGACTCATTTGTTCCTATGCTTTTCCGTTGTTTCCTATTGATTTCGATTTCAATATTTGTTGGAGACAAAAGAAAAGATTGAAAGACACTCATGTAGGGTGGTAATAGTCAAAAAAAATATAGACAATTTAACGAAGAGAATATAAAAAAGAGAAAAATTTTTGTCCATTCGACTTGTTGGCACCAACACCCATGGAGTGAAAAAAATGTGTCGGCATTCACAATATTTGCCAGTAAAAAACCATAATTTCTCAGGATATTGAGGTAAAAGGACAGCTTGTATTTTTTATTTTATTTTATTTTGGTTCATTGTCAACACCGACACACCTTTCGGCAAAAGTTTCAAAAACCATCATATCAAGAGCCCGATAGACAGTGTAAATTTCCACACAAAAGGACTCCTACAATGGCCTAGATGTGTCATTTTAATATATTAGTTCAATCGACTTAGTTAGTTGACCAAAAGATCACAAATGAATAAGCAAATTTTGAAGTAGACAAGTTTCGAGGCAAAATTAAAATTAGTTGAATCTCATTAGAGACAAAAAGAAACAAAACAAATAAGAGAAAAAAATCAATGAAATTTTAAGAACCATAAAATAGCGTATAGAGATCAGGCATTACAGAAATTTATATGAAGATCGATCCATTCATGTTAAATGTTTGTCCGAAAAAAAAGTTGCAGCCATAATTATTACTATTATTATCATTTCTCATTTGTGGAATTGTTACAGATATAGTCTCTCACAAGGCTACGGGATTTTCTGTTCTTTTTCTGGTCGATCGTTTGGGCGTCAATGAGATGAACGAAGGAAAAAAATCACCACATATATATCAGTTGTTCACTGTAATAGACACAGTGTATTTTCTCAAGTTTTACAGGAATAAATGAAAATAAATTCTTTGTTTCAACAAATATACACACACACACCAACCACAGTAACTTGAATCGATAAAATTGAATCGACAAAGGAACAATCGTTTGTAGTTTTTACAAGAAAAAAGTTGCTAAAAAATTCATTATATTCTTTATTTATTTTCACAAATAGATAAAACATTAAATGATTTGCGACGAATTTATGCATGAATTTTTTTCAAACATTGTTCCTCGATGATTATCACATACACTCCGATACTAAAACATTAGTTTTGAATTCAGAATCATTTGAGTCAGACCAAAAATGACCATTTATATCATCAGTATCATTATCAATGATATGGCATTCATAATGAATTAACTTTTACACACACAAAGATGTGCTTATGTTGTGTGTATATAATGCTAATAATAGGCCACAAAAAAGTCATCAAGATGCAAGCATCATTACCCATCATATTTAAACATGTCAAGCAACAATCTTAAAACGATGGCCATTGGCCAACGTCTTACGAAAGAATTCAACTGGTTGCAACAGAATTAATGTGACAAAAAAAAAAATACATTCATGATTGAAATGGATTTGATGTTTTTGAATGGCCAGCTTCTATAGAAAAATTCACTCAGAAAGCCTTGAAAGAAGCTTTAAAATTGGATGTTATAACTTTGATTTTAACGATTTCATCATATGAATCATTTTTTTTTTCATTGAAGCAATAAGAATAAGAATTCTGTTTATAGTTATATAAAGATTGTGTAATGTTTTTGGAATCTAAAGAAAATCACCTACGATTTTTTCTAGAATGAATACTAAATTTTTTTAATATTTCGTGTCAGCAAAAGACTTATCCAAGAATGGAAAATAGTGGATACCATTCGGGAATATTTTAGCTATTCAAAAGTTGTTGTTCTATTCACATAAACAGGGCAAGTGGGTGGATGCACTGAATGAAGTAAAAGGTCAAATGGCCAAGAACCATCTGCTTGCAGTTTTTGTCGTTGTTATATGAACGACAATAACAAAAACAGGACACACGACTACAAACAACGGTGGCGATCCAAGATGTCTTTGAGTGAGGAAAATTTAAACAGTAATGTTAAAAGCATTTAGGGTCAAAGCTAAAATGGACATATGTTTGACCCGGACATGTTCTATTGATATAGACAATACACAACCATCATCATCTTGCATCTTTACCACATCTAAATGATCAAATCAATCCGAAACGGAAGGAAACATTTATGCAATCAACAACAACAACAACAAAAAAACAGCTAAACAAACGATAAGCCAGTGAGATAAATGAATAGCTAATGGAAAAAATGTCAACAAAAGCAGCAACATGCATTAGAGTCATAATGACATCATCATTGTTGTGACTATGAAATTAATACCGACGAGATTTGCAAAAATTCGAAGCAGCAAAAAATACAACAAGAATCATTCGAATGATGTATTCGATCATGGCCACACAAATATGATCGATTATGTAAATTCTTTTTTTTGACAGAAAATCAAGCCAATAGAACTTTCTAAGATTCTTTTAATACAAAAACCAGTCCCTTGTTTATCTTGATCATGATCATATTAGAAAATTAAACGAGATATAAATCATAAAGGACGGCCGATGACTTATATGCTCATCATTGATTATGGACATAAAATGATTACACATCTTATTGGCAACATAAAGCATCAGCTGGATAAATAAGGCTTGGTGAGTAAAGCAAATAAATGAATAGAATGCAATTTGTTTTTTTCCAGTCTGACGATTATCATCAAATATAATAAATGAGCCACAATGTATAGGTTTACACATTTCCACAAATCAGGTAGACAAATCTCATCATTATTATCATCATCATCATCAAGAATAAAATATTTACATATGATAGTTTTGTCTTATTCATAAAAAAAACTTGGAAAACTTTTAGACCATGAGAAGAATTAACCGTAAAAGAAGAGTAAAAAAGTAAAGAAAAAAAGTTCAACCCTTTTACGATTCTATGCATTCCATGAGTTTGATGATAGTACTAAGGATTTTAGTCTTAAAAATGCTACTATACAGAGTTACTTGTTTCATGACATTGTGCGAAGATATTTTATCATCGAAAATGAGTATCAAACAGAAAAAAATCCAACTTATAAGAGCCACACAAACCGTCATCATGATTTATGGGCATTGATATCGACCGACACACACACACACACACATCAACTATAGATTATATTCCATCACACATAAAAGGCGACAAAAATCATGGCACCAAAAAAAACGGAAAATGTGAACGAACTTAATGAAACGTTCTTACGTTTATAGACATGATGATGACATAATAATAAAAAACTAAAGAAAGTGAGTTTCACAGATCACAATCTTGGATACATGGATCAAGATTGAGTAAGTCATTTCAGTTGTATAGTGTCAAATTTAACTTTAAAACAAGAAAAAATTTAATCCCCATCAATTCACGAATCAATTCATCACAATCTTATTTTCGACTCATTGTCTAGAATTTTTAAAATATTCATGTTTAAAAAAGAAACCAGCCCATATAGAATTGAACATTAGCTTTACTATAGATAAACACATGGTCATAATTTAACCGATATTCGTTTCGGTTTGTAATCATCGTGATTTACCATATTTATTGTTTGTTTGGATTTGGATCTGCGTTTCTAATTGAAAAATTCTGCCAACCTTTTGTGTGTGTGTGTGTGTCTTAAAAACAGCACTAACATTGAGGCAGATGATTATGATGGCCACCAGCCGGTATAGTTTAAGGCTCACTTGAGCCATACAGACAAATTAACAGTCCTTATGGTCAGTTTGGTTTTTCCTGTAGGTTAAAAGCTTTTTCAAAGCTGAAGCTTCACTATAGTGTAGAAAAACAGACTCATGGCCTATGGCCACATTTGGAAAATCAAACAATCAATGTGGCCAGCACATTGCATACTTTTGATGTTGTCCGCCGGACAACTAACAAACATATAGACTATTTGTTGAGGTTCAATCAACGAAAAAAAAGGAAATTATTTTAACACTTAAATTAGGACTGAAAAAAAATCATCGAGAGGATGTTTTCCCAATAACAGTAACGACAAAACTGATTAGATGTGACTTTTTAAATAAAAACAGATGTCAACGGACAATGAATTCTTTTGACGTTTCATAGCAGTTTAGAAACAGTTCCAAATTCAATGGCTACACAGTCATTTCTCTAAATTAATTAATCAACCATTCAATTTAGCAGCTGTTCCATCAATCGCTCAATTTATTTATTGATTTCAAACGAATATAACACAATTTTTTCCAAAGATGAACAAAGAATAGATAGGAAAAATCAAAAAAAAAAATCTTTTGATTTTTCATTGGTTGCTACTGGTAAATATAAAAGTATTACCATTACCATGTCAACTATAATATCAAAAAATATAAAAAATGTGGAATATAATGTCGGCAAGAAAAGATGAGATATCAGAGAAAAAAAGTGGTGATAATAAAAAAAACTGTCAGCTTAAAAAACAACAAAGAAAAAACCGGCTAACTACAAAAAAAATAGAGATTAAGAAGCTTGAATAAAAAAAAAGATTCGAAATACTGGTCATTCATTCTATTCAGACCAAGTTGATAATGGATAAAAAAAGATTCACTAGTCTAGGACCTAGTTTGTCGTGCCATTTGATCGTTATAGTTAGTATGTTCATAAAAATAGACAGATAAATCAAAATTTGGATCAAGGACGATGAATCATCATCATTATAGAATGATGATAATATCCGAATTTTGTAAACAATTGTCACGTTTTTACGTTCTTTTCATTATCGATTTCGTTTCGATGTTGTTCGACATATACAAACTTGTCGATGACTACCATAACGACATCTTCAACAGTAATTCTGTGTGCTATGTCTTTTTTTTCATTGGATAAGATGATGATGACGATGATGGGTGACCTAGGACATTTTCTCCTGGCATCTTTTTGCTTGTAATGTCTAAATAAGGATATCAAATATAAAATGGCGACTGACAAACAAGACCACTTGATGTATGTGTGATATGATTTCGACAGAATGATTTTTTCATTTTGATTAACATGTCATTTATAACTCTCAATAATCTATAGTTGGAAAATTCAATGACTAAAATAAAAATCAAATCAAAAAAAAAAATCTAAATCGATTATCAAAATGAGGATATCAACATACAAAATACACACACACACACGATCAAAGTAAACAAGCCTTTTAGCATCAATGTAATTATGAGATGTACACATCCATCGATTTGAAGAGAAAAATGAAAGCAAAAATAAAAATTGACTTGCCTTTTCGGTCGATACTGTCGTCGTGGCGATTATAATTATCATCAAAAGCGGCAATAAAAATAAAGATAGATTCTTTATAGGAATCAAATTTACAATGAATTGCCATATTAATCGCCGATCTGAGAGCAATATCGATTGTGATGAACACTTTGAATATGTAATTGGCATCGATAATGAGGATGATGATCGAACACAATGATGTGTATGTCTTTTATCTATGGAACCATTTAATGTCCATGTTGATGAATCACTATTTAGAGATTGCTGCTTGTGAATAATAGTTGTTGGTTTTAAGCTATAGCCTGGTCTGTTTTTAGATCGATGCAGACATTTCCATTTTAATCTCGATGTCGATGACATCGATGTCGACTCGTATAAGTTGGATGACATTTCCATAATTGTTTCGAATTTTGATTTTCAAGCCAAATGTTTTCAAGGTGTTTTCAATGGAAATATTAAACCATTGATTTCAATGATAATATGGTGAATCAATATGAACAAAATGAGCTAATCGATGCCAGATGTGGGCATAAACACACACACACATCTACATCAACGAAAATAAAAACAAAAATAAGCAGAATTTTTTAGGATAATCTTGATTTCAAATAGCATTCAACAATCATCCTGGCAATTATAGAGCTGATGATATGACAACAACAAAAGATACTGATGGTAAAAAAATTTGTTTGACTTGATTATTCTAGATGATTTTTGATCCATGTCAAAATTTTACATAGCAAACAAGAATCGATTCAAATAAACGAGAGAAATTAAACCAACAAAAAACAAACAAACGATGGACGATTCCAAAAAAATCGAATGTAGGATTCACACTTTTGGGATGGCAAATTGGATGGCTTGGTTGATGAAATGCACGTGTTGACAATAATTGTTTGAAATTGGATAAGGATCGTGCACAATTTGAACTAGTCGAAAATGACCGACATTGGCTGTATAGAGCCGGTCGATAGAACAATGAATTTTAGAGTTTGACAAACTTACAGAGATTGTTGTTTTATTCATTCAATAGCCACTATCTACATTCATATCGATTCTTAAGGAAAATTTTTAGTAAGTTGATTTTAGTTGGCCAACAAACAGATGTATATAAAGATGCTGCTGTTTGGTCGGGTTATTGGCGCCCGAGTTGAACAATTTGTGACTGAAATACACATATTCACAAATATATAACGACAGTGATAGATTCGATTCTATCGACGGCTAGATGGATGATGGGAGCATTCAGTTCTTATGATCATGATGATGATGAACTTAAAACATTAAATTAAAACAAATATATAATATACAGAAGAACATATGTATGGATATATGAATAAAGACGACTACACACAATCCAAAAAGCATACAGAGTATGAAATAAAATAGAAGAGGAGATGATATATATGATTTAAGACAAGTTTGGCCGCGGCCAACGCGCGCGGTAACTATCATCATTATATTACTTATATGATGATCATATCAATACTACTAGCAATTGGATATTTGAAAAACTCCTACGACACCCTATACAAGTAGTGGTAGTTTGTAAAGTTGAGACGACAGCCTCTTTGTAGGGTGGACAGGTGGAATAAATACCATGTTATGTTACATATATGAATACCCTATGTAGTTGTATCCGGTCAATCATCACCCTCCTTGTATACTATCACACAGTGTACACGTACTCAATTTTCCACATTCCTCAGCGTTTTTCTTTTGTCCGTTCGGTTTTTTTTTGTGCATGCGCATCATCGTTAGAGTCTCGTATACACACAATTAAACCCCCTGCTCCAAAATATACAAAAAAAAATTGTTCACTCCCTCCTCGATTGTGTGCGGGAAGTAGATATTATTGTACCACAACAAACAAAAAGACAGTGAAAATTAAATATGCTTGTCATGCCACCTAGGAGAATTTAATAGAAATCATTGAAAATGAAATTTGATTAATTCTAATTCTAATTAGAGTGATGTTTGTGCATTAGAGAATCTTATTATTTTTTATGTTCCTCGTGTACTTTAATCATTAAATCAGTTGTGACTTTAATGGCAAACAAAAACAAACATTGAAACATATAACAGAAATTCAAGCATAAGAACAATATGATGAATGAAGAGAGACATGTCGCACTAGAATTTGTATGGCCACTCCAATTTGTAGACTAATTCTGGTCATTTCCTGTTTAAGCATTTCCCTTGCCTTTTTTGCTTCAGCTAGCGGCGATGAATCGGTCATTCGTAAGCTATATTCTTCGATCGATTGTTTGGTCGATCGGTCTTCGTCGTTCAATTCTTGTAGCCGTAATGACCTTGCCTCGAGTTCTGATTCTGCCTGATCCAATGATTGTTTCAATTCAATGGCTCGTTGGCGAACATTGATCCATTCAGCCAGTATGGTATTGCAATTCTGATGTAGATAGTTTTCTTTTGCCGCGATCTTATCCAATGCAGTTTTCATTTCGGCCGCTATTCCGGTTAGCATTCCTTCCGTTTGGCTAAATATGGATTCAATATTGGTATGGTGACGACGTGCAGCTTGCAAATGAATTCTCCATTCGTTGCTTATATCGTTAGCCGTTGTCAACATAGTCATACGATTTTTGCTTTGGTTTTTCATGAATCGATGAGCATTCATCTGCGGTAAAATACGTTCCAATTCCAGCTTCCATTCAGACAAATCAATTCGTGCGGCTTGTATCATCTGTTGTCGTAATTGTTGTTGATGATTGCTTTCCAGCGATGCGTCTTGCCATTCCTCATTATCATCCTCGTGAACGACTAAATCTGATTCTGTTTCCAAATAGTCTTCAAACTCTTCTTCCAATATAATTTCATTTTCCTGTTCATCATCATCAATATACTCATCGTCGTCGTCTTCGGATTCAATTTGGATGCCATCACCAGATCGCACTATGATTTCTATATGAACTTCATTGCTCTTATATCTCTCCAGGAATAGTTTGTCGGTCAAAGTGGAAAGCAAAGCGATCACTTCAGCACCATAACCAAGTTTGAGTCGGCTTTTAGAAACATCACCAACACCATATGCTTGTGATGCACCAACAATCTTGTCGATAGTCAAATTTGGATCATCAAAACTGTCCACTTGAATCTGTTGTCGACCATCGTTCAATTTGTTCAGCAAATATGAACTCATACAACAAAAGGCGAAAAATTGCTGTGCTTGATTAATTTGTTTGCTGAAAAAATATCGATGTATTGGTGGGCATTTAAAGTTTGAAACAAATTCTTTAGTATAATCTAGGGCCAACAATTTTTCATTCAGTTCGTGCATTTTTTCCAACAATTCTTCTGAAATTTCTTCCGAGGAGATACTTTTCGCTGAATTTTTCGTAACACCAGGCATTGTTCAAAGTTTACAAGTGTTAACCACAAAATGGCCAAAAATTTAAGACCCGGTCAAAAGTTATTTGTGTTGTTTTGCGTTGAATTACAAGAATATTCTTAGTTGCCATGGAATTTAATTTTTTTTTATGGTCACATTGTCTATGAACGGTATTAGACAATGTTTTTCTGCACGCATTTGACAAGTTGATTCTTGATCGTAAAACGATCACACCGTGCGAAATGTTTTACCATATTCAATTGGAACACGAAATCCAATTGCATCCTCGATATTTTGGACCAAACTTGTTGGATACGGTCAAAAAGAAGTTATTTAAAGATGTTGAAGGAACGTGTACAGGCAAATATGGATTCGTCATTGCTGTGACCACGATTGACAGTATTGGTGATGGTGTAATTCAATCTGGCACTGGTTTTGTAACTTATCCGATCAAGTATCGAGCTATCGTTTTTCGACCATTCAAAGGAGAAGTACTTGATGCTATCGTTACACAGATCAACAAGGTCGGTATATTCACTGAAATAGGCCCATTGGCTTGTTTCATATCCCGGCATTCTATACCAGCCGATATGGAATTTGATGCTAATGCTAATCCACCATGTTATAAAACAAAAGATGATGAGATGGTCATCAATCAGGATGATGAAATTCGTGTGAAAATTGTTGGTATACGTGTCGATGCTACCGATATATTTGCCATCGGTACGCTTATGGACGATTATCTTGGTCTTAATTAAATTCCATCCATTAATAATCCTACCAACGTATTTGCAAATTATCTTATTTGTTGTAGATAATCATTCCATTCACCTCAATCATGTATCATTATAAACGGATTTTCTTTTTAAATTAATAAAATAAATTCGATTATAATGTATAAATTAATTCAATCTTTACGTTGTTTATGATGAGGCCATTGACACAGAATTGTTTTGAATGATTGAATGAATTGGCATAAAATTTAATGATCATTGGATAATCGAAATTTTCATCCCAAACAAATTTTTCGAATCCATAATTATGGCTACTGAACAACAACAAATGAAAGATCAAAGCAATGTAATTCGTGAAAAGCTTACTGATCGTATTCAACAATTGGAAAGTGGTTACAATCAGGATTTCGGAGAAATATTGGCAGATGTAAACGCGCTCCTTATTTCCGCGAATCATCGAGATGTTCAGCAAGTAACCAATCAGATGAATCTGGCTCGTCTTTTCGATCGATTCAATGCTTTGTCAGTCAAAGATGAGCTTTTCACCGAGGAATTACTTCGTGTATTCGGCATGTTCCTAGAATCATTGCCAATCAATGATATTTTTGTTAAATATAATGATCAGATTCTTCAAGGTCTTCAATCGTCCAACGCTACTATCATCGATATGTGGGTACAAAAAGTGGTCAAACCATTGTTCACCAATGAAGGATTGTTGAAAAATATTTCGAAAAGTTCGGTTAATATTGTTCCAATCCTAACAGCTGTCATTGAATTATTGCCTAGCCAAAGTACATCGATTGCTTCTGCTTCCCACGATATTTGCGTGATAACTGCTAAAATATTTCGCCAGGAATTTTTTTCACCACAAATTCTTGACTGTTTGAAAAGATTAAAGACTAGACATTCTCAAACGGAAAAAGATGCTGAACAATTTATGATACGATTCTACGAACTTATTGTTGATATCGCTGCAAGCAGTCAGTTATTGCTTGACATGTTAGAAGCAAATGGTTTACTTATGGAAATGATTGAAAATTCACAACAAAAAATCGATAGAGATCCGTTGGTCGCCTTGAATATCATTAAATTACTCACAGATCTAGCATCGAAACCTCATGGTTTGGATTTTGTAAAAAATTCCACTACTCTTTTGCCTTTGATTGCTAAAAAAATTGACAACATCAATGAAGAAGACATGTTAGAATCGTTAATTTTGCCCGGTTGCATAAATTTCTTTGTTCGGATTGCTCAAACAAACATGTCGATATTGTTGAACGAATATCCTCAAGTATTAAACAAATTGACAGAATATTGTCGACAACAACGAGCCGGCAATACCGAGCTTCAATTACTGGCCATAGAATCAGCAGCTTTTCTTTGTCAACAAAGCGAAGGAAAATCTAGTTTAGCTGATAGAATGCCAATTTTTTTGGATACCATCATTATGATGATCAACGGTGGTCATAATGATTTGAAGAGTCGTGCAATCAGTGCTTTGAATGGAATCATGCAGATCAATGGAGGTGATCCCGGCAATAAAGCAACTGAATTGACCCAAACCTGGTATGACCATTTAGATTCATCCGGTTGTGGATTGGATCGATTCATGAAACTTGTGCTCGAACCTTTCATCGATGTTCGAATCTCAGCCATCAATTTTATCCGAATTCTATCTACGTCACTTTGGGGTCAAAAATTGCTATCTGAATATTCAGGATTCCTCGATTACCTACTTGATCGTAGCACAGAGACCTGCAAACAAGGTCGTGAAGCTAAATTTGAAATTGTCTGTGAATTGGCCATGTCTCCTTTCATAAGGCTTTCGTTTCCACCAGAATCGGTTTTACGAATTCGTGGTTATTTGAAAGATGGGCCAATCAACAAAGAAGTTAATGTTGCTTTCGAAAGTTCATAATTTCTGTTTTTGATTTTGATTTTTGTACAAATGTATTTTTTATTATAAAAATAAAAATAAAAAACAAATATAAAGTTTGAATTCTATATTTTTTAATCGCTGCTACTAGCATCATCTATTGGCAAGAATAGTTACAACGCGGGCAATTTCTTTAAAATGTTGCAAGTTATATTTATGGAATTTTTTCAGAAATTTTTTCTATTTATGTTTTGAGCTGTTTATGGTTGCGACAAACTAATTTATTCAAATGTTGTTTAATTATTCACATAAAGTATATTGTTATTGTTATTATTAATTTTTAAGATTCTTCAGAAAGCAAAACAATTCAACGCTTCGCCAAATGCAGTGAATTTTTGTGCACATGAATCAAACGAAATGTGGTATGACAAGATTTGATGAATAAATTACTCATAATCATCTTGTGGTTTTTTTTTTGCAAAAATTTTAGGCTGAATCGAAATTCTTGAATACGAATACCATAAATATTGAAGTAATATTTTAAATATTCATAGCAAACATAACGAATTAATCATTTGCTTTCTATTAAAATTATATGCAACAATAGTGTAATTTAAGCCACGTCTTGACGCCTCAATAAACATAAACTAACAAGAATCTCGATTAGCTGACCTGTTTTCGATTCTAATCTCAACAAGATTTGTCATCAGCCTCTTTAAACAATAAAGCGATCACTAAGGCAGATTGTTTGGTGATACATTGGGCTGTTTAAAATTTTTTATACTTATAATCAAATGATCACGTTTTAGAAAATCTTGTGCAAGAATTGTGGAAATATTTTGTTTTCTATAAGAGGCCAAAAATAGAACAACAATAATTACATGAATAGCAATAAAAATAAAAGTTTTATTTATAATTCACGATTTTCTGGCTTGATGACGATATTGCTCTCGTAAGTTGTTGAACAGAAAAAAAATGCCAGCTATCTTTTATCGCCATCATTCATTATTCAGCAAATATGTTCATTGCGTTAAATCGTCTTCAAAGAGTTGTTGATCTTCAATGCAGAACGGTCAGCATTAAACATGGCATCATCATCATCATTGATCAACGTGAATTCATTTAAATTTATGGTCATCATACCGGCAGCCGGTTCAAGTGAACGTTTTTGTGCTTCCAATTCTTCATCGATGATTACCAATGAAGCATCGACGAAAAATAGAACTCGATCACAATCGTTGCCACCATTTTTCAACAAAAAATCAACATCATCATCTTCGACGGAAAAACAATATACGGTCATCTGTAATAAGCCACTCATCTATCACACAGTGGCCGCTTTTCTAAAGTTCGTCCATTCATTGGTATTGGCTTTTCATCTCTGACTTTTTTCAATTCAAGGTTAAAATGGATCGATCACATTTTGGTGATGACAGCACAAAATTCCATGCCTCAAATGCAAGAGATTTTGTTATCGTTGGCTAAACAACAGCAAAAACGATTCAATATAGTACCCGGTGGTTCAAGTCGTCATCGTTCGATTAAATTTGGCCTTGACTTTATCGAAGCAAAACGAATACAACCCGATTTTATCATCGTACATGATGGAGCGCGACCTTACCTAGATGAACAGGTTCTCCATCGTTTAGTCAGCGAATGTTATCAGCACGGTGTGGCAGGTGTATTTTGTCCTCTCACATCGACAATCATTGAGCCACAAAAGGAAACATTCATGTTGAATCGAGTTCTGGATCGTTCTCGATATGTGGCGAGTGAAACGCCACAAGCTTTTCGTTATAATTTATTGGTCAATGCATATCAGAAATGTTCGACCGATGATCTGGATAATAATACGGAATGCTTAGATCTAGTCAAACGATATTGCAAATTTGATGCTAAACTAATACCAGTCGAACCTTCTCTTTATTTTAAAGTCACATACCGAAAAGATATTTATGCAGCTGATCATATCTTGAAAGAACAGCGAAATATTCTACTCCATTGCGATTTTGATTGTGAAAAGCCTAATGTTAATTATAAATTCATCAAGGAACTTAAAGATGATCTGATATCTAGCTTTGTCAATGTAAGAAATGATTATTCATCACTTGGATCTTTTGAATATTGGATTTTATAATTAATCTGACATTTTTTTGTGACAGGTGAAATATTTTTCTGATTCTGTAAAGCTCAAAAATACATTGGTTGCTCATTCTCCTGGAACGGTTCACGTATTGTTACATTATTGTGAAAATTGGAGCCGAGTTATCGAACAAAATTTGGCTGCATATGAAAATCTGGTCTATATTGTGGTCAATTCAGATACCGATGAGCATAATCTCAATGATTATGCCTCTAACCGTTTGTTAAAATGGGCTCGTTCAGCTAAATCGAAAGAAATTCGGAATTTCTATCTAATATTCGCTCATCTCAAGGTTCGTGGTAAACATTTATAGCAACCTAATCGTTCATATATGATATTTCGCCATAGGATTTGGACCAGGAAAGTTCACGAATTCGTAATATTGCCGTCTACCTGAGCAAAGAGCTACCATTTGAATTTTCAGGGCAAACTTTTTTCATCTAACATTGAAAACAAAAAAACAATTAACACAGACAGAACATTCCAGAATGAAACATTTTTTAATTCCCATTAAATCAATTTTTCTTTTTTTTTTGTTGATTCACAGGAGAAACAAATATTAATTTAATAAATATAAATAGAATCATACATTTGATTGTGATGTGTAAGTGATAAAGTGAGATAAAAAAACAAATACATAGATGTCTATGGATTAAATTGAAATGAAAAATGTAATGGCTATCTGAATTATTTTTTTTTGTCAGATGTCAGATATACAAGTGTAAGTTCGAAATGTTTTCATGAATCAAAATGTGACTGAAAATTACTCTATATAGTTCTATGTGGCAATCAAATTTATTTTGAATTTTGAAAGAAAACAAAGATGTTTAGTGATAGGAGAAAAAAAAAATGATAAAATTTAATAAATCCTAAATGGATATGGATGTGTAAAACAAAAGAACGTTGAGCTACAGCTATGTCTCATGATAATGAGTACGATGATTTTTTATATTAATGATGATAAGCGATAGATTGATTAGATCATATCATTGGATGATAATGGTAATGAATTATCATCATAAATAGTGTTCATTTATGTCGCATCTTCGGATTCCATTATGTTTGATTTTATAGATTCAGATACTGCAACTTTGTTGAGTTCAGCAATATCGGTAGAAACATTAGCTGGTATTTCACGCTGTTGTTTTTGTTGAGTACGTAATATTTCTTCCAATTCGACCAATTGTCCCATAAAATTTAAATTGGGTGAGATGATGGGTCTTCGTGATTTAACATAGCTATATGCTTCGGATAAAGTCATGTACAGATGACGCATAATGTAAGCAATAGTTATCGTAGCTGAACGAGAAATACCGGCTTGACAATGTACCAGTACGCGATGGCCTTTTTGTCGGGCTTCATCTGTGATCATGAAAAGAAAAAAGAGAGAGAGAATGAATAACGGTAAAGTCAAATTAGTCAAACAAACAAATGAAATAAAATGCCCAGAGCACGATTAAGAGCAAATTCAATTTGTCATATTATTTACATCGCAAGGCCGTTGTCCAGTATGTAAACAATTCTGAAATTGCACACACACAAAACAAACTTGCACTTAACTCTTTGACTCTTTTATTTGTTCACAATGAATGATGATTGGCTTGCTCACTTGGGAAATTCTCCAAACACTTAGCAAGTCCATTCAAATAATTAAAATTCAAATGCAAAAAGCAATAAAATTGTTTAAAACTTTCAATGAGATCATTGTGTTCCGCTAATGTCAAGCTGTTGCCCAAAGAGGGAAGAAAGAAACCAGATTCTATTTAAAAAAAAGAAAATCCAAGTACCAGTCAAAAAGTCATAATTTGGACTTTTATGAAGAGAGAAAGAAAGAAAAGAGGACAAGTGGGTTATTGAATGGCACAGATGCCAACTAGAATTCGTGTTGGTATACTAGAGGTCATCATATCCAATGAGATGTTACCAATAATTTTGACAATAACATCTGTCACGCATCGAAATTTATGGAAAAGGAAAATGTGGTGCAAATAGGCCTATTTCTTGTCCATAATACACATCATCATCATTAATGATATTGGCCATACAAAAAATGATTGATTCATTATGTCCACCCATTAAACAAGTAGCGTAAACCACACACACGTTTGGTGACCAGAAAAATCAAAAGTAAAACAAAAGAAATCTTTTTCTAACGAATTGAATATCGAACGAGCATGCCATTAATTTACCACCTGGATGACTAAATAAAACAAATGGCCAGGTGTTAGAATTCCAATCAATTTATTGATGACAAATAGGTAGAAAATCCAAAGCGTACACATTAAAATCAAACAACACGCAAACATCGAATCCAAAATGAGTCATGCTAAATCCCAATGATATCGAAACAATCGATGATGATGAGGATGATGGGAAAGTTTCCCAAGGCCTGAGGCCTATGTATAAATTGAAACGCTGAATGAGTCATCATTACCACAATTGTTCTGATTGTTGTTTGGCAACCAACATCACCGCCAACAACAAACAGACATACACACACACACACACTCACACACAGACTTTTACACTCGATCAACGAGCATCAATAGATCAAATAACGTGCATTCAATTGCATTCATTGAAAGATTTTATGAACCCAAATAAATCAGAGCACATGCTAGGCCTTGGATCCGATATTAGGGGGACATTATTACTCATCATCATAAATGTCGCATATACCGAAACGAAGCCAGAGACAGATGGACCTTAGATGGTTGGTCACACGTGCGGCTTGCCTTGCTTTTGGTCCCTAGATTTCTGGTCCAACATGTGTGTGTGTGTGTGAAGTTGAAAAAAGCGGCTGAGATTCAATATAGATCTTTCTGGGTGTAATGTGTGAGTCATATGACCTAATAGCTATAGAATATGCACATCTTGTGACCTAGAAGCGGAAACAGTAAGCAAAGGCAAACTATTGATCTCAAACACTTTCAGCAAGCAGGAAGACAAAAAAAATATAGTGGCCAGTCAATCATCATCACCACAAACATTGAATTAATCGGTCGAAATGTACACAATTTTTAACTGTGAGGATGTTTCAAACGGTCTTGACATGACTGATGAATGATGTTAGTCATTCAAAGGTCACGCGTTTTATTGAATGTAGTTCTATCAGATTTGTGTCATCAAATGAACACACAGCCGCGCACATTTAAAGAGACAGATTGATTCATATAATTGAGTAAATGGAAAAAAACTAACTAAAGCTAGAGGTTGATCAGATTCTGCATTTATGGTGATGATTCAACATATGAAACAACAATTGCAGCATTATGGTTCAATGAATCGATTCGAATGCATTATGTATAGAAAAAGCAAAAGAGAATAAAACACTCACCGATAAACTGGAAAGCTTCTTCAAAATATTGTTTTAAATTCTGTTGATAATTATCTGATGCTGGTAGCCACTTATAAAAACGATTCATAGTTTTGGATGATGGCAAATGTTTGGCAGAATCAGATTCATAGCATTCTGGTTCTTCATAATTGGTGGTATTATCGATATTTTTATTTTTTCTATCACAGTGATTAGATTGACTATGGAATTGTGATGATGAATCATCATGACTAGATTGATAAGAAAATGATTCATTCACATTTCCGGCTACTTTACTATGATCATTAGTGGTTGTCGATGATGGTTGAGATGTTACATTTAAAACATATGATATAGAAAGCTCATCTAAACGTTTGACATCGTTGGCATTACGTTCATTACCCAAATACAGGAAAGGCAGTATAGGTGTTGCATTTGCTTCCATTACTGATGATGAGGAGCCAATTCCTCCATCACCTTCATCACCGAAGCCTGAGGGCGTTTCATCAAAAGTAAATGATGATGATGTAGCCATATTATCCAGTGGATCAGTTGCCGCCATCAATAGACTACGTCTGGTACGTTTGAATGCGGATGAACCACCACAGAATAATGATGAAGGCGATACTATTGATGACATAGATGACGATGATGAGGAACTTGAAAGAAATGAAGATGGTGACATTGATGATACCGAAGATGAACAAGATGATGATGATGATGAGATCATAAGATTACAACAAGAATTGACTGAATTCAATAGCAGAGAATTCTTTGAAGACTGTTCATCATCATCGCCCGTCAATATTGGTGCACTTGATGGATTGGAATTATAATCTGGATCTATAGTTTCAAGAATGTCCATTTTGAATTGTGATTGTTGTTGTGGCTGCTGCTGCTGCTGTTGTTGTTGAAACGAATTTTGACGACAAAATTGTATCCGACAAGTTTTACAACATGGGGATTGCTGTAATTTTAAATTTAAAGCAAAATTTTCAATAGAAACATTTTTCAAAAACAAATGAAACGATAATCTTACCGATTTTCCAATTTTCAATTTTCGACTATTATGTTCTGCATTGGCCATTGTGATTACCATTGGACTTGCATGATGATGGTTATGATGGTGATTGTAGTGATGATGATTTATTCCATTCATATCCAATGAAAGTCGAACTTTTTGTGACAATAACGATGATGAATTGACTGTTGTTATGTCTAATTTGGGACGACGTTGTTGCCGCCGCTGAACAATAGATTGGAGGTGGTGAACATTATTATTATTATTACTGGAAGTGATCATTATATCAGCGGTTGTTTTACTACTATTCAAAGATGGTGATGATGATGGTGGCAACGGTGGTAGCAATAACATCGATGTTGTTTGTGTTTGTGGACAAGATGATGATATTGAATCCATCATGATGAGATCATGAGAATCATTTGATGATGATGAAGAGGTAGATAATAATAAATCATCGGCAGCAGTATTTACGTCAACTGATGTTGTAGCTAACGACGATGATGATGGTGATGGTGATGATGATGATGATAACGAACTAACAAAAGAATCGACCACTAAATGTCCGTTCGTGGCACCTGAATCCAAACTGACCATTGCCACTGCCATGATAATATGTTGTAGAGCAAATTAATGAAATTGTCGAAAAAAGGTCACAGAAAATTTTTTCATCAATTTCCTATAACAAGATAAAAAAAATTCAAACGATTCATCATTATATATAAATATAAGAAAAAAAATCAAAAATTTTCAATTTCAATTTTGACTAGCGACGATTATACACAAACTCTGGATTACAATAAAATTAACGATTTCCATGTGTCATACGGCATTTATATACGCGCGTGTAATATTTGTATATGGGGTGTTGTAACCGATATCATTCGTCATATACCATCATTACATCAAGGAACCAGTTTTTAGTAACAGACGATCATCAGAGAATAGTTAGAGTAATAGTAAACCAACACATAAAATAACAATGGTCAAGTCATCGTCATCGTAATATATAAGAAAAAGTGCAATAACCAAAAATCATTTACAATGGTGGAAAATCAAATACAATACAAGTTATTATTATAACTGTTTGTTTGGGTTATTCCTTGTCAAAAATATCCAAACATGAATGAATAACATTCGACTAGCGGCTATACTAAGAAATTATGATGAATGAAATGACTCAATATCAATGACTATGAATATTTTTTAAAGTTCATTTAATTATCTAATCAATCATTTTCAGTATCGGATCTTTGTTATTGATGATAGATAAAAAAAAAAAAAATCATATGATAGACTAAAAACAATCTTTATCAATAAATAATTACCAATATTGGACTTGGAAATTCGAACAAAGTTAAAAATTAGATTACAATCATCAATCGTTTAGATGATGATGATGATGATGAGTAATAAAACGATCAAAACGAAAGCATTTTCAAGAATACAATCAAGATTTTAAATAAAAAAATTATAACTACCCACAAATGGTGGTTAAAACAAATAGTGGCATGATGCAAATGGTATTGATTGTTACAATATCGCTATCACAAATGGATAGAGGTTATGACTAATTTAAAAAAAACTTTTTACCTCTTAAATACCATTTCTCGATATGATAAATTATATTGCCATTAATGATGATATGTGATTCTTGTTGACCAAAGAATTGATATGTTAGATGCACACATACACATAAAGATATTGCACACAAAAATTTTAAAGTTCAAAAAAGACACCGACAAGAATTGTCGTCGAATGCCGAGGAGAATAAACGAATATAAGAATGACTCAGACATATAGACCCAAATATATTGAGAATACCATAAGCAGTTTCAGAAACAGAATTCAAGAAGCTTCATATATATACACACACAACCACCACCACTATTTCGTTGATGACTAAGAGTCGATCGGTGACGACATTCGTGAGTCATTTGTATATTTTATTGTGATAAAGTCAAGGTGTATCCACAAATATTGGTATAGTATAGTTTCAAGGCGATTTCTATATATAATGATGGTACCATCTTTTAGGGCCACCACTACCAACAATAATAAAATGTTTGAAAATCGTGTTTCATTGGGATCAATTCAATGTTCATGTATTTTCATTCTCATTCAATTGGTCATTCTTAGTCGGCGGGCGTCATGTTAACCACGAATAACCAAGGTGCCTACGAATTAGTCATTCAATTCCATAGCGATACATGAACCTTTAAACTGACGCCGCATGCGTGAGTATGTGCCAATTTTTCACAAGAGATTCTGAAACTCAAAGAATCTAATGTAAATGTGTAAACCGTTTGGTTGTAGTGGTTCAATGGAACAATGTTCAATGTCGAAAAGTGTGGATTTGGCGCCTTGAACACCAGTTTGTGCATATGTATGTACATGGATCAGAGAGGACTGAATGATTATTAATACAAAATAACTGACTGGTCCAAGATGGGCGTCTGGATTTAGCATAAATAACCACCACCATGATCAAACGATAAAAGAACATTAGTGGTCATGGGGGGGAAAATTCTCTTCAATTCTCATGGATGACTCATCCAATTCATAAGATAATCATAGGATTCGTGATATGATTAGAGCTTTCTAACTATGTGTTCCAAGTGGAATATCGAAAACAATTCTATTGCTAAAAATAAATATTTTTCTTGTTTTGTCCATTTTTGTTGCTAGAATTCCATGAAATCAAAATGGAATACAAAACAACAATGCAAAATACTACATTTATGATCAAATGCACACACAACAACATGAAATTGGAAAACTAAAGAGCAAATATTCTAAAATTTATTATTGAGAATGAATCCAAAAACACGTGCATCCGAGAAAAAATTAATGAAAATAAGGCCATAATGGATACAAATGATGATGATCATCATTATTCATCTGATAGAAAATAAAAAATCAAAGATCAGGTATCAGATTACAAGTTGATTTTTTTGTATTTTTTCTCAACAAAAAACATAAATCATCATTGTTAAAAACAGAAAAACACAGTGAAAAAATGAAATACCAGTTCCATTGAATATATATAGTTTCAATCAAGTAAATTACTATTTTGCTTCAAAAAAAAGACTGGTTCCACAAAAGTTCCAAAAAAAAAAAATTCCTTTTCTCTTCCATAACAACAATATCAAATGATTTGAAAGAATAAAAAAAGCCAGGTCAAGAGCAACTTTGTTTCATTAAATTACTGAACAATATATAATGGCCATGATCATTATATATTATTCAATTCTTAGAAAACAAACAAAAACTATGACAATCAAGAATATTTTTGGCAATAAAATCATAAGCCAAAAATATCATCTACACAATAACAACAACAATCTCTAAAGATGGATAGAATGAGAGGCGCATGGAATTATTATTATTTAGTTACAAATATAGAACGCTTCTTTTGATCTTCATATAGACTTGAATTGATGTAAACCAAATATTTGTGAGTCACCAACACACCAGATTCCTATCATATGACCTGACCACATATATATTACCATTAAGTGACGTGTCTACAGGCAGTCTAATGTTAATGGAATTTTTTTTTCAATTCTATAATTGTTCAAGTTTTTTTTGTTTGTCTTATTTCGTCACTTTTCACTTTCACAATAAAATTCCTGTGCGGTGATTTGAATCATTTCATTTGAATGATTATGATGATGATGATGATGATTGGCTTGAATTAAGATCTCAACCAAACTAGTCAACCTTCAAAAGAAATTATGACTCATATCCTTGACATTGTCTAAGACATGATGATGATGGTAATCAGTGATCATTAAAACAAAGAAACCCGATATCCGGGGGTCAATTTGAATCGTAACCGAAACGTTCAAGCTCAATGATGAGATGAATCATCATCATCAAGGAAATCAAATACATCATTTATTAAACGGATCGACCTAGTCATCATGGTGATGGTCAAAAGAATACAAACGACAATCGGAAATGATAGGATGTTTGTCATGCCATGACAACCCGATGAATAAGTTATTATTCTGTGGTGAATGACCTGGTATCGTGACAATAGACAAATCATCATTGCAGATCACTATAGTGAATGATGATTTCAACACATCATAGATGATTGCATGGAATTTTTTTTATATTTTTTGGTTTAAATGAATGAAATCATATAGTCATGGAAAACCGAGTTACTATACCCGAATATGGATGAATCACACCTAACCTAAATGGAGTAATTGAATAATAACAAAAAGAAAGAAGAGAGTGTGTCTTCTATGCAACTCATTACTAAAACAAACAACCAAAGGTAGGCGGCATACTCACACACACACACACACACACAAACACACAGGCAAACAAATACAGGATGTCTTATGTATAGGATTATGAGGTAAGTAGTAGGCTAGCTGCAATAACATCGTATTTAACAACTTTGAATTTAATGACATTTCAATGGAAATGCCCATTCACATAATAATAATATTGATTATTATTAAGTGAAAGGCTAAGGAAAAAAAGAGGAAATAAACCGATTGTGAGTCATAATATATTCAACACAAAAGAAGGGTTAATAATCTATCATTTCCGTTCAAAATGTTTTTTTAATTAATTATTAAAAGTGCCTAAAGATTAAAGCTTGTATTATTATATATGAACAACAAGTTGAGAATTGAATTTGAATATAGTCTGTAGAAATATATTGATAGGAATGAGATTCATTCCAACTTCAGTGTTGTGTATCATCAATTACTTGAAAATTTTTTTTCAAATTTCTCCTTCATACACATATGTATTTGCACCATCATTTTACCAAATGCATTCATTTTCATACAATATAAAACGAAAAATGTACCAACAATTTTATGAAACCGTTTATCAAATAATACAACAACAACAACAACAACAAAAACAAGCCAAGGACAAATTGGGGCGTCATATCATCAACATTATCATTAATAGGTAATAGGTAATACACACACACACACACACATACATTATATCGACTTAAGGCATATTACATTAAAAGAGAAATTAAATAGTAGTATATATCGAGAGAAATTTAAAAAAAAAGACCGACAGGTGAATGAGTCATATGAGTTGTGTCACTAAATTTAAAAAAAAACAATTGATCCTTACAGTTATACAAAAAATAATGGATCGCATATTTAACATTTTCATTTTCAACAAAAAATCATCAATGAGGAATGTAACATCAATTCTTATAAGAAACGTATGGAAAAAAAAGAATATCTAGAATCTAGATCCAAAACTTACTTTTCATTGAAGTTTTAATAGTTTTATTACCGTTCAAAGTGAATTGTAATTGTATAATAATTAAGTTATTAGTGGATTCCAGAGGCAATAACGGTTTTATTTTGAAAGCTTCAAACTTTTATCCAGAGATTCGAAGATACTTTGAAGAAATTTTTTTTTTTGTTTCATTTGATATGTATTCAGTATGAGATGATTGATTATCATTAATTTTGGTCGATAAATAGCCAGTATATATTAATCAGTGAAGTACAACATTGATTCACACATAGATTATGGCAATGATGAATGGGAATGTGACCAGAAGAACAGAATGCAGGTGTCGCAATGAACAAAATTAAAAAAAACACTCTAAAAAGGAACAATTTTGGTTGGCAAAATAATAGACCAGAATCGAATTTAATGAATCAAAATAAGATGATGATGACGAAATTGAATGAATAAATGAATTTATTGTAAATGGATTAAAGTATATATGAAGATATGAAGATGATGAATCCCCGATTGATGTCGTCAAATTCTTAGAATTCGACGTAGTCGTTTTATAATAATGTTTTATTATTATTATATACAGACGATTATATTATGTCCATGTCAAGTTTATGTGTATGGTTTGCGTATGCAACAATTTTGAATTGGCAAAAATGCCAGCATAATATATAACAGAATCGAATTGAATCGAATCGAATCAAATGAAACCGATGCCAAAATGTTTACTTGTCGCGTATTATGCGCGCGACTACAAAATGACTTTATGTTAGTGAGTTGTATATTTGATGACATCAATGTGCATTTTTTTTTCTAATTGATGATGCTGGTTCTCAGTCACAGTGGTAGTGGTAGTAGTAGTGTTCAATGTAACTCAACAGGTCTATATATATATATATATTGTATTTACGTCACTTGTGTATGTGATAGAGAGAAGGACATATTTCAATGTGGTCATTCTCATTGATGACTCATACGAGCATTTGTTTATATAAGTAGCGGTAAAGAAAAGAAAGGAAACCATTGATAAAATACAGTATATGCACGAATCATGATAATTTGGTTCTGATTTTTTTTGGCTAGCTAAAGTGATGATTCACTGTATATTTGTCGTAATCGTAGTTGCAATATAGTTCATATATATATTGAAAAAGAATCCGCGGATCGGAATTTTTTTAAAGCCAAAAATATCATCTACACAATAACGTTTGTACTAATTATGATTTTTTTTTCATCATCATTACGCAGACTAAAATAGAATTTTGCATATCGGGATTTTTTACTGTATATATTTATAGCAGATGTGTGAATATCCCTCAAGCAAAGAAATCAAAGAAAGAAAGCCGGGTGTTGAAAAAAAAATTGAAATTCAGTGCCAAGTCTATAGGTTTTTTTTTATTGTCTAGTCAAGCATCAAGAGTGGTCGGTTAATTTTGTTGGATATTTACCAGCTGGCAATAGCCTGTGAAATACAGAATTTTTTCTATTATTGTCAAGAAAAGTACTTGAACCTGATAAAAAAAGGGTTCAATCCTGGAATAGATTCCATCGAAGCAATCGTGCGGAATTATAAGAGAATTTTTTAATCGTATCATCATAGATTCGGTTTATCACAATAAGAAAATATTTCAAAACGGGTTAGATTTTTTTTTTAGATATACGAATGGAATTCTATTGTTCGATGATGATGGTTGCAATGCAATGATGCATGTAATAATAATAATAACAATTGTAGAATTCCACGTGCTAAAAAACTTTTATTAGAAAAAAAAGAATTTGTATTTTTTTTCCTAAATAAATAAATTCAATAAAAATTATAAAACCTTTTTCTCATTGATTCTATATTATATTTTAGTGGTAGTTTGCTCTCCATTCATGAGGTGTTCAACCATCGAATCGATTCAAGAGAGTGGGATTGAAATGATGCGATTTGATGATGATGATGATGATGGAACAAATGTTACAATTCACATTTGAAATGAAACCAAATGTGTGTGTGTGGGATGAAAAACGAACATTTTGGCAATAATAATTTTCATTCGAAAAAAGAATTATTGCTGACACAATCATATGAATGGTATAGGTTTTCGTCAATTCATCAATAAGCGGCTTTTTTTCTGGCTAATTCTCCATGTTATATATACACAACAGTCGTGTGTAAATATTTGACAATCCGTTATTCCAATATTGTGTGTATTTCAAACACACAAAAAAAGTGATTGTTTAACCAACGGTAATGTATGTTTGTATCATTTTAATTTGTTTGCTGTCCAAAATGAATAGAGGGATGAATTTTATTCTATATTATTTGTTTGCCTGTATATCTAGAAATTGAATCGATTCCAAACATTTTGCAAAATTTTTTTTCTCTGGCCATCAATTCCCTTGATGTTAGTGAAGAGTTGTTCATCACCCCTTTTTTTCCCTGCTACATTGATTGAAACAATCATTATAAAACCATGGTGTAGGTTAATTTGATTAGAATTCCAAATAGTAAAAACATCCATTGTTCAATATTTAAAATTAATATAATGACAAATGCTAGGAATGTGGATATAATTTGATTAAATACCAAAAAAAAAGTAAAGTTTTATAACAACTTTGATGATATAACATTTATTTATTTATTTATTTATACAAAAAGTAAACTATGTTAGCCAAGCAGAATTTTATATTGGATTTTTTTTCAGAATTTCAATTAGATTCATTTTGTTTACGCTATATCTTTGTCATGTATGTGGACATTCAAAATAAAATCCAAGTTAATTTGTCAACTCAATGTCTTTTTGTGTGTGTGTGTGTGTATTCGATTTTACCAATGATTATCATCATGTTTCTTATGATGATATTCAAATTGTTAAAGCTTAGCACGTACCATCATAATACAATGTTGGACAACGGATGAACACGCGTTTGTTATAATCATTGAGCCAGACAATCCAATTATTTCTGAATATCATGGTTTTAATTTCGTCACACACACACACACACACACACACACACACACACATGCAAAGTCCATCATATTGGCACAGATGTCAATCAATCGTACATACATACACACACAAATAAATACATGACATTGACAAATAAATCCGCTTCGGTTATTTTTGATGTATGTTTTTTTTTTGGATAGTCGAAAATCTAAATTAAATTTTTCATTCGAGTCCCATACATAAACCTATAATAAAAGATGAAAAAAGAAGAGAGCATGCCATTTCCGTTACTCCATAGGTAGTAATGATAATAAAAAAAACCTAACCACAATCGAATTGTGAAAACCAACCAAAACCGGAAACATCTTGACTCTCTCCTCTCTCTCAATCATTCATTCAGTCTTGTAGGTTTCCCATGTATGGGTCATTCAACCATTTTGGATTTGAAGAGATGGATTGTTGTTGTTGTTGTTGTTGATGTTGTTGTTTCAGAAACTTTTCACAACAACAGCAGGGTTCTTCTCATATAAAAACAAAACAAATTTGTTTGACCTATAGGATATCGATTTCCATTCATTCTGTGTGAATTTGTATTTATTTGTCCATGTGCTTTGTGTGTGTGTGTGTGTGTGTGAATATTCTGTATGATAAAGATAATGGTGAGTGTGGCCGGAAATCGGATTCAATAGAATTTAACAAAAAAAAAAAAAAAGAAATCATGTGTTTGCAATATGAATGAGTCATTCAAATTCATTTTCTTTCAACATTAGTACAACCAATGGTCAACAAAAACAACAACAACAACAATCCGATTCTGAAAATCTAAACGATAGAATTGTGAATTGAAAATTACGAACAAATTTTCAATCATGTACATATAAATACAACATGTCAACAACATAACCAAAATGACGGCAATATAACATATATAGAGCATGCAAGCATTATAACGATCAGATCGAATCAAACAAAAATAAATTCAACACAACAACAACCAATGACAATGATGACAATGACAATAGTAGCAGACACGTGGCCATTTTTTTAAGAACAAAACGGCAAAAAAAATCCCATTCGAACGAAAATGACAATCTAATGAAAATGACAATTAGTTTCAAATATATATGGCACGAATTTTATGTGAGAACGAATCTAAACAATTTTAAAATTGAAATTTTTTAATAAAATTCTAAACTAATTTTAAAATATTTGATTCTTACAGCATTTTTTTTGCCTTTAGGGTGTTTAATAATATTCCTGAAATTCGTTTTAACCATAAATGGAGAGAAATTCCGAAAAGAATCTCAAATAACTAACTCAATCATCAAATAAATGAAATGATGATGATGATGATGACCTCTGAATTGTATGTACGAAATAAAAAGAACGTTCCAAATTTGTATCTATGATTCAAGTGCATAGGAAAAAAAATTGGCCAGATTTTTTTCCACTTTCATGTCGATCTAAAATTGAATTTGTGTAAATTAGAAATTCGATTATTTCGAATCAACAAGACTAAGAGAGAGAGAGAGAGTGTCCACATTGAATGAACAATCGAAAATTTTGTCAAAAAAAGTGACAGAATATATTGTTGTTGGCAATGGTGATGATGGTGAAACAAGCCGTCTGTCCATTGAATGTTTTTCTTCAACAATACTGAAATTCAGATTCAGATGTTTTTTTTGTGGTTGAATGATGTGATCAATTTCATTGTCGAGGCCATTATCATGTCTGTCCTACACACACACACACATACACATTTGACGATTCGTTTTCAACTAGTTTTAATTGAATTGTCTACAATCTCTTCTCGAGATCTGGATCATCATCATCCCAAACACAATGAATGAATGAATGAATAGTGATTGTCTCTTTTGAACCGTGTGTATTTATGAATGTGTGTGTGTGTGTGTGTGTGTGTATTATACGTAACGCGTGAATCATCCTTGATGATCGTATATATACGATGACGAATCAAAATTACAGACAATTTGATCCATGATATGGAGAGAGGAAAAAAAACTTTGTCGCACTATATCTAGCTTTATCATTTTGCTTGTTTAATTCGTTTAGTTATTTGGTTCGGTTCATTTAGTATCATACACCCTTGCTGCTTGTTTTTTTTTTGGTTGTCATCATCATGATCATCATCATTGGAAACAGACAAAAGCGATATACAAAGTTGGAACGATGGATCACTTCTCTTTATAGGATGATGATCATGATGATGATGGACTATAAATTCTATGTGAATCATACGATTATCCATTTTAAAAACATTGAATACACACACAAAAAGATATTTTTGGTTGTTGTTTTTTTTTGCCTTTAGGCCAAAAAGAAAAAAAATGGGCTGATGCATTTACAATGTTTATTGCAGATTTGGAAAAAAAACCAGATGGATGACTAATTCTAATTGAATAAATGGATTCAAAATGACAATAGAATTGAAATGATGATTCTTTTTAATTTAAATAAATTAAGAAACAAAAGTTTTTACGTGCATTTATGATTTGCTAAATGGAAACAAAGCCTCGCGCACACACATATTGTAGACGAATCGATTTTTTAAATTAAAAACTCTAATATATATACCATATTATAATTGAGCTAATTTTGACTACTAAATGTGAAAGATTGCCATAGATTTATTCAACTATAAAGATAGAATATAGAATTTTTCCTTGCATTCATATTAACATCCATATTTCGAATATATCCAAGTAAAATAAGGCCAATTGTAACGAGTTTTTTTTTGGAAAGAATTTTGAAAAAAAATTCTTTCCATTAAAACACACAAAACACTTGATAGGATATT